TGTGGAGTGAGCTTTTGTTGTGCAATCGCCTTCTCTTCACGCGATCGCGTCTCGTGTTGATATTTTCGAGACAGGGTTGAGCGCACAACCTTATGTTTTTTAGCCAGCGCTGTCCACGGGATCTTATCGCATGGTATCATAGAGTCTATCTCTTCAAAGGCAGATTTCATAGTCATTGTGGCGTTGAGTAATTGTACAGTGAAGTATGGGTACAAAAAGGTGGTTCGGCGCATTACGCGAATCCGCGCATTACGCGCACGGACACGGTATCGTTATCGATGACATCCCTGCTAGTGCTGCCGTCCATCTGGGGGTCTAGCCTTGCACGACATCGAAATCGTTGCTCGCACACAAGAACACTTTCTCTTTAACCATACCTCGCCACTGCCTTATCCACCCAAAGAAACACTAACCGTATCATGTTCTCATTCATCCGATCCTTCTCTTCCGGCTCTAGTATACGTGACATACGAAATTGATCATAGCGACTTTCGTGTAGTAAACATCTTTTGTGTCACCCCCGAGGAGTGTCTGAATGAGAATATTCTGCACAGCCGCAGCCACTACGCTCTGTTGATCACCAGTTCTACAGCTGAACACCGCAAAATCACCTATACCGAAGCGTTGCTATCTGTCAACCACCTGTCAAAAACCTGTCACCGACCCAAACTCACAATGTACCCCTCCAACGATTCCACCTTGACCACTGCATCCTCAGCATGTAGCACATCCCGACCATCTTCAGCGTCCTCCGCCCCACCCATCGAATTCTCAAAGTCACTCCCCGCCGGCGCACCCTCCACTCCCTTTTTCGAGATCCACGACACACCAACCGCCGGCCGCGCCGTCTTCGCAACCCGCTCCATAGCAGAAGGCACGCTACTCTGGCGCTCAGACGACCTCACCCTCTCCGTCCTGCTGCGCGAATACCGCCGCGAAGTCTGCGGGCAATGCTTCAGCTACGACTACGGCCGAGATCTTCCCATACGAGACCAGAGCGTGGGCTTTGCATTCTGCTCAAAGGAGTGCCAGGAGGTGTGGAAGCAATGGAACGGGGACGTTGGCGTGCGGGCGTGGATTGCGGTGGAGACGCTGGTGAAGAAGAGGAGTAAGGAGGATGATGAAATGGTTGAGGCTAATTTGCCGCGGCCGACGGGGAAGGAGATTGGGAGCGCGTGGGGCGGGGTGGAAGCGCAGGCGAGTCTGATACTGACAGCGAGGGAAGCGGAGCGACCCATGTCTGAGGGACTTGCGGATGAGACGAAAGATGGGCCCGTGCAAATCACGAAGCAACACCGCAAAGCGCTCCAAAGAGCACTCCAGCAAAAGATCTCACCAGACGTTATGAGCTTCATCGTCAGCGGCATCGTATGGCGCCACAACAGCCCACAGGACTGGGATAAAGTGCTCGTCCTCGCCGATGACACAACGCCGTACCATAGCGCCGACGACCTTGCCGCCTTCGTACGGTCCTACCTACACCTCCTCGCCATCCTCCCGCTCCCTCTCCTCCCCCTCACCACCCCGGAAACAATATTCCTCCTCAGCTCGCGCGACAGCCACAACTCGTTCGGGATCCGCTCCCTCGAAGACGACGGGTCGGAATTCTTCGGCTATGGGTGCTGGCCGGCCGCCAGCTACTTCAACCACTCGTGCGGGCCGAACATCGAGAAGAACAGGGAAGGCCGGGTGTGGAATTTCAGGGCTGGGAGCGATATTGAAGCAGGTGAGGAGCTGAATATTACGTATCTGAGTGGAGAGGAGAGGAAGTTGAGTCGGGGGGAAAGGATGCAGACGTTGAAGAGGAATTGGGGGTTTGAGTGTAGTTGTAGGAGGTGTGGGGCGGTGGGAGGGTAGATGGTGGGGTGAGGGATGGGATGATAGTTGACACGGTACCTGTTGTACGAGAGTCTTGTCAGCTTGCTAGCTAAGATCAATCGCAAAGTCACTGCTTCTGCGACGACTTCTGTTTCCAACTAGGTTTCCCACGGAAAACATTGAAAGTCCCGATCCGAGATAGAGGTGGTGGTGTAGACCATTCAACATTGGTATGCAAATGCTTGGTATTGGTATTGGACTGTACGCATGAACGCAGCAATCATGCTTCAACGAAGAATTGAGAAGAGTGCATTCACTCGACTCGTAGTCTGATCATTTTGCAGTCCCGTCATGAGCCTTAGCATCCTCATCCACATCCTCATCCCACTCATCCCTCCTCACTCCACTCTCATGCGCAGCCGCAGCGTTCGAGCTCGCTGCCGCAGGAGGCGCGCCATCATCGCTCTCGTCATCCTCGAACGCCGCAGGGTCGGCAAGCGGCTGGCTCTCAGAATCCCGATCCACGCCTCCTTTGCGCTTCGGCGCATCCAGTACGCCCTCGTCCGCAGACACGCTGATTCCTCTCCGTCCCCACTTGTTGTTTGCTTGTGCGTTCGTCGGCTGCTGTCCGGATTCTTCATCGTAGTCAAAGTTGTCTGCGCTCTTCCTGCCCATTCCCGCTAGCCTGCCCACCAGCCACCCTCTGCCCAGGTCCTCAGAATCAACAACGCCTCCCTGCCTTAGCTTGACGCGCTGGCGTGTGTAGTACACCCATGCGAAGTCAATCATCAAGGCGGTCTGAATGGTTCCCCAAACCCAACTTGTCGGGTCGCGGTACCCGGTTTCGTTGGCGCCGCGCACGATCCAGTTGAGAATATAAAGGAAGCGGTAGGTGCCGAGGGTGGCGAGGTAGAACGAGTCGATGACGGTGGGCACGGTGGTCTGGCGGAGGAGCAGCAGTTGTGGGATGATGCAGACGGATTCAAGGATCTCGGAGAAGACCCAGAGGAGCTGCACGGTGTTAGCGATGGTTGAAGTTATGGCGGGGTAGGGGTAGCGTGCCTTCAGGAAGGTGCTGCGGCCAATAACATATTTGGAGAAGATGAGGTACCATAACGGCGCCATGACAAGAGCGCCGAGGAGACAGTACATGCCAAACTTCCAGGCCTTCTCGCGCTCGCGGGTGCGTGCATACACGCTGGTCATCAGGAAAATGATGTAGAACGACGACAAGGTGTAGAAGATCTGGTGCACGTCAGTCAGTCACGTGCAGACGAGAAGCTATGCTCGCCATCTCACCTTGAGAGTAAAGTTCCACGTATGCTCAGCATCCTTGGTCGCACTCGAGGTGAAGATGTCGAGGTAGCGCGTGCAGAAGACGAGGGCATAGAGGGCCTGCGTGATGAGCGACACACCTGTTGCGCGTCGTGTTAGCTGTTGCCTCACGCGGCCAAGGAAGACGGCAGCTCACCCTCGGAGCTGCTGTTGGAGTGGATGGCCCATATCAGAATGAGCTTCGACGACGTGTGCGAGACATCGCCGAGGACGTGGAAGACGTTGAACTTCATCGCGCGAGGTGAATATCACGGCTACACAGCGCAAGGCCTGCCGCCTGGTGCCGCGTCCGCGTGTCTCGATCGATGCGGAGCTGTCGTGGTCCGCGGTGGTGCCAACAGCGCCTCTCCCACCAGCGCAGGCGTGACTTCAGTGGCTTTTCAGGCGTGTCGGAGCGATGCAAGGGATGCTCCTGCGTCAGATGAATGGGGTCGGGGGTGTGGTTGGAAGGAGCGCAAGTGTTTGGTTGGTGATGCTATTGATAGCTGGCACTTGATGGTTCACGTCCTCACGCTTGCGTGGAGCCCATGCCGGCTTGGCCTGCAGGACGCTTGCCTGCTTTGTACTTAGGTTACATCTGTTTCTGCGAGCAGGGCTGAGTGCAACACTGACATCCCCAGGACATCTTGTCAAAATGGGTGTAGATATGCCGTTCATTCATAGACTCTGCGGTCTTTGTTGGAATCAAGCCGGTGTACAAAGTGCTGGCTACTTGAGAAGATGGGCAAGTGAGGGTATATAGCAGCGAGCGAAAACAGGCCAACGTGCCCAAATGGGGTATGCAGAGTACGGTGGAGAAGAAAGGTCGTGTCCCAAAACTGCGCTGAGCCCGCAGAGGAAGCATGCAAGAGTGCGCCGAAGTGTCGTGAAAACCGAAACATGTCAACAGAACCATGTGGTTCTTGTTTGAGTACCCTTGCTGAACTTGAGCGCGGTGTCGCTAAGCGTGCATGTACGGCAGGAACGATGTCGCAGGTTCGGCAGGGCTCATCGAATACGGCGTAAAAGTGTGTTGGGCGTGCTGATCGTACTGCGGCATCGGTGTTGGCATCGCATCGCTTTCTGTCCACTTGCGCGCACACTGACGGGCAGTCCACTTCTCTTGAGCGCCGAACTCGAGCATCTAAATTTTGTCAGAGTATGGCGCTAAACTTTGAGGTACTTGAACTTTACCTTCTGAGAGATGATGTCGAACTTGTTCTGCGCCCAATACTCATGTGCCATGCGCAGAGCCTTGACATCTGCCTCGCTCCAAACCCGCATTCGTTCTCGAAGCCTTTTCAGTCGCATTTGGAGGGCGGGTATCTGGTACTGTTTACCCAAGTCGTTCTGAAAGCGGGCTGCAATGTCCTTCCACGGCATAAATTCTTCCTCTTTCAACTTCAGCAGTAATCTATCCTCCTCAGAAAGCTCAAGCTGGGTAGACGTGGTAGACTCTGATCGCCGCCTCCTCTTCGACAGTTCCATATTCTCGTCGTCGTCTCTGGATCTCTTTGCAGCCATCGATCTTGGAGTGTCAATGGGTTGAGGCGCGATAGGAGTGAACACACGGCGCGGTTGCGGCGCAGTCGACGGAAGCTCTATCGTAGTTTCTCCGGTGCGGAGACCTCGTATGTGCTGGGCAAAGTTTGTGTAATACGAGTCCGACTGCAGTGATGGCGTGTGAATCCCGAGTGGATCGATAGCCCATGATGACGTGCTCGGAACAGGTTGCAAGACGGAGAAATTGCCATGAGAGGACTCCTGGCCATGCGAATCGACCTTCAGATGTGCTGGAGACCGCTGTGAGGTTGGATCTAAAGTTTGTGGTAGCTCGACCGATTGCTGTGCGGACTCGCGAAGTAAGGAACTTTGAGGGTAAACCGGTACTGGAGAAATGACTCTTGCCGATGAGTCGGCATGTGCTATTGACGCGGGCTTCTGAGTTGCTTGTGAGAATGTGGAGGTAGGTGGAGAAAGCACGGCTGTGGAGTGAGGTGGAATGTAATGCTCGTATCCAATGTACTATGTAAGCACAGGATCAGTCATCTGTTACTAACGCTTGGTCAAAGGGACACACCTGATATTCAGTAGCTGTGATAGAAGGATCGTACCAACCGGTTGTTGGAAGGTTGTTGATGTGGTGTGAAGGCATAGGACTCTCGTGCATGTGGCTGTATGTGTGAGGCGGCTGGGGTGACTTTAACGCGGGCGACGAGCCTAGCGAACAAGCTTGAGAACTGTAGGAGCTAGGCCATGTAGCAGACCTACTCGAAAAGAGATGCGGTAGAGGCACGGCATCCTCAACCTTGAGTGACATGATAACTGGTCGGTGATGTGGGCCGTCTGGGTGATGTCACGCCTTGGATAGCCAGCATAACCAGTCGTGTTCAATCAAGATGATCAGGTCCTGGAGACGGAGTACATTGGAGTGCTGATGCTTGGGATGGTCATGAGCTGATCGGGCCTGCAGTCAAAGGCGCCGCAGCCATCTTAACAAGTAGATGATGGATCTAGTGCGGCACCTCTACCAGGCTTCTCGAAGGATGCTACTGCGCACTGACATGGGCGCTTAGCCCCCGGCCCTTCACCTCGCCCTTGAAACGCTTCCTCGTGGTTTAGCGCGATGCAACCTGGTTCTTCTGCCGCTCATCGAGCCGTGAATGACCAGACACTCCTTACTCCCGGCCTGTCAACGGTCATACCCGGCTCATTATCAGGGCCTGAACGGTCCGCCGGGTCATGTCAACGACGATCTCACCGTTGATGACCGTTGCGCTACCTTCTCAAGGGCCGCCGTTGTTGTTCCTACTATCGCATAGCCCATGTTGTTTGGCGGTCAAGGACGGTCCTAGTACAAGACATGCCGGAGAACATCCGATCGTCCCGCAACGCTCTCGTAGTCGAACACTTTGAGCAGGTCAATCTCTCTTCAATGCAGCGTGATATTGATAGCTCGGTCTGCGCTGGCGGCGCTGTCAGGCCCCATTGTCTGCCAGGGTTAGCTTCCTTCGCGCAAGAGAAATTTCGCAAGCCGTGTGCTCTTATTTGGTGGACGATCTAAAGTGTGCCGCACAACTGCAGCAAAATGTCCAGAGCTGGTAATGACCAAGGGCGCATAGGCGCTTAATTGCATGAACGCGGCTGCTGACATTGGCTACTAAATATCGCAATCCGGTTGAATAGCCACTAATCTACTCCTTTCGGTGGGGCATGCAGCTGCCCACCCTTACACGTCGTTCAAAACGGCTAGACCAATCCGTTGCCAAGCTGCGATGTGAGAAAGGGCGGGTTGATGGTTCTCAAGAGATGATCTGATCGGCACTTTTCTCTACCACGATGTGCTTTATCCGATCCTCTTTTGTTTGAGATCGGATGCAATTGAACTGATCATGAAACTGATGTTACGTTCGACCATTGAAGTACTCTGTAGCTAAAACGCTTGCAACGCTCTGAAACTGATGGCTGTACAGTAAAGACTGCACGGAAAGTACGTCGAGGGGGGATCAAAACCCACTGTAACCTTGTATGTTCGGATCCGCTGGGTAACTCCACAACTGCATCGAGTCTGGTATGAAGAGGGCCGAAAGGTCTGCATCGGAACCTGTCCCTAGATCGAACTGGGTAAAGTCGAAGTTCAAATCGAAGTTGGGCTGCGGGATGCCCATCATATCGGGAGCATGCGACTGTGCTGAGATGCTGGGATACCAGTTCTGCTGCAAAGACTGCTGCGAGGCGTGTGATTGAGCTTGTAGCGCCGCTTGCGCTTGTTGCTGAGACCGGCTGTGGACGTGCGATTGCGTCTGCGAGGAACCAGAGTTACTGCTGCCCATGGCAACTTCAGACAGCAGGTGGAGAGGTGTCTGATTTGTCGAAGCTTGTCGAGAAGGAGGTTGAGGACCATCGTTCGAAGGTTGTCGGGACACTTCGCTCGAGTCCGCCTGCTCTGATCTCGAGGTGCCTTCTTTGATCTGCGCAAACCGCTCCTGCAACCGCTTCGCCACAAAGTAGAACTTCCCGTGAGGCGACTGCGCGTCTCGAGAAACGATCGCGTTGAACATGGTGACCAATCGCTCAAGGTACACCTCGATTTGGAGGTCTTCCTTCTTGATGATACTACTAACCTCACCAGAGCTTGTTACTGACACCCACATCTTCATAAGACATACGATGGCATAGATGGCTCGCACACCTGGCGAATAGTGATCAGTCAAGGTTTGAAGGAGATGGAAACATCTGCAACTCACAAAAAATGACAGGTAGTGTCAAGAGGATATCCAGCTCAATGCTGAGGATCGTGTCCAGTATACCGTGCGTGGCGGTGAGGCATTCGCTTAATGCACCAATGTGTGCTGGCCCTATGGGCACATCTTTCTTGACTGCACCTGGCGAGAAAACTTCGAGCGGGAATGGCGGTTGTAGGTCGGAGGCACTCTGGTTCTGGTGCAGTGCAATCTCATGAAGGAAGAGATTCGTTACGTGTTCACCCAGTCGAAGGGTAGCTTTTCATAGGTTAGCTTGTGGCGGTACAACGAGTCTAAAGAAACTTACGGTCTACCTCGCCCATTTTGGCATTCTCGTCCTTTAGCTGTTGTAGCTCATTTTCGAAGATCTTGAGCGCGTAGATGACTTTGGGCTCAGATATGGCGACCTCAATCGATGGATCATCCATACAGAACTGAACCGATATGTTCTCTCCAATGCGTGCCATCTTCACCTGCTGACACAGCAACTTGTCAGAGGGATATGCCTCTGGCGAGGTTTCGAGAATCTTGACACTCTCTTCCATGTACTTTGTCCACCGAAGAAGGATCGGCCGTCGCAGCACCATTGTGATGCTCATGCAGAGGTAGTAACATACGAGGAATGTACGACGCGCTTCGATGCTGCTTGAGTTGGGATGGTACCTTCGAAATGGCCCGATTGATAGCTTCATAACGTTCGGTGTTGCTTTCCGGCCAAGTCCGAGGTCTAGTGCCATCACGGCGGCGCAGTTGACCATCATGTAAAAGTTGTGTTGTTCGAAGTGTAAGGGAGGTCGGTACCACAAGACGGCGACCTGCAAAGCTTGCACGATTTCAAGGGATTTCTCTCCGTTACGCCAGATGATGTCTGCAAGCTGATCCTTGAGCATTTTTGTCAGCTCACATTGCACGTCCTGTGAAACAAGCTGTTCTGCGCTCCCATGAGATGATCCAGCGAGTAACGACAGGAAGAGCAAAGGCTTCTTCTCACGAACATCTCGAGCTGTAGTTCCAGGAGTAAAAGGTACGGCAGGGAAGTGGGGGCAGATCTCGTTGACGTATCGGAGGAAGACACGCTCCGCAAGCTCAGGGCTTACGAGTGAGTCGATCAGGGGGTTGATGTGTGAATGTTCAGCGTGGATGCGGCTCTTTCCGTTGCGCCTCATCTCAGGGTGTTCAGCCAGATCACGGTGGATCGCGTCCATATCCTCAGGTATTGTCTGCTCATGTCAGATCAGAGTCATTAGAGCAGATGCTTCACCTACGGCGTGGGCGTGTCCATTGTTTACCTTTCTCCGCTTGGCCTCTGGCCCTCGCTGGATATTTTGCGCCGGCCCGTAGCCTGCAGGAATGTTCGCGTAGCCACTCTGAGCGGGGACGGGGCTGGACCATTCGTGACTGAGAGTACCCATCCGGAAAGAGCCCTCAGGCATCGCTGTGGCAGGAGTGTTGCCATCGTGTTGTGGCAGTCCTCCGTGGTGCCTGATCTCCGGAGCTCCTGATTTCTGCGCATGCAATGTTGCTGTCAAGGCATCAATCTTGCGTTCCAGCTCGGCGACACGGCTATCGGCTTTCTTTTGGCGCTTCCTTGTTGGTGGAGTAGTAATACTTCATAGAGTCAGTCAATTGGACTGCGCCCGAGGACATGCGCTATCTTACCAGGACCGCCCGGCCTTTGCGCATCTTCTACATGACACATCTGGGCGTTCTTGATCGCAGCGCACTTTCAGTCCTCTGCACGAGTCGCATGCTCGTGGGCGCTTGAAGTCGCCGGCGTCTTTCGCAGATCCTGGGGTTGCATGGGTGCCTTCGTGGTCGCCCTCGTCTTCTTGTTCATACTCTTCGTGGTCGCCTTCAGGGATATGCGACGAAGTTTGCTGCAGCGCCGGATCCAAGCTGTTGCTTAGCGGAGGTTGCGACAGCTGTGGAGGCTGCTGCAGTGGCGCTGACGTAGGTAGATAGTATGGATGGCCAACGTTCTGCTGGGGCTGCGACGTATACGGCTGCGATTGCGCGTTGTCTTTCCCATCGAATGGAGAGAACAAGGCGGGGTCGATTGGCGCAGACATCGCGTTGCACTGGAGCAGAGCTCGAACGTCGGGATGTCGGTGATGTGAGAGCCCGGCTGCGATGTGGGGAGCGGTATGATAGCGCCAAGCCCATTCGAGTGGTGTAATGGTGAACAGTGTTGAAAGTGTCCGATAAGTGCGGAACAGAGAGCGTGGAGGTAGACGATGTGTTCAGAGGGAAAGAGCGTCTAGCACCAAGACACGCGCGATTGTGCGCTAATCAGGCGGGGTGAAGCAGCGAGGAAGGCGCGTCTGTTGACATGAGATGACGACCAACATACTCCCTGTCACTACTTCAGGGCTGACAACACACGCACACACACATAAACACAATGGTGGAGCCATGGAAGACAGTGAGAATGTTCAATTGTATGTGGAGACTTAGACTACATAGGTGAATACTGCGAATAGACATTAGAGGGAACATCATCTAACGCTCAAACATTGTTCATCATTCATCATCAGATCATCCGGCCTGTGAGTTGCTTGTCGTGCCATCTATGCAGCAGATTTAGAGGTCGAGGGCATAGGCGAGCGTGGCTGTACCCGAGCTACACATTGTCGCACCTATGCACGCACAAGCAGCTTCAACTACCCCGCTTACGAAGCGCATAAGAAGTAACAAGGTGGTGTGTTCGCTCCACTGAGTTAATTCTCTGAGATTCATCCTGAGCTAACAGGTGGAATGATGGCCACCTCATCACCAGCTTGGATCTCCTTGTCCGCGCCTGAAGCATCGTCATCGTCCAGATCGACGTACTCGAGGTTGACGGTCACAGCACAGCTGCTCAGCACCTTGTCTTTGATGCCAGGGTATGTATCATTGAGTTTCGTGAACAGATCGCGCACGCGGAGCGGTGCGGGGAGGTGCTCTGTAGTCTTTCTGGTGAACGTCGAGGCCGCCGCAAAGTACAAGATCGTGAAATGACCCGCTGAACCTTTTGTAGACGCCATGATGTCTACTGCAAGATCCTGCGACTCGTTAGACTCTGGATTGAAAGATGAGTGCAACAAGTCGTAAGAGCAAATTTTCTGATCAGCCAAAAAAAAGTGTTCCGCAGGCCATCACCAAAGTGACAGTCGGATAATACATGCTATATTGGAAAACATCACAAGAAGGGGGAGTTGAGTGGTAAGGGTGGTTGTTACTTACCTTTTGATTTTGTGAGTATGGAGGGAGGGAAGGTGCGGAGCTCTCGGAGGAGAGTTTCAGTGTGGCGCGCTAGTGCTCCGTCGCGACTTGAGCGCATTCTCATTGACGTTTCTGTCGCCTTTACCATTTTCTTGTACAATATGCACCCACGTGCGCTGTGGGCTTCCAGCAATATTTGCTTGCGATGTCAATGGCGCCTTGCTTCTCAGGGCCAAAGGAGTGCTCGTTTGCAAACTTCTCGTAATACTAATTCTTCTATAAAACCATCGCGAACGCTTCCAGGGCGCGCCTTCCATACTTTTACGCTCGTATGCCCGCACCACACCTTTCAACTTCACAACACTAACACAGTCCAGCGTGCCCAATCTGTGGTTACTCCCACACCCATCGACCTCGCTGTCGACCCTGTCTTCACCGCTCGACCGCCTCATTTACCAGTTCGCAATCATCTTGAGAAGTGGCAAGCCCAGTATGGAGGACCTAGTGAGGAGACGCTGTCTGCTTTCGAGAAGCACCCAGCAAACGGCGAGATATTCAACAACGTGTCGAAAGTGTCGAGTGCATCGGCAATAGATGATCAAACTGAAGGAGACAGGTGGTTTGCTGGTGAAGATGATGATGGAGAGGATTTGATCACCATAGGTCTCTTTCTGAAGCCTGGAGATGTGGTCGAGCTCTCGTGAGTCCATTCGTCTACCTAAGAAGCATCACTAATACGTTGCAGACAATCTGGGCGAGAGCCTATCCTCGCCGTCTTCGTGCAGCAACTCGACAACGACAGCCAGTTCTATACCATCAACGGGAAATGGGCCCATTCGAACCTCGCCCAGGTCTCTTTCGCTATTCCAGGCTGTGTAGACCCTGCGCTTCTGCAACCTCTCGTACCCTTCCTTCCAACAGATCCCGATAAGGCCAATCCGAAAGGCGAGGTTCACGTACCTCCAGAGGTTGCTGCTCCGGTGCAACGGCTTCTCGACAACTTGGCTGAAGAATCAGAGGGCGTGTACCGAAAGAACGCTCCGGTTCTGGATACCGCTTACGCTGTGCTCGCGGACAACAGCCGGACCCGCATGATGACACTGGCGCAGATTGCGAAGACCCTGCTGGCTCGAGGTAGTACTGCGTGGACACCTTCTTCATCGGATCTCTTGGCGGTACGGAAAGCTCTGAACCATAACGCCTTCCGCTTCCGTTCAGACCAACGCAGTCATCGTTTAACCAACGTATTCGCCATTCGTCCTAAGAAGGATGTGCAGGTCGTTGAGACTGTTCATGAATGGATCCGGGAATATTTCGAGCATCTGGCCAAGATTGCGAATGAACCGAAAAAGTCGGCTGTAATGCGTACAAAGGGTGCAACGAACATTCTGCAGTTCCTCGAGAAGGCTCGCAGACTAATTTGGAAAAGTAGAAAGGACCGCGATCCTAGCTCAGGAGGACTCGGGCCGAGTAAAAGTCGAGATGCAAACGTGCGAGCGGTAACGGACGAAGCCTTCTCGAAGAGCGACCATGAGATCATTACCTTCTTGCAAGCTTGGGTGCTCCACAACCAATTTCAAAATATGGGCGGTCTGCACTCTGCCTGCGCTGATCTTGTTGCAGCTACCGGATGCTACAAACCAGGAGTCATACAGCACTCTGCTGAAAACGAATCGCAAGCAGACCTAATCCGGCGTGCAACTGGGCTTGTGTTCTTGCAAGAGATTGGAGTAGTCACACCCTACGAAAACCGCTCAATCTACGACGAACAGCTCATGCTTCCAACTGTTCGACTCTCACGAAACTTGGAGTTGCTGAACGAGAAGGCGAAATTGCTTCGAATCACGCCTGATTTTCGCGACTCCATGGCTGACATGCGCCGTGATTGGGGACCGACGAACATCTATTGTATAGATGATGTTGGGGCCCAAGAAATCGATGATGGTATTTCGATTGAGAGAGTCAAAGGTGCCGACTCAGAATTTTGGGTTCATGTTCACGTTGCGAACCCGACCGCATTCTTTGACAAGACGCATACACTCTCTAGTTTGGCGGCACACATGACCCAGACTGTGTATACACCGGAGCGAACATTTCCAATGCTACCTAAATGGGCCACTGACGATCACTTCAGTCTGCAGCGTAACCGGCCAGTGATCACATTCAGTTCCAAAGTCGATCGCGAGGGAAGAGTACTCGAAACGCATATCTCGCATGGTACCATTCGCAATCCAATCTCGATAACACCTTCAGAGTTGGCCTCGAGCTTGGGAGAAAAGACCAGAGGCGGAAGACGAAGACTCGTAGTTGGCGGCAACGTAGTGACCAGCGGTGAGGCTCGAGTTCCTCCAACAATCAATCCTGGCCAAGTTCAGGAATTACAGAATCTCTACGCAGTAGCAAAGGCAATCTCGAAAAAGCGTCAAGAACGTGGCGGCATTTCCATGTTCAATAGCTCACCAAGTGTGCGTGTTCTCGAGAGTGCTCAGAAGCCCGGTCTGACCTGGAACGCACCCTCTACCGACACTTCACGTTTCATCAAGGGTGATCCTATCATCGAGATCACAAAGGCTGCACCAAAAGGATTTTTGCGTTTCGATATGAACGCCACCAACATCGTGGAGGAGATCATGATGTTGGGTTGCTCCACGGCTGCGTCATGGTGTGGTGAACGAGGCATACCAGTGATGTTCAGAGGGTCGATCGCTCCGCCTAATGTCAATCGCGCACCGTCAGAGGAGCTTAAGCACAATATCATGTCGAACTACCTGGAGAAGCACCAGAATCCGCCGCTTCGGCTGACGATGCAATACATGGAGTCGTTGGGTAGGGCTATTGCTCATACATCTCCACTACCACACAGAGTGATCGGAGTCTCCGGTTATGTCAGAGTGACGAGTCCGCTTCGACGCTTCAGTGACATGATTGCTCACTGGCAGATCGAAGCTGCCATTCGATACGAAGCGAGAACCGGCAAGAAATACAATGCTGCCGAACTGAGCTCCCAGCGTGGCATATTGCCTTTCACCCAGCGTCAAATCCAAGAGTCGATTATAACGTTATCGCCTCGGGAAAAGCTTATCGCGGCGACCCAGAGGAATGCGGTCAATCATTGGGTTTCTCAGGCTTTCCTTCGTGCTCTGCACTATAAGGAAGCTGAGTTGCCTGCTACGTTCAGATGCTGGATTAGATTCGTCGACTTGGGAGCGAACCTCCGTAGTTTGAAGCCCATGGCAGTGGGCCTCATGCCCGAGTTTGGCCTGAGGGTTGCCATACGGGACATAGAGGACGCCCAGCTGGGTGACGAGTGGGAGGTTGCCCTCGACAGTGTGGATCTGTTCAATGCTCGCATCTATGTCAAGCCTGTTCGATTGTTGAACAGAGAAGCAGACGACCTTGAATAGTACGCGCTGAAAGGCACGAACATAACTTTTTCCAAGTAAGATGAACCCTCATCGTTCGTACTGTCTTCGAGTGTCTCGACCTTCATAGCTGCAGCTGAAAAGTTCAGCTCAGATCTTTGCTACAGACGTTCGTCCAATCAGATCATCTTCTTGCATTGGCGGCGATGAGGCGTTCTGTGCGACGGGGAGGGACAGATGGTCACGGCACACATACCTGTGTTTGGTTTGACCTGGGACGTGAATTACAAATGTTCCAGTGAGCGATGCGGCAATGGCGAACCACACCAATGTCCTTGAACCGGACGGGCGGCACGGGGAAGGCGAAATCGAAGTGCGACGGCAACGAACAGTTACAGCGGGCCGGCGAAGCACATTAATATCACCCTTGCAAGCCGTCAAAAGCCACCGGTGCACTAGCGACAGATGTCGATCCAACAAGGATGCAAACGATTTGCTGTAAGCACTGTGTGGTCTATTCGTTTATGCAGGCAAACACAGCACGGCACGGCAAGGGATCCGGTTCGCCCAGAGATGCGCATCCACGCGCATGCCGCACGGCCGGGGTGAGTGGATCCAGCGGACCGGGCCTTGGTAAAAGGCGCCAGATCTGTGTACCAAGTATCATGTACTGTCTCGACAATCTTTTTACGTCCTTGGCGATATCTTTGTACGACTGAGACATGATGAGCCTAGCCGATGCACAATTACTGCACCACGACCAATTCGGATCTATGACTATATTGAGAGTCTACTATGCCGTGACCGACACTCTCCCACTGCACATATTCTCCACCCTCCTATCAGGCTAATTCTTCAAATGAGGCTGCGAATATACAATTACTGATCACAGACTACAGATCAGGAATCAGCCACTCCCGGCCTAGCCACATGCACTTGTCTGTCATAGGAGCTGAAATCCGGTACCTTCTACCTGTCAAAAGGACGACACCGGTGTTATAACACGCTCCCTATGAGACGAATTGAGCCGATCATATCCTGTCACGTTGATTCAACCCGCAACACTGGTGTCGCGTGTCAACCCAGGGCTCGGATGAAGACCATCTTACCATGGCTACATTTTCGCAAGATCGCATTCGCAGTCCCGCTGGCCAATCCATGGATGTCACTAGAAGGAAGCAACAACCTCAGCAACCGCGTCAACTCCTATCTTGTACCAAATGTCGCGAACGGAAGGTCAAATGCGATCGCACTAAACCCTGCTCAGCCTGTTGCGCACGAGGAGCGCCCAAAGAATGTCACTTTGTTGCAGAAGGAGGTGACTACGCTCCAATTCAACAATCATACGAACTGCGCAAACTTCGCGCGGAGAACCTACGGCTAAAAGAACGATTGCGTACCAGCAAGATATCCATCGAAGATGATGATTCCGACCAATCTTCAGAGTCTCAACCCGGCGACAGGTCCCGGGCATGCTCAATCAAGAGGCGTGCAGCGCGTCAAAAACGGTTCCACGGCTCTGAGTGGTCCGACTCGATATACTTTGGCTCTCCGGGACTAGCGAACATCATCGCAGACGTGAGTGAAATCGTTGTAATTGAGACTGATGTACTGACCTGAAGAAAGTTTGCAACTGTAAATTTAACACCTACTAACGCACAATCTCTGGCGCATCATATGCCCCGCGGTCCAGATATGTTCACACCAAAAACACCCTCTTCGTACCCGTTTGCCACACTGTTTCCTGCCACTCCAGAACAGTGCATACCGCAGCTTCTAGATATTCTTCCATGCCGGAAAGAGCTCTTTGAATACTTGGCCGCCTTTGAAAAGCGTGTTTATGTTTGCGCATTTCCTCATCTCCCTATCGAGCTCACCAAAAGCGAAATCGAGCGTTTTCTCTCAGATCCAGAAAGGAATGCCCGAATGTGCCCTGATACGTTGGCGTTGATCTTTGCGGCCATAGCGCTGGGCGCACAACACTCGGTATGGGACAAGTCTGGCGAACAATGGAGAGCCGAGTTTGTAGATGCGGAAGCGCAAAGAGGCAACGTCTACGGTCAGTATACTTCCCCCAAACGGTCCTGTGAATCTAATCAGATGTTCAGTCGCCGCCTCAATGCAAGCCCTCCGCATTTCGTCGTTCATGCATAAACCTTCACTGTTAGCAATCGAATCCCTCATCATGATAGGGCCATTCCTTACCAACTCGGGCCGCTTTCTGGATGCCTGGATACTTTTTGGCACTACCGTTCGATTGGCTCAAGCCATGGGCCTTCACCGTCACCCAAAGTATCTGGATCCAGCTCCACCCAGTCAGAGAGAATGTTCAATACGCCAGACTCTCTGGTGGTGGATGTTGCATATGGATGAGCAGTATTCGATGACTTTGGGGCGTCCGCTTGGAATTAGCGGCATGGGGGACTGCCCACCTCCACACGAGCTCACGACAGATCCACAAATGCTACGATTTAGCGAGTTCATCAACCACTTTACGATACTGGCCAGGCAGATCCTGAGTAGCGATCGATTGACTGACGCCAAGATTGACGAGTTCACCGATCTTCTAGGCGGACTCCTGGACACGATGCCCGAGATGCTTCAATTTGATGAGTCTTGGCTAAACGAGGACAACGAACTTCCCGAATGGCCATTGAGCGCCATGGCTGCTGGTACGTGATTACATATTAACAATAGTGTTTTGGTCAATGCTCACCTTTTGAAGTTTATTACTGCAAGACTCATACCTACCTAATCCTGTTAAACCGTCAAAGGACCGACAAGCCTTCGGAATATCCTCAAGCAGCTGCCACGAGAACTCCTTCGTCGTTCAGACCCGTCAATAGAACGCCTTCTTCGCATCCCTCACCTACCATATCAACACCAGCTTCGCCACGCGGGCGGCCTCTGGTACTCACGTCTTCTGCAGCAATCTTGATGGCTTTTCTGTTCTTCTACACACGCGCTCCAGCATCTCTCGTCTCCTGGACAATCAGTCAACAAGCCTTCAGCAGCTCTATGATACTCCTCCTGGATGCACTGGAGACTGGTAATCTTTTACACGTGAGGAAAGTCGAACAGGCATATGTTGTTTTCAGGGAGCTACAGGACAATGGTGTCCATAAGCTTGCAGGCTTAGCTGTGGAAAAGTTGAGCTGGGGTCTAGACCAACTGCGCAAGAACATGGGAGAATTTGGCATACATCACTCTCCGGACAGTATCCAGTCAGCAGGTGCAGCTCAAGATGGAGCGGATCGTGTCACAGGAGCTCCACAGGATACGGTCATGGGCAACACAGGCATGCTGCTACTCGAGGAAGCAGGTCTGCAGTCATACACCCCCGAACGCTTTGCGCCCTTCACATGGGCCATAACAGGAACTGAGAGTGAGGATATGACTCCAAACCAATCGAAGCAAGAGGAGTCGGAATACCATGGAAAGGCCAATCGATTGGCTCGCATGAAGCTGGAAAGCTCAAATAAAGTCGTTCCGATCCTGAAAGAGCTGCAGGGCAGTGCAGGATCACCCCAAAAATCGGCGTTGGGGCGATATGGTGTGCCGTCGTTACAGGAACACTTCCAGCCACGAACTTGTGTAACAGGCCCGGCCTCGCCTATGAGCCTTGCAGCGCCGGTGTTGCAACATAACCACAATGATGGAACCGTCGTCACAGAGCATCGCCATTCACAGCAGCAGCGATCGCCTCATTCACAGCATCCGCAGTCACGTCGAATTACACCTACAGCCTTTACAAACGATCAAAGGCTAGAGATCTGCATAGAAAGGAGTGACAGTACTGGACCTTTGCAGCAATGGGCTCAACCTCTTTCAACGCCCAAGCAGTATCAGATGTCAGCAGCACAACTCAGACACAACTCGTGTCCGTCACTGCACCAACTTTCGACAACCCCACCCCTCCTGCGGCCCACATACTCGTCACCCCTTGCAAATAGAGCCCACAGTCCTGTGAGTAAAGAGCGTCACGGCGTGCACTCACAGTGGTCGGTGAATTCTGCAGCCTCAATATTAGACAGCCCTGAGCCGGGGCTGGTCGTCTCACCTATGTTCAACCAGGGGCATGGCGTTCCGACCTCCCAGCACGAGAGCGCTCAACAGCAGCAAATGACGTATCAGTACTCATTCCCGAACCATTCGATGGCTACAAGGGTGAATGAGATCGCAGTAACGAATGTGGAGCAGATGACGGTGGATCAGTGGAAACGATGGGTAGGCAGCGGGGCGCCTGGGTAGCGTTACGAACCACCCCACTTCGTGTCATTCTGCGCCGGCGCTCTTATTCTTGTATTTCTACGTATATCAATAGGTTCATCACTGGGCACTATTTTGTGTTGTTATGAATGCAGTATCGAGCGAAATGTACTCCAAAAGCTGTGCTCCTCACACAAGGCCGATGACTTCAACTGCGCATCTCCCCAATGTGAAAGCAATGATATGATGACCCCTCCCCACTTGTCCGGATTATGATACCCTTCCCTCTGTTCATTGTATTTTGCAACGTCCCTTCCCCGAACCTTGAAGTTATCGTCGTTGTTAGTCAGCCACCAGCCGACAAAAAGCAACCACGTCCCCGCTTCCCTGCCCTGGACACCTCGCGCAGCCTCGAGCCTCCTGTCATTCCAAATTAAGCACTTCAGTACGTAAAACCGGCTATCAGCGTTTGTCACATCAAACAACCCACATGTCTGCTTTTGGTGGCTGCCACGTCCCTGTCTCGCAGCCTCGCCATTCAATCCTTCGTGCACAATTGAAGTTTGTGACCAAACAAGCATTGGCGGCAATCGCACGTGGGATATTGATCTGCTGTATCACAGCTGAGATACCAATTACATCGCCTGAGGACATGTCGAAGATCCATCGCCCTATCTGCACCATCAAGCACAGTTCGTCACGACTCACAGCTCCCTACTCTTGCTTATCATATCCGCTCACCCCGTCCATCGCCCCCTGCAACCAGCTGCGCTCCCGCTAATCGACCCGTTCCGATGGTGCGTTTTATCCTGATCCTTGGGTACGGGATATCAAATCCTCGAGTCAGGGCACGATGCAAGAAGGATTTGGTCTTCGATCGCGTTACACGACAGTAACGCGGAACGTGAGTTTTCAGCAGTCTCTTGTCATCCCTGCTACGACACGAGCTGAGCGTGTCGCCCGCGTGCTCGACAGGCATATCGTAATGCACCGGTATCCGCTGCAGCTGCAACGAGTATACTGTAAGCAGACACCGTCCAGTCTCACTTCTCAACACGATTATGTACCTAACAACTTTTCGCGACGCCGAAAATGTGACGACATCGAATGGGTGCTATTGCCCCTGGCGTACGGTCTGGTAAATCGTTGGCAGGCTATATGCATCATGACATCGAGCTCTGGATCTGCGCTGCAGCTCTGACTTGGTTAAGCAATACGCTCACTTGTCTTCGGATTGGAGGAAGTCATTCCGGATGAGTACTAATCCACAAACTACAAGCCTTGAGGCGACACTGATGGCCGCATGGCACCACAGCGCTTTCTTTTGCGTTCTGGAGTCTGGAAGTGCATATGCCAGAACCGTGGCTGCAACCGTTTGAAGGGCGTCGTCGGCGACCTACAAGCGAGTAATGGGCGTCAAGCAGGATCAACCACCCATCGAACCGCGGCTTACTGCAGGATCGAGTATCATACTTCCAACCGTTGCGTAACAGTTCGGAAAATGGATTTGCTTTTCTTGCACCTACCAGGAGTGGCATGTGCCTCCGACCGTCATTTACAGTCCAAGCCACAAGCGAGAGCTACAGCGAGCGCGGGTAATGTGCCGAGATCTCATCTGCCTTTCGGCCCTCCTACGGCTCAACTTTATCGTTCCCCTTGACAGTGGCAGGGGAAGAGAGATCTTTGGGTCCAATCGACTCTACAATCCACACACGATGACCCCCACTGGATCGGACCGTCAGACCGATGAGGATTCCAACCCCCTTGGCGCAACCATGAATGCCAACAACACATGATACTTGCGTCAGCAGCCAGAGCCAGCGCCTCGAGCCGCTACCGATAAGGCTAGCGTGAGATCTGGTGGATGGTGAGGATCTGCTAATGAAACGTCTATGCAGACTATAGGCCTCAAGTTGGGCGCTTCATCGACAGGTCGCCGACCTCGACTGACAACTTCAACTATCTGTTCTCTGGTATCATGGGGGTGGCTTGTATCAACATTGCATATACGAGACTCACTTAATGCTCTTTGGAGACCGCAGAACACCTTCGGTCACAGCAGGACAATCAATGAGAACACAGGTCTTTTTCCAGACTGTGCACACTCACATACCTCGGACGCTCCAGGAATCCACCCACGCAGGGCGACCACCACTGCATCGCATATGCAACACCGCCATCTACAGTCTGTCACTACGGGTCCCGCCCGCTCACACTAAAATAACTTCATGATGCGCAAGGCTATCCTCCCGCAAGTCTTCACGAGAGATCCCGCGACTTGTCGCTCACACCGCCATTCCATTCGCTGGTCAAAGAAGCCACTAGTTGATCCCGCACGGCGGGACTAACACGGCGTAATTTGTATTCACAATGCAGGGTGACCCGCTCACTGTATGCGGCTGTACGATGGTTGCTCGGTGACTGAACCAATGCTTGTGTTGTGTGTGACGGACTGGTCTGGATTATGCTCTTGCATGAATGGCAAAGACATGCGTGGAGGGTGCCGTACAGATGCGCTGGCCCACGGATCGAAGCGTGAGATAGCCATGTCAAACGTCATGAAGCACTTTGTGGCTTTAGTACGGTACGCTTCGCATTACATTGCGATGGTCTGCTCTGAAAGTCTCAACTTAGCTGCTCCGTTCCGGAGACGTAATAGTGGAGGCGTTGACTATGTACATCAGTCCAGGGCACGACTGTACACCTGCGCCATGGCTTGATGTGATGTGTGCATGGTTACCTATAGTCTGCGCTCAGCTGTGTGCCTAGTTGTCAAATATTAGGATAGGAATCGAAGGACAGGCTGTTAATACAGATTCACTATAGCTCTGTACAATTATGCGCAAATTGTAGTCAGCTGCTGTCCCATGAGACGGACTCGTGGAGTATCAACCCGATTCGAGAGCACAATAGACGAGGCAGGACCACACGATGACATGGAATGTATATGCTCGCTCTGATATTATCCCACAGTGTTATTCACGCATCGTCACCTACCAAAGCACAACCCGATGAAATACCTATCCACCTCGGACCTTTACGCCAACCCAATTCTAAGCGCTCACCTCATCTAAACTGCTTTTATGACGCTTTACTTCGACTGTCTCACTCAGACTGACAGATAACGTTTCCTGCAACATCAATCTCACTCGACTACTCTGTAATCTTTTCCTCTCTCTCTTCCCCGGATCCTTTCTTACCCTTTGTCTGCCCCCTTACCATACCAGAATCTACTCACCCATCCAGTCCTTTTATCCGCATAGAGACCGTCAACGAAGTAGCCGGGGCAGCTCAATACCTTGCTTCGACTGATTCATACCTCACCAACACAACGACTTTTCAAGACAGGTACCATGTACGGCGGGGGTTCGCGGGTGCAGGTTGATGAGGGTAAAGAATGGGAGAGGGACTGGAAGTCATGGTAGTGGACGTTGAACTGTTTGGGTTTTGGTCGATTGATTGATTGATTGATTGATTGATTGATTGATTGATTGATTGATTGATTGATTGATTGATTGATTGATTGATTGATTGATTGATTGATTGGTTGGTTTAACGTCCTATCTGAGTCTAAGACTATGGAAGGCGAGAGGAGCAGTAGCTCCTCTGGTAATGCAAAGACTTAGTTACAAGAGGTTGAGTTCAATGAAGGTACAAGGGATGGTGAGGGCTCAGGCCCTAAGCAGGTTTGGGTTTTGATGGGGAGGTGTGGGATGGGTATGTGAGATGGACAAGGTGTGTGGGGGTAGGTGAGGATGGAGACAGTGGCAAGAGAAGCAAAGCAAAGCAAAGCGGGTACCACGCGTTCCGTGGGAAATCGCGTCCGCTTAAAGGGTGATAGCGAGTTTAGCAACGTAGCATGAAACCCGATGTTTCGTGCTGTCATGCATGGTTTGATTGTTGATCATATGGTAAATCAAATCACCTACTGTATCTTAGGATTGGTAAGCATGCATATATTCACGGGAAGTGCAATTGAGAGTCCGGCAAGCAAGGCTCTTATTGTGAGCAGAGACCCACTCGATGATACCATGCTACGTTACGCTACGCAATGCGATACTTTCCCAGAACCTCCCACTTTTCCACCGTCTTTCCACCATCCTCTTCGCTCCGACCCCTCAAATGAACACTGATGTATATTCAAAAGAATGAAACCCAGGGGTATACCATAACGCCTTAACACACTCTGTCACAACGCATTGCTCTACAAATGTTCGACCAAATGGACGGTTGAGTCATCTGTTACTATCATCTCTTCGACGATGCTCATTCATCTCGAAACACCCAAGCGATGGTATCGCGGACGAACAAATCACATACTTCCATGTCGTTTTGATGAAGAGACTCTTCTTCTTCTTCTTCTTCTTCTTCTTCTTCTTCTTCTTCTTCTTCTTCTTCTTCTTCTTCACCTTGTAAAGTCGTTTTTCAGCCATTCTAGGTAATGGAGGTATCCGACTTTCTGCAAGGTGAGGCGGTTGCTTGACTATTTTTGGCCCGCGGAGAAAGTGAGGTGCGACGAGCCAGTTTCGCAATCCTACATGTTGCTGGTGTCATTTGAGCGCGATCGCTCGGTCACACTCAGGTAGCACTTTGATCATTCTTTGCGAATGCTCGATGTCCTGATGTAGAGTCCAATGTCTCGAGTGAGCGTCTGGGAAAAACAGACCCCGACAATATTCTCTCTTCTCTGAAGGTTGTCCTGGTAGTGAAGCTTCCGCCGTCAACATTAGCCTATCCCCTGCTCTACAGCGGAAAAGGGGCTGCCATGTCCTTCGCGTGTGGTTGAGCAATGGCGTCTACATAAGGCTCGGAAGAGTCGCGATCGCTGCGCTTCCGGATCAACTCCGCGGCGTCAATGCCCATTCCTGAGTCGGCGCAGGCCGTCGAGCCAACGTTCCTCGTTGGTGCGTGGCCAAAGTCCGGGCACGCAACTGTCGGCGATTGTCTCGCATTCCAAGCACTACTCCTCGTGCAGCTGGTGTGTGGGACATGCGCCACGGCCCTTCATTTTCCACCAGTCCTTGATACATTTCTGAACGATGTTAGCCTTGATTCGAGAACACATGTATGATGCATGAAGGGGGGTTTCGATGGCAAGGCAGTCGCGTACCTCGTGAAATTTGCACCAACACACCAGCCTGGCCATCTTGTCGCCTGCCTCGAATTCCTCGAAGCAGATCACACATTCGGCATCATTTCCATCTTCATCCACACAATCTTTCTCAGTAGCAATATAAGGGAACATGCCGCGGGCTGCATGACTGTGCCTGTGCGATGAGCTCGCACCTTCGCCATTCCCTGCACTACTCATGCCACGAGTACGAGTAACAGGTAGGCTGGCAGAAGTCTGCGCTTGCGGGCGTGTTGTTCTTGTTGTGGAATTTGGCGCCGGTGAAGACGAATGGAGTGCAATGCACTCCTCGATATGCTGAGATCGCGCTGAGTCATCACCGTCTGGACCCTTTGCCGGTAACTCGCCTCCGCAAATGGGACACTCGTCCTCTTCCGCGATCTGACGCCTAGGCCGAGGGTTCAGCTGCTGGATTGGTGGAGGCTGCTGCGACGGTACGAAGAATTGCCGCGGGACCATGTCTCCTCTGACCGAACTTGACCCTGATCCTGCACGTTGCTGGTGCGCTTGTGGGAGGTAAGAAGGACCGGTGGGCGGACGTGAGGAAGATGGGCTCTGCTCGTGCTGGCGTGCATGCGAGGGATACACGTGTCCAAGGGTTGGCAGAGGTGATGGCCACCGGTCCTCAGAACGTGAAGCATCATGGTAACTAACACGTCGATTGCTGAACGAACCCCGCGAGGATTGCGTTTGCCCCTGGCCAGCAGCGTGAGGTGCAACGTGCACGCTGGAGGAGGACCGGTGCGCACGCTGATAGGGTGGCACAGCGCCCGGGCTATACTCTGGTCGTGCTGGTGGTTGAGGTGGTTGACCGGGAGCATGGCTTGCCGAAGACGGGTACTGCGGTGGAAGGCTGTAATTTGGATCGGGGACACAAGGGTTGCAAACGCGCACTTCCTCGCCCCCGCCTAGCGCTGGGTTGCGGAACGGGCCGAAGTTGGACATGGGATTCATATCGTCGTCGCCGGTGAGGTCGATGATACCGTTGGAGCCGTCACTCGGGGGGTGGACAATGAACTGGCGGGGTATGGTGATGCGGTGCGGCGAGCACTGGGAGCACACCACCCGTCCACATTTCCTACAGTGATGTTTTCTGAACAAGAAGGTGAACTGTCTGTTGCATACGGGACAGTGTGTGACATGCGAGTCTGGCTGCCATGGCGGCAAGACGAGATCGCTTTCGCGCCTGAACGGCCTGGGTGTGTTGGAGAGCGCAGAGTACGACGGCGGGGGTGGCGGCGGGGGTGGCAGCGGTCGCTCACGCAAGGGCGCGGGCGACGAGCCTAGCACGATAGGGTCTGCACTGGAGCCCGCGTGCGAGCTGCTGCGCATTCTCGTGCTCGACGGCCGGCGCACGGGTGACTCGGCGGCTGTCAGACGCCTCTTACGGTCTGAGCTGCTGCCAGAGGACGGTGTATCGGTGCGCGGGGGTGGGCGAGAAGGCAGAGCGAACGGCGAGGACGACGACGGAGAGTCCATGCTGGCCGCCGTCGAAGTATGGGTCGGTTGCGGGCGTCTGCGTGCTGGGTCAACGCCAGCCTCTCGTAAGAAGTCTGCCCACGTTTCTCCCCCGTACGCGTCCCGTGGTTGAGCGAGGAAGTGTGAAGCAACCGCACCGTGCACATGACGGTGCACGTCGGGGCTGTCGATGTTGTCTCGGGCAGGTTCGTCGCTCGGTAGAGTCATAGTGCTGGTCGGGCGACGAGGCGCGTGTCTTTGCGCGCTGGAGGCTCGCGGGCGTGACGTGTGCGGGAGCTCAAGATGCAGCTATGGGGGGGGGGGGGTGTAATCGGACGCTCACGGCGACATGCCGCCACACCTTTCTCTGCGATGCAAGGATGTTGTTTAGTAATGCAGCCCGCTCAGTGTCTGCGAGCTTCGGTCAGTGTCTGGCCTTGGTATATGTGCAACCAGAACATCCGACAAGACGAGCTTGTCACGAGCGAAGCGTTGTGTTGCGGTGAGGCGCGGAGGTGGGTGGGTCCATCAACCTGGACCGCGGATCTTTAGTGGATGTAGCTCGACTTTGCGCCCGTGGAGGTGAAGTGAAGGCTGGTAAAGCTGGTAAGGCTGTCGAGATATGTGTGATTCGCAAAGCGAAGGCTGAGTGAAGCGACTCGTCGTCCAACCCTGCCGAGCGCCGGTGGAAGCTTGGTGGTGGGATGTTGTGAGAGCCTCAGGCCGTCATAGAGGCGAGGCTTATCTTATCCGCACTCCCTTCAGCCTGCACCAGCCCGCTAGTCCGGCAACTGCAACCGTACGTATCACGCCATCCAACAAGAGCAAACGGTAAGTGCATTCACAGCGCTCATATTGCTAGACTATGTGTAACGGGCACTGCGGTCCTCGCTCCACCCTCCAACATACAGATAGACAGACAGACAGACAGACAGACAGACAGGAAATGTCTCCAAATCCAGGTACCCGACGTTATATGTATGCAGCATCCCACTGCGCCTTGCTTTGCAGCCCCAACCTGGATGCTACCAAATCCTCAACGCCAAGGAACAAGCGCTTTTGACGAGTGAAGCGCGAATGTACAGCCGGAAAAGTTCGTCATGATTACAAAATCTATTGTCGCAAGAAGAAGAAGGACCGCTTCGAAAATGTCCACACACTACACTACACTACACTACACTACACTACACAGCACAGCGTTAGCTCAAAGAAGTGTGCAAGAAGAAAGACGAGATCAGAGTGGTCTTGATCTTCGACTCTGTCCGCTCATCTGTGTGCTGCCGCTCTGACTGCGGCCTACGATCTCGGCCCTCGCTTCCACGTCGGCGCCGTCATAGCCATCACTGTGGAAGCTGTCCTGCGTCCTGTGGCCTTGTACGTAGCCTGTGCTCACCATCCCATTTCCACCTAGGACAGGCGGTGGAGCGAGTGCTTGACGGTACGCGCTCGAAGCTGCTGAGTGGCCAGGTGATCGCTCAGGCGAAGGGTCTGTGGAACCGAACGGCAAGCGGATAGGTAGTGTGCCACCTGTAGGTTGCAGATGCTGGTTGCTTTGCGGCATGGGCGGAGAGTCCATTATCCTTGATAGTCGTGCGTTGTTCTCGAGAATAGCGGCTTCTGTCGATGCCGTACGTCGAGAGCTCCTTCTTGGTAATATCGGTGCCCGGCCGCCGGGTTGCCCTCGTCTTGATGTGCGGGAGACGCGCGACCCTACCCTACTGGGAAGCTCGATGCCGCCACCAGTCTCGATAGGTCCCAGCATGGGTGGTATCTCAGACACGCGATTTGAATCGTATGCGAAAGGCTCTTCGTCGCCTTCGTCGCTAAAGTCCGACTCGCTGTCACTCGACGGTGATCTTCTGCTTTCGCCAGCTAGTACTCCAGCTGGTGCAACAGCCCGCGGTGGACTCTTTTGGCTCTTCTTTGATTCGGGTGAATCGGGGTGATCGCGATAAGGCTCTTGTGTTGGCCGAGGCGACTGCTCGTGCTCTTCTTGCTCTTCTACTGCCATCATTTGGGGCGGCATTCTTGTGCTTCTGACCACCTCGAAGCCCTTGCTCTTTTCCTTCTTGCGACCGCCGCCCAGCAGGTTGAGGTTCTTGAACCAGCCTGTCGCTGATGACACTGGGCTCATCGGATCAGCGGGTCCAGTCTTCAACTTTCGGCTGGGTTGTGATGATAGTGCGGGTCCACGGAGACCGTAGTAGAAGTCAGACTCTCGCACTGAATAGTCTGTGTTGTTGCGGCGTTCGAGATTCGGATCAGAGTCATTCTCCCGGTTCATGCGCAGGTACGCTGGTGACGCGCGCGAGGGGCCTTCGCCTGCATCGTGAGCGGCTTCGATGTCCATTTGGTCCGAGTATGGCGCATCAACAATGTCTGCGCTTCCTGGCGGTGGTGCTCCTCGACCACGTGCACCCGGCCCCACCGAATCCATGGTGTTTGTGCGCACGCGCGGTGGCCTGTAATATGGATCCGCTGTGTCCAATTGTGTTCCCATCGTTGGCCTTCGAGAGCTCTGGCCAGAGCTACCGCCCAGGAAATTGAAAGGCATCGCGTTGACTCCTGGCGTACCCGGACTGTTGCCTTCGCCAGAACTGAAGTCGAACCCTCCGCTCCGACGCTGCTCGTCCCTATCATATGGCTGACTGAGAAGCACGGCAGAGCTGGCAGACAAACTGCGTGACCGGCTGTCCATAAGCTGGATGTTCTTGTTCTCGTCATTGACAAGCATCGCCGCGTTCGAGTTGAGACTGCTGCGTTGCTGTCGATGGTTTACTCGCTTCGAAAGTTGACGTTTGCCGAAAACCTTAGTGAGGCCTCCTCTAGTATCTGCACCAGCACCCGACAATCTCGCAATGACCTCAACAATGGTCTGCAGAGCATTGAGGAAGAAGCCAAAGATCAGAACAACGGCGTGTAGAAGCAGGATGGCGTAACCGATCCAGCCTTTCGAGGACTCTGCGACCCCAAGAGTGGGTACAAACGCTACCGAGAGGAGGATGCAAATGAGTCGGACGGCCGAGAAGAAGGTGTGGTAGGCGTTCATCGATGTGTTCGATTGGAACGGCCGGAAAGCATGTAGAGTTAGGATTAGAATTACCTCGCAGATAGCGAGCATGACAATCTGGGCAATACCTGAGGGCTGAATAGCTCCTATGGCAATGCCTCGTATGATGGTAAGCAACACAGGGATGAAAGCAAATGGTGCGGCGTCATCAGAGTATGTGTTGTACAACGGCCCGTACGTCAAGACAGTTGGTAGGTCGTCGAAAAGGTGAGCGCGCGGTCGCGTGGTGAAGATGAGCCAAAAGATCCAGAATGCTATTCCCATGACTCCAATGAGAAGCACAGCGGCAGCGCCGACTACAGAACCAGGTGATCGCGGGGCCACGACCAGTTGGAACAGGGATAGTGCAATGATTGGCAACATAAAGAAGTTGAAGACGATACGAACAATGTTGCCGGCGGTAAACGACCAGTTCTTGCCAGTGAGGTCACCATCTTGGGTATTGGTGAGCATACGCATGAGCCAACGTCCAACAAAGCCAACCTGTGTCAAAACGATGACGATGGCAATGAGGACAAGGAGGAAGATGGCCATGCAAGCCCACATATCCCGTTCCTTGGTCATGCCCACGTATTGTCCGAGACGAGTCAGCCCATAGGTACCGTTAACAATGTAGATGCCATCATCGAGACTCTGCGAGCCGTTGCCTTTGCTTACGAAGCTCTCGTTGAATAAGAGGACAGACCAACTGGCCTGGCTGATCGCCGGCTGAAAGAAGCCAGGGTAGTTCAAGCTCAGACTGCCCGCCAGAACGATGAACTGGATGTACTGCAGACAATCACCGAATCCAGGAGTAACAAGGCGCAAAAGATCCTCGTCACGGCCATAGTTGCTAGTCCAACGAAAGATGTTCGAGGTTCCCCATGGGCTGCACGTGGCTGCAAAGACGGTCGCTACACCCACAAGTATAAGCACAGCAGCCGGCATATAACAGACTGCATCGGACAACCTCTTCCCCAGATCCGGAGTGATGTTCGCAGACACGCATCCCAAGGTATACGCCCTCTGATCGCCGGACACAATGCGCAGCTCCAACGCCCAAGTGGAGAAGGCATATGTGCTGTGGAAGTCGTGTGCTACAGTGAAGCCTGGCAAACTGTATGGATCGCTCGCATTGGCGTTGAAAGCTGGCGCCATTGGACAATCCGAGACGGTGGTATTCAAGACATTCGCGCAGAACTGGACACCCGTCGGAGTCCATGACGAGTAGGTGAGTGTCCTGAAGTCGGAGAATAGCGTGGTGTAGTGGTTGGAAAGCTTGTCAACGTCTTCGATTTTTCCAAATAACGTGCTGTTGGGGTTGTCCCATTTACTCGTATCAGAAGGAGAAGGCAATGTGCCCCTATCAGATTGACCTGACACATTTCCGTAAACCGTTACATTCAGGTTGTGTGTTGGGTTGTGGGTGTCGAACGCCGCCCAAACGTACATAGGCGTGAACTGAAGGAAGGGCACATCATTGTCAAGGAACAGCTTGTTCAAGCAGCTCTCAAAGTCGATGAATACGGCGTTTGCGCGCGGAAGGAACGAGGCGAGGACGAGGAAGAAGAGGACGGTTGGTAGTGTGCGCAGTAGAGGCATCGTACGTTGTCTCTGCCGTGGTCGTGGTGGTGGATGTGTGTGCTCGTGGGAGGGTATCCGGAGTTGTCTGCCACCGTGGATCATTGGTGCGGCTCTGCGCTGTGTCGTGACTGCCATTATCGCCTGCAGTTCCCCTTCATGTTCAAAGCCTACACTATCTCTTGACGATGTTGCGTCGTGCAGTGGGCCACAGCGATCGGTTGACCCTCGCTCGTAGTGTCGTATGCGCGAAGGTACTCGTGTGATGTGGTATTGCGAACGTAGGGATGTCGATCAGGATAGTGATCGGTGCTGGGGGGCGCGGGTAGCAATAGAACTTTCGCAGGCAGTGTTGAGGGCTGGTCGCACGCAAGACGGGGATGGCCTGCTCTGCATAAAACACGGGGTCAGCAGAGAGATGACGAGGTGCTGGCAGCGCGGTACGAGGAGCGTCGACGATCGGTCTAGACGATTAAATTCGTTGCAACAGCAGCCCTGTAGCGAGTGTACGAAGTATACAAAGTGTAGAGCAGATGTCGCCTTTGGTCTCCTGAGGCAGGCGCTGCGGGGACTGGAGGCGTAGAAGTGTAGCGCAACACGCTCAAGACACTAGCAGGACAGTTGGCCTCGTATAGAGGAGCGCCAGTGCGCACTACAGCCGTTGCGCCTTGGAAAGCTCAAGACACGACTGATGGGTGGCCGCAAAGGAGGCGGCGCAAGGGAACAAGATCTCACGGGGTGCAGGCGCGGAGTGCGATGGGATGAGCGCGGATGTCCTCAACAGCAACACGGCTGCGCAAACGAGGGGAGCACTACACTTTGCATCATCATAGTCGCGCTAGGGGAGCTCTCACTATTGACAAGGAAATCTATACGCTTTTGCTGGGCTTTCGGGAGTCTGCCAGCCGTTGCTCGCTCACGAAAAAAGCAGGCAGGCTTGCACAGGGAGCCCCTGATTGGATGCTATTTTGGGCACCTGCCGTTCTGAACGCCAACCGCAACCTCGGAACGCCTTCCTAAACGCTGCCGTTCTTCTGCACAGTGGCGAAGGTGCTCGTCCATAGGAGTTGCTATATGTTCTCGCCAACACCATCATGCAGCTCTTCATTGACAGATGGCACCGAAAAGCGCGAAGCTTATCGTGTTGAGCGCTGCAGCGCACTGCTTACCGCGTTGCCGGTGCAGCACAGCCACACAGTCGATCAGGCCCACATCACAAGTCTGTTTCATCTCGCAGGGCAACAGTCATTGTCGGCAGACATCCGAGAGAGCGCCTGCAAACGATTCTTCTGCAGTTGATGCTGCCTGGTGCATCGTCGACGAAGTTCAAAGAAAGTTTGGATGACTATCGATGCCCTACAGGTTCGTGTAAGTACCTGACAGCTGCGCATTGCGACATGGCAGCCAGCGTGCCTCTTGCGTTGCATTTCGAAGCAGTACTTAGTCAGTCCGACTTGACAATCGCTTCCAAATTTGATTAGACGACAACAAAGTTATCTACTGCGTACGGTGGAGACCTTCATCAGATCGAAGGAACTTTAGATCAATCATTACTTTTAGCTCTATGAAACCTATCATCTCAGACTTCGGCGACAACTCAACAGACAAAAGCAGCTCAGCGTGAGAAAGTTACAACACAGTAGGTCTCTCCAGAGAGTAAACACGTTAGTTTTCTCGAGAGGTACAGCAATTCCACCAGCAAGCCACAACGCACCCTACCGCGCTAGCTGCAAGGATCCCCGATCTCCAGAAACCTTCAATCCGACAGACTGTTTTTCCCCGCAAGACGTTGCTCAACACAAAGCTCGCAACCTGGTTCCTGTCACAGTAGACTTCAGCACGACTCGCATACGTTCGTTATCACGTCATATTGCAGGGTGTCGATCCATCGCCAGCATGCCATATCACGTTTCTTCAGCTGGCACGCCTTGCTGGCGACCCTCACCTCAATCCGGCAGGTACCGGCACGACAACGTGATTTTTCGACCAAACCCCGCTCGTATCAACAAGAAAGACGCCTCAGCGGCACAAATAAAACGTCGTCTTGAGCCGGCTTCCACGCAAGATGGACAAGCCCGCAAAAGCCTTTGCTTGGCAGGTTCAAAAAGGTTAGCTTGTGTAAGTGTTAGGCAGGTACTCTGTCTTAAGGGCCTTGGCAACGATTGTCAAGAATTCCGCTGTCGATGATGATGCAGGATTCCGGAAGGCTGGTAGAGGTTCAAAAAGCTCACCACGTCCGTTTGGAATCCTCAGCTTCGTCCCGCGTTTCTCCAATCTCCACAGCTTGGACAAATTGACAAAAAATGGCGATGCGGTTAACTATCCTGGCCACTGGCCTCCTCCTTGGCTCTGCACAAGCTTTGACCACTGAGTGAGTATCGTGGATTGAGACTGCAACATCATACTGACATCCTTAGGGGCATGCTTGCTGCGCCTCGTAGAAGTACTGGAAGTCTGAGTCCCAAAGGTGTATGTCCACACTCGACAACAACAACAACAACAGTATCGTACTAATTTCGCAGGACCGAGCACTCTTCTCGTCGACCAGCTACAATTGGACAACTGCAAAGGCTACGACCGGCTGGTACTTCCTCGATGTTGAGAGCGGAAATACGACTAAGGCACCTTTTGGAAGCGAGGTCTCCGAAGTCGTCTGGATCGGCGAGACAGAAGACAGCATTCTGTACTTGAACTCTAGCAACGAGGAGATTCCTGGCGGTGTGACACTCTACACAGCTGACCTGAGTGGCGAGTTCAACCCGTGAGTTTTACTGATGAGAACTTTGCAGAACTGCTACTGACGGTTCTCAGCTCATTAGTAGCATCTTTGGGCGCACCATTCTCAGGTCTCAAGGCTGCAAAATCTGCTGATGGCTCTCTGAACTGGGTTGCAAACACCCTCGCGTACTGGGGCAATGGCTCTGCCTACAACCCTGAACTTGTCGCCAAGCCTAAGTCGGCAGGACAGCTGTACGATGCCAACTTCGTCCGCCACTGGAACTACTATATCACCGAACAGCGATATGCCGTATTCAGCGGTAGTCTTGCTAAGACAAACGGTAGTTACTCCTTCGACGGAAAGATTACCAACCTGCTGAAAGGCATCAACTCGACCATCACGCACCCAGAAAGCCCAGTCCAGGGGTCTTCGAGCGACCCAAGTGACTACGAAATCTCGCCCGATGGCAGCAAGGTGGCCTTCCGCAGCAAGTCCCCTGATCTCCCCAAGGCCAACTACACAGCCAGCTACATCTATGTCGTACCGCACGATGGTTCTGAGGTTGCGGTCGCTATCAACGGACCTGGTACGACCGCCCCCGAGACTGCTCAGGGTGCTTCAGGCTACCCAGTTTGGTCGCATGACAGCAAGAAGCTGGCATATGGCCAGCAAGACGGCATTGACTACGAGTCTGACCGCTTTAAGCTCTATGTTGCAGATATCGACGGCCTGAACTCTGAGGTTCATTCGGTCGCAGAAGACTGGGACTCGTCACCTTCTGGTCTCAAATGGAGTCCCGACGATGCTGATCTCTGGGTCGTCTCCGAGCTCCACGCTGCGAATCGCCTCTGGCTCGTTCCTCACGATGCTCCTGCTGACTTCAAGCCCGTGAACTTCACTGGACCTGATACGGTGCTATCCGACTTTGACATTCATCCAGATGGCTCTGCATTTGTATCGGCCGCTGCCTCGTGGACAAGCCGTATCTTCTACAAGCAGTATCCTAAGGAAGACAAGGAGATCATTTTCACCGCTAACAAGGTCGACCCAGAGCTCGCTGGTCTCCTGCCAAACTCGACCTCCAACTTTTGGGTAGAGAACGAGGATGGCGATCAAGTTCAGTCTTTCGTCTTTTACCCTACCGGCTTCAATCCCGAAGAGAAGTACCCGTTGATGTTCATCATCCACGGTGGTCCCCAATCCACCCAGGGTGACAATTGGAGCGTGCGTTGGAACCTGCGTCTTTGGGCCGACCAAGGCTTTGTGGTCGTGGTTACCCAATTCACCGGCTCCCCGTCTTACAGCCAGGCCTTCACTGACAAGATTCAAGCCAACTGGGGCGGTTCGCCTTACAATGACCTTGTCACCGTCTTCAATCACATCAAGGCCAACATCAGTTACATTGACACTGACCGTGCCATCGCCGGCGGCGCGTCGTTCGGCTGCTACATGACGAACTGGATTCAGGGCCAAGCTCTGGGTCGCGAGTTCAAGGCCCTCGTCTGCCACGACGGCAAGGTCAACCAAGTTGCCAGTTACTCGACCGATGAGCTGTGGTTTATCCAGCGCGACAACAACGGCACTATCTGGAGTGACCGCACCAACTACGAGAAGTGGGACCCTATCATCCACTCGGCGAACTTCAGCACCCCTGAGTTCATCATCCACAACGATCTTGACTACCGTGTATTGATCTCGGAGGGTCTGCAGACTTTCAACATCTTGCAGAGCCTTGGTGTGCCGAGTCGTTTTTTGCACTTCCCCGACGAGGGTCACTGGGTTACGAAAAGGGATAACAGCTTATTGTGGCACAAGAGCATCTTCAACTGGATCAGATACTATGCTGGTCTGGATGATGAGCTTATTCAGGAAGGTGTCATCCACCAATAGAGTGCAGTCACAACATTGTTATGTTAACCGCACGCAACTGCGATGACCATAAACAAACTGGACCACATGAATTAGCTACGCGAGATTGATGAAGTAATGTCCACTATGAATCTACAACCTGCGTTCTTACTCAACATGGCACAACGCATGGGCTTGGATTTTCCATTTGCCAAAAGAGGAAGCTGACTGAGCCCGCATGTTGAGCCAGCCTCGCACAGAAACCTCGTTGTGACTTTAGCCAGTTGAATACGAGTCTGAGCAATGACAGATGATGCTCAGTAAGTCAGCTCCAAATTGATCCCACACTCCCATCGAGTGAGTAAGCCATCAATGTGAAGACGACGCCTACCGCTGGCCAAGTGAACTTCTATTCCGACATAAACTGCCAAAACTACATCGGCGAGCGTCACCCCGGCTCTTTTCAAACCACTGGGTTCGTTCTCTTTCATCGCGCCTCCCCTTTCTCCTCTTCGTCGTCAAATTTCCGCACAGATGTGCGCATCTGACACCTCATTCCGCCCCCCCCCCCCCCCGCTTTCCTTATCTTATTTCACTCATGTATTAACGTCCTATAGCGGTCCAGCAGATTCCTTCTCCTCGGATATTGCTTCAGTAGATGTAATAAATGAAGGTGTAATCGCGCGAAACAGTGAAATCAGTATATTGTGTTCGAGTGTTGTTCTGTCATTGCCCCTCACCAGTCTATCAGCAGGGTTTGTTTTCATGACGTATCTGCTGTGCAACTAAGGGAGAAGGTGCTTGTTAGAACGAGCAAGAGCACCGCATCAACACACATGGCACACGTGACATCCTTACTCCATAAACCATCACATGTATGGATGACCGGCATGCGGTGAGCTTCATCACAACGGCGTACTTTGACTATGTATCTGCAGGCACCCCTCGTGCCTAACGATGCTTCCAAGGTTACGCAGTACTATCAGAATGCCCAAGAGCCCGTTCCGAATCTGACGGCATTTCTCCCATATAAGTTTTTCCAGAATACGGACTGGCAGAGCACCCCACCTGGTTGTGGGTTATTCACGTCACCTTCTGTGTGTTTGACGTCCATTTCCACAGCCCAGAGAGTTATGCGCATGGCGTACTCTGGAACACCTCTTGTCTTCTTGATTGCAATACCGTCATCCGTCACCTTGGGATTCCTTGCGAATGCAGCAGCGTCGTCCAGAAGTCGCGAAGCTTTTCTGGCTTGAGCTTCGCTGTCGAGCATCTCAAGCTATATCTCAAGCTCCATCGATCAACGGAAGTTGTAAAAGAGGATTCATCCATAGTCATCTTGATGAATGCTCCTTTGTCCTAACAAGCAGCCGAACGTGTTGCAATCGGCAGCACATTGAGCACAAGCCGGATATGACACAGACACAGTGCTTGACCGTCGATGTATGGGTCTTTCAAGACCCAGGCACGTAGTACGTTCAAGGCCAGGTCGGCATGTGATGAATTATAATCGATCATAGTGTTGTGGCATTCCTCGGCCAAAGAGAGTAGCGAGTATACGGTCGCGCGGCATGCTGCATTTCTTGTAACGATTTTCGCTGAGTAGAACCATCAGAGGTAGTTTCTTTTGCGAACTTGGCCCTCAAATGCCGCCGAAGGCTCAAATTCCGGAGAGGGCCATTGCCATATGCATCGACATATAGTTGTGCAAAGTGTCCCATGAGCACGACAAGGAGGATTTCCTATGTTATCCAGGCTCGTTTCCACTATTCGTTCTTGGCGGTGGCTTCAATAAGCTGGTGCCGTGGTCCTTTCTTATTTATTTCCCTTTAGTGGTCTCCATTGAAGCCTATGTTCCCGAGCCACATGATAACCATAGAAGCCCCAGAAAATATGCTACCCATCAACGCAACTTGATGATCTCTCTTGTCGGTGTTTGCTTGATCAATACAAACAGCGTCAATCCAGAACTCCGAGCCCAGGTTTGAGGTGTCGTAGGCCTTCTTTGATGTCTGCAGTTGTTGTGCAACTACCAGAAAATCATGTCGTGGCTGTTCGCTGACAGCAGCCAACTCATCGTGCATGGCAGGGTTGGATCCTCTTCTCCCACTCGAATAGGGTAATCGTACCTCCCTTGGTTCACTGGAGACAGATAAAAGCTTCTTGCTTTGAAAATCCATTACAGTGAAAAGGAATCGATCGTAGTTGTGCTCTAAGCTTTGCGCGAACTCATTCTGACCACAAGTACCTACCCGCAGTCTTGAACTCTGGACGCAGAATGCGACGTCGTATAAGGAGGGTTCGTTGCGCATTGCTCAATGGCACGTTGTATGTTCCTCTGGTTTTCATTGCCCGTCCTTTGTTTCCAGAGGCAATTCCTGTTAGCTGCCTAGGCTAAATCAAACTGACAAGCTTTGCCTGGTGACATCGGATTGCCGCAGCAATACAGAGTCGAGGTCAGTACGAAACTGCTGCTTTGCGCGAGGCTGATAGACCTCGAAGCATAGCACAAGCCTCCAGCACTGGATGAATTCGTTCGAATAGCAGCGATATTGACGCAACTTGGGCTTGCGCTGTTCAACCTAAGTCCCGTTCGCAAGACAGTGACCCCAGACCACAGACGCGCCGCTCTTATGAACAGAGCTTCTGACGCATTGAGCGTTGACGCATTGAGCGTTGTGAGCTCTGAGTTGGCCCGAGAAGGCGCAACTACGGCGTAGAAGGGCCGACCCTCAGGAACAGAGACGTCTTGGAAGTCAATGCCCTGAGTGTGGATGGTTCCTAAATCCGGCCTTATTTTGCCAGACTGATGGATTTTCGGGGCAGAATCGGAAGCTGGGTTTGAGGTTCAACATGCCCAGGATACTGACGGTGATGTCGTTATTTTTCTCGCCCGTCGCTCCTGCGACATTCACTACTCGATTCCATGCTCTTTCTCGAGGGCCACGTCAAGCTGACGAATTAGAGCTTCCATGTCATGAAGCGCATCGTTCGATAGAACGCGCGATAGTGATCTTCGAGAAAGCAGCCTTGTCATCAAACTTACAATTCGACTCCTTACTATCTGGGGCCTCGGAGCAGCTGCCGGTATCATGAGGTGTAGGAGTGATCGACCACCACGAAGTCGCCCATGATGCAGGGCGTCCTAGTAAACCTTCAATTCGCAAGATTGACGGCACATGAATCAAGTCCACTCCCGTGACCCATTGATTGTCGAACACGATCTACGAACGATGACGTGCAGATGGAGTGACCAATTCATCATGTTACGAGTCCACAACAGCGCGAGAAACAGATCGTTCAGTTCAACATTTGCGGTACTTCAAGGCGGATCTGGGGTCGAAGCACGGCGCTGTTCAGGGCTCTGGCGCAGAGCTCCGCTGCTCTGAGGAGCTAGCGGTAACGTGGCGCATTTTCCGATATGGTGGTCCCAGGGACCTGCCCGGCCAACTACGGCGAAGTCTGCTCACTTACAGTGATAGCATATTTCTGATGAGGCTTTAAGCCCCCCATTGTAAGGATGCCGTACAGAACATGCATGCACGCCATCGCCGTCTTCCTCGCTTCATTTTTCGGGAGATGCTCCCGCAGTGAAAGTTCAGGCCGACGATGGCAGCAAGAAGTCGGTCAAGCGGGGACCAGAGATGGTGGACGTGATTCATGAAAGTTGGGCAGGGGACCAGAAGGCTTCAGTAAGCGGAGAGACATGACGCGTTGCTCTTACGTTTGTACGTTTGTAGTTGGGCTTTTCCTGATTAGCTGTCAGTTGCGAATGTAAGGTTATGGTTTCTGCAGCCGTGTCATCGGTAAACAGCGATGAATGCTGTATCGAGATTGTGAATATCACTCGACTTCCAGACGCGGTGTTTTTTTTGCCGTGAACCTTGGCGAGAAGTTGCGTTACTGTATGATCGACGTCAAGCGAAAGGAGCAGAGCATCCATGCACCTGCCATCCCAATAACGCAAGAGTCTAGTACTTTGGGATCTTCCGCGCTGCTTGTCTGCGTTGTCAGTGCGTTGCAGGGATACTGAGATGACATTCCAGATTTTCCTCTCTTTCTTTGCGGCCAACCGAGGTCGGTGAAGAGAGGCAAAAGGCAAATTCTCAACGTCACGGAGCTCAACCATTAGAACATGCAGTGTCACAGCTTCACTACCGCGACGCAAGGCGGCATGGTTGAAGCCGGACTCCATGGCATGTCTCTATGGTACCTTTCGGAAGCGGACGCTGTCAGTTGGCTGTAACCTACAATATGGCGGCGAGTTAAGTGCCGTGGAGCACTCGACATGGGACCGTCTGAAACTGCTTCCATGCTAGTAAATCCACTTCACATGGCAAGTGGAAGGTTGACCTTCTAGCGAGAGTGCAGGGACTCACTGGAACTCCGGCTGGGTGGTGCTAACAGCGGCAGGGAGCGCCACATGCATGCAAGTAGCCAGCAAATGCCAAACACTATTTGCCTACACCGAGTCAGTAGTACACTTCCGGCAGTTCCCTGAAGAGGCAAATTCCCCTTTTATTGGGTTGTCCGAGATATATACGACGATGAGGGTCCCATGCTGCTTCTGGTTCCGTTGCATTCTCACACTGGAGCTCGTTCGTTGAGCAAAGGTGCCATAACATCATGTCGGCATCTGTCGAAGACTTCCAGCTTGCTGCGGTGGCAGCAGGCTTTACAATTGGGTTCGGATTCCTTACGGTATGGGAGGCTATCCAGCAAACACGGCGGAACCGTAACCCGCTGAGGTCGGTATACATCTACATGCTGTGGGGTGAGATTCTTGCGAACATATGCATTGGAGTTGTTGGATGGCTTTTCTTGACTGGAACATTGGGTCCCTCGTAAGATGTCTCAATCACTTCCTGACACCGATCGATGCTAACATCTTGACAGTGTCCCGGTCTTGTTCTTTATCCTGCTCTTCTGGGTCTTCCAGATCCAGCTACTCATGCAAATTATCATCAACCGAATCGCACTCATCGCTGAACATCGAAAGACTGTCCGCAACATCAAGTGGGGTACCGTGCTTATCATCACTGCCATCAATATCGCCGTCTTCTGTATCTGGATCCCCGCGCACACCGTTCCACCCGCCAGCCAGGTCTTTCTCAACATCAACGCTGTTTGGGACAAAATCTCCAAGGTTCTCATCCTCATCGTCGACGCTGGTCTCAACTGGTACTTCCTGCGCATCGTGAAGATCAGGCTTGTTGATCAAGTCGGTCTCACGAAGTACAAGCCGCTCGTGAGCTTCAACGCAAAGCTTATGATAGTCTCCATTGCCATGGACGTAAGTTGCCAGATCCATCTGAGCAAAGAAGCATAGGCTAACATTATCAGGGTCTCCTAATCGGTCTCATGTTCCTGAAGAACCAAGTTGTCTACGTTCAATTCCACCCGGTTGTCTACATGGTGAAACTGAACATCGAAATGTCCATGGCCTCCCTGATTGTTCGCCTCGCCCAGGGCAAGACGGAGAACGACGCCGATCCCGAAGATTTCGGCAGCTCCACTGGCCCATCCAACTCGCACTCCGACCGCCGTACAAAATCAAAGCCGAACCAGTTCCAGTCTTTCCAGTTGACTTCCGCGAAAGGCGGCATAAGGAGCAAGATCCACAGCCGCAACGACAGTGACGAGAGTCTTGGGCATATTCATCGCACTACGGAGTTAAATGTGGTGGTCGAGCATGTGGACAAGCTGAAGGACAGCAGTGAAGGCAGCTCGAGGAGTAGTCATGAGACACCTCAGAGCATGTTTGGGGATGAGACGCCGTTGCACAAGAACAACATACGGATCACTGGAAAGGTGTTGTAATATTTCTTTTGTTTGTTAAGAAGATACCACCATACAGAAAGTATATGTTCAATTCATCATGACCGTTAATGATCTCTTGCCTGCTCGTTGTGGAGCGAAAATTCAACTAATCGCGACTGACAGTAGGGTCCCACGCACACGGCTCATAAGATTCGATGTCGAGGGTCTTCATGTCTTCTGCAGATAGCTCGAAATCGTAGACCTGGGCGTTCTCTTCGATTCTGGACTTTGTGACAGACTTTGGAAGAGGAATAAAGCCCTGGTTAGTCAAGTCAGCATGTGCTCCACTTGGATATTGGCATAATCAACTCACCATCTGCAAACTCCACCGAATCAGGACCTGACTTGGCGTCTTCCCATACTTCTTCACCAATGGTGCCAAGAGAGGATCATCGTTTTTTGTCGCCCTCACAATCGGGCAGTATGCCTCACAGAGTACACCTCTCTGCTTGCACCAATCGGCGATGTCCTTCCTTGCAAGCCAGGGGTGTAGCTCCACCTGGTTGATACTGATCACACCACCCTTGCCCTTGCCTTGACTGTTCTCTGTCTCCTTGATATATGTCTCCAACTCAACGAGATGATGAACACCGTAATTACTCACACCGATGCTCCGAATTTTTCCAGCCTCTACACCCTCAACAAGCGCCTTCCACGCCCCAATCCGGTTCTCCTTGCCTCCATAGGGCGAGTGCAGAAGGTATAGATCCACATAATCGAAACCAGTGATCTTTAACGTGTTGTCGATGTGCTGCTTCGAATTCTCGTAGTTCATGTCCTTAGGTGGGATCTTTGATGTGAAGAACAGCTCATCTCTTGCGATGCCACTGGCCTTCATGCCTTCAGCCGATGGCTGTTCATTCCGGTACGCAACCGCAGAGTCGACGTGTTTATACCCGTTCTTGAGCGCATGCTGCACTACTTCCGCACACTCGGTGGCGGGTGTTTGATAGACTCCATAGCCTAGTGCTGGGATTTCGTAGCCAGATAGCATGCGATATTTGGTGTTGATGGATAGGTTGGACATGTTTGCGACCGGTAGAGATGACGTGCCAAGGTTGCGAACTATCTTGTATGCAGCAGAGTTGGTGGTCGGAATGGTACACGTGAGGCGTTAGCGGATATAAGTGGAGATAACTAGGTTTAGTGTGAACCTCACGTAATGGAGGCTGCCTGATCTGCAACACCACAATCCCACGTTTGTCGAAGTTATTGAAGCCGTTCCCTCCTCCGACATGACAAAGCTCTGGGGCTCCAAGTCATATCGCGACAGCTCACGAACAGCCTCCACATCACCTGATCCCATGTTACTATCCAGAACTCCGGGTTTCCTCTCATAGACTCAAAGAATATCACCTTACGTCTGTTCCGAATTCCAGAATGGCTTAATGGTTAATGCGGCATACCATGATGCGCCTCGAGTCTGCCTTGTAGTTCGCCCCGTCCTGTTCATGAAGATAAGAGGACATAATTTCTCAACTCCTGCAGAAACTTCAACATCCACCAGATACGAAGTTGGCAGCACGCCTAACGGCACAGATATCTGTCCTTGGTTCACTAACTTACACAACAGCAAAAGTATTAGGCAACAATACTCCACCTTCGCCGAGCGCACATCAACAGCATCCCACAAACAACAAAGGACACGGTAATCACTATGCACGTTCACTTACAGTCTCCTTTTCCCGGATGTTGTCTTGAGCGGATCGTTACGCAGGTGGCAACCCTGACTACTCATCCGCTATGCTTTTCTCCAAGCTCCTTACTCTCTTGTCATCTTTACCGACCCTCATTCATGCACTTCAAAAAGGGACAGGTGGCGTGACGGGAGCCATGCGCGAGAATACACAGGAAGACATGAAGAGAAATTGTGCGAACGTGCCGAAGAACGATTTCTTTCTTGAAGGTCGAAGGCTGGTTGCTGACGTTGGTATTTCTTTATTCAACAAGTGTTGTTGCGTGACGAAGGGTTCAATCATCCCAGTTCGTGCTGCCAGGCGCCATAGGCTTGGTGCATTTCTATCATGTCAATCGTGCTCTTCGTCCCAAGAACTAACGTTCGGTCAAGGACCGCAACTCTTTTGAATAACCTGTTTTCGCCTTTTGACTTTCCCTGCTTGTCTACTCCTTATCGAAACGGACAGCTGGCTGCTCCTTGATCCAGCTCAAATCCACCTTGTGTCCAAGCAGCTCACGAATATTCGACACACCGTACTTCATCATTGTCGGGCGCTCGAGAGACAAACCGAATCCGTAGACACGCATGTCCTTGGGCAAGCCCATGGGCTCCAGCATCTCAGGCCTGAACATGCCGGAGTTACCGATCTCGATCCATCGCTTCAGACCCTTGTGGTACCCGAAGATCTCCATGCTCGGCTGTGTAGAACGTCAGTATAGGCAAGGAAGCCAGCAAGGCTGAAGGAGACGTACCTCTGTGTAGGGGTTGTAGGCGGGCTTGAAACGCAGGTTCTCAAGACCCATGTTGGCGAAGAAGTCACCGAGGAAACGCTGGAGGCCTTCAAAGTGTTAGTTGAGAAACGAGAACGCTACTAGCTGATTAAAGACGTACCACCTAGTGTGAGGCCGAAATCAGCGATGACACCCTCGATTTGGTGAAATTCAGCCAAATGTGTAGCGTCGACGGTCTCGTTACGGAAGACACGATCGATTGAGAAGTAGCGTGCAGGTCGCGGGTCTTCTGCTAATCGGTGAAGCGCCCATGTTGATACGGCAGTGGTGTGTGTGCGGAGGACCAGACGTAATGTCTCCTCATCCTTGAACTTGTAGCGGTCTGCAGCTCGGATTAGCAAATGCTGTGTATGCGCCTCGGCCGCTCATTAGCGGTATTCCGGTACAACGTACAGCCTATTGAGCCGAAAGCGCCATCCTCGTGGACCTTTTTGACATCGTTCCAATATTTCTCGAAATCCCTGGGCTTCTTTTCCCGCTTGTCGCCTGTCGAGAAGAGACGTTGTGAGCTTGCCTCCATCTGGTCCATCTGCCTTTCGCTGTCGGGGTCGGCGCGCGGCTTGTCAGCCGTAGGTGGGTCGGAGACGAAGAAAGTATCCTGCATATCGCGGGCAGGGTGCTGCTGTGGTACGAAGAGAGCATCGAAGTTCCAGAAGCCAGAATCGACGAAGCTGAGATAGGTCAGTTTACTGGTCGTACTGGTGCGCGCGCGAGATCTTACTGTCCAGTAGGCATCTCGACAAAGCCTTGCGAGAAGAAGATGTTCCTGAACTCTTGCCTGACCTTCATCAGTGGGTGTAATGCGCCAGCATCTTGCTGTGCTCCCAGCGCAGCGAAGTTGTAGGGCTTGAAGTTCGCTGTCTCCCAAGCACCGCTTGCGAGGAGGTCTGCTGTCAAGTCTGTGTGCTCCACAGGCATTTCCTTGGCGTACTTTGGTCCCTTGGTGACAGTGTATGTGATGACTTTGGTGACCGTGACGAGCCTCTTCTTCTTCAGGTCATTGAGCTGCTTGGCGTCTGATACGGTTTGCGACTCTTGAATGCCCTTAAGAAGCTTCTGCATGCTATCCTCTGGCTCTTCTGTGGCCACGAGAACGAGGTCGGTGCCGTCCTTCTTGATCCATTTGTTCTTGAAGGCATTACCTTGCCCTACGCTCGCAGACTCCTTGCCGACAATGCTCTGTGCCCAGGTTGTCAGCTCGGATCATATTGACCACATTTCAGCATGCTACCCACAGGCAATTCCTTGATAGCGATCTTCCCCGCCTCTTTCACTGCTTTCCAGACCTTGAATTCGTGACTTCCGTTCGCGACAATTCCTTCTGATTCTGGTGTGAGGTTGACCTGCTCCTTGTCCAGAGTCTTGTATTCGACCATCGATCGGCTGGCAAGCCTGTCGAGTGCTGCCTTGATGTCGCGCTGCGGTACAGCGGGGAAGTCTTCATTGCTCTGGAGCGTCTCTTTCGTGTCGAGGAGATCGAGTACGTCTTGTGTGAGGTTTTGACCTTGCGTCTCGAGCGGTACGGGCACCGGGCCCCGTGTTCCTGTCATTTCGGCGTGTATTGGTCTCGTTAGTCGTGCGCGGGGAGCTTCAATCAACTTTACGTGGGGTCGCGCTATGAGTCGAAAGTGGAAGGCACGCGGAAATTTGGAAGGCCCGAGCGGACCTGCACGCGATGCAATTGGCTCTGGTACTCGAGCATGCTGCGAACCGCTGTCTTTTTGAACTGTGCGTACTGTGCACATACGGCTATCATTGTACTTTGCTTCGTATACAATGGCTCTTGCTGAGACTTATGAGGAGGTAACCACATCCACGCATGGAGTGGACATACACAGTATTCGAGGCAACATGATGTTGATGCAGGTAAGGCCACGATCTGTCACATCCACAGCAGATTTGAGTCGTTGAGTTGATCTTACATGCGCGTAAGTACAGACAAGGAGTAAAACCAGGGCTGACGTTGTGGATGCCTTAACTAAGCATTGCTATGGGTGCTTGTAGTGTAGGTGGGAGCGTTCACATCGATGTCTTATGTTGAATGTCTTGCAGCATGCTTCTATTCAACGCATATTCTCCAAGATCATACATGTTCTTGCAACCCGACTCATTAAGTATGGTATAGTCTAGTTTGACCTTTGTAAAGATATTGCCTACGGGTCGTTCATGAAAGCGCGCAAGCAAGCAAGAAAGTCAGGTCAGAGGCTTTTCCACATGGCGTTTACCAGCCATTTCTTTTTCTATAAGCGACAGAAGCCGCTGACTTACCGCTTGAAGAGCCGCCTGCTGTCGCACCATGTAAAGTGCCATCGATAGTTTCTTCGTTTGGGCCCTGTGCATGATGAGGCAAAAGAATTCATCACCGGACCGGTTCCCAGGAATGAGGTCATGGCAAAATTGAACAACACAAGACCGCAAGATTGGCAGGCATGCAGATTGAGCTTGTTGTTCCTAACTGGAGATAGGTGTTAGACCCTGGAAGGGTTGCAAGACCTGCACTCATGGGCTTCAGGATGGCTGCTTGTTGGTTGTATGATGATTCCTCACTTGCGAGTGCACTTGTACGTGAACGCAATGCTCCAAGATAGTGCGGCCAGCTAGCGCAGTCTGAACATGAAGCTGTAAAGATGCGATATGATCGACGATGGAGCAGATCCACACCCACGTTGACCTGGCTGACGACGCCTGTTACAGAGAATTGAACATGGGGTTTCGCAGCCGTTCCACACATGATCATGGTTGCAAACTTGGAAAAATCCGTGATAGAGCCGGCAGAGCCGCATCGGCGAGGGTTAATACTTGGAAGTGGAGCCGCTGATGCGGCAGCGGAGCCTCAATCAGAGTCAAGCTTGCTGCGATGATGAGCATATGCTGGGATACAACGTCCGGCGTGGCAGCTGTCGAAGCTGAGGTTGTCAAGCCTGTCTGACCTTGGCGTGCGTTTGACGTGAACCACATGTCTCGGCCAAAGTCCGAGAGATGAAGAGAGATGAACGTCCTTCATGCGCGGTCCACTGTTATCAGAAACGGTCGCGGGAACAGGGGCCACACCCAGCGATCATTTCCGTCTCGATGCGTGCAGCGGAGATAGCTTAAGGCTGCCTGATGTCTACCTGAAAGCCACGAAACACTCTGCAACACGAAGGCCGACAACTGCACGAAAATGGATGAGCAGTCCTTTCGATAATCATCGAGAGCTTCAAAGCGGAATGAGCAGCCGATGATATGCCGCGACGGGATCAACGCTCTGAGGTCAATATCGAGGCGATAAAATTAGCGATGGAGCAGTCTCAGGCGGTCTCGATTGGATGGCCACCCTAGCAGGGCCGCGTACGCATCTCTCGCCCGCTGACTGAGCAGACAGCCAGCGAATCAGAGGGCACTACTCGACGGATTTGGCTGCGAACCGGCCAAGGGCGCGGGCAGCGGGCGAAATTGACACCAGGGGTAAGAAGGCACTCATCATCTCGCTGATATTTGTGGAGGGTGGTTGGGGGCGTGCTTCAAGGCTGGCAGCGTGGTGGAGCAGACAGACAGCTGCCGCTCGTCCACGTCAGGACTGCGCGGCCACGACAGGTTCACTGCTGTCGAAGAACAGTAGCAGACGCGGCGTTGTTGAGACAACGGCAGCGCGGGACTGTATCGATATGCAGGTGGCGGGGGCTACTTGAGATGATGGGAGTCGATAGCTACGAGCCGTGTGATTCGCTGGAGGGGGGGCGTGCGACCAACGACCGCAGAGCCGTCAGCAGTGTGCACCAGCGCCAGATGAAAGAATTGCAGCTCCAGCAGCTTGGCCTTCGTGATGGCAGAGCTGCCAGCCAGCTGCTGGGAGCAATTGCCCAAGTGCTGGCGCGGCAGCGTGCTGCTAACTGCGCGCTATTCACGGCGGCGACCCAGAATCAAGGCGGCCCTGCGCAGCGGTCTCTGGTCTAGCGCGGTGGAAGGAAGGCGCGAGCTGCGCCGCTAGCGGGCTAAGCTCTCTGGGGCGCGGAAAACCCCTAAGCAACGCTCGCACGCTCAGTCTTTTGTCTTGCCATCTCTGCTCCCCAACGCTGCACGCCTCCACTCCCATACGTCCCACCCACGGACAGTACGCTCGTTTCACCCGCCGCATCATCGACACTGACACTTCCTCACCTCGACCCCGCCCCCAGTGTCATCCAACAGCATCAGCGTCTGGCCTGGGCACTGCCTCCGCCGCACATGCAATAAGCGCACCTGGCGCACTCCCTCACAGGTGACACCACGGCTACAGACTCGACCGCACACACAATGGCCTCGCGCTTCAACCCCGGTAAGCTGTTCATCCGGACACGCTTCAACTACGAGAAGCTGCCCGGCGCCGACAGCCAGAGCTCCTCGCCGCTACCGATTTTTAGCAGCAAGTCATGGGGCACCCGCGGCCGCCAGCCCTCGTGGGTCAACAAGGTGCAGCGCCCTCGCTTCTCCATGGCGCGCATCCTGACCCTGCTTGTTACTGTCGTCGTCCTGGCGTCCATGCTCGGCGGCGGCATCTACAGGCGGCACAAGATGCACATGCAGCACGGCGGCGACGAGAGGAAACAGTACCACTGGGAACACTACCCACGGTAAGCATTGCCACGCACAGCGGTGATGATGACTAGATGACTAGATGACTGATTGTGTAGATTGACTGGGTTCTGGAATGGTGTTCGCACCCTCGTCCCCTACGGCGACTGGGTCTCTGAGCAGGACTTCGTCAAGTACTCGCAGAGCCCCAACCCCGAGGACAACATCAAGCCCAAGTGGCCGCACATGTCCAAGGACAACAAGGAGCCACCAATGGACCCCGTACCCTTCAACCCCTACCCCTTTGACTCAGAAGCGTACCTCAAGGACCACGACAAGGTCGAGACCTGCTACCTCGATGAGGACGAGAAGATCGACCTCCCTGACGTCTACGCCTACCCTGGTATTCCCCAGAACGCCACTGCACCCTTCTTCGGCTCGTACGAGGAGCTCGGCATGAACGATAAGGTCTGCTTCGAGCGATTCGGGCGTCTTGGACCTTACGGCTACTCCTACTCTCGTGACGAGGGTGGTCTCGAGATGTCTGGCAAGTCTGAGAAGGCTGGCTCTGAGAAGATCTGGAGCTGGGAGAAGAAGGTCGACTACCGCAAGGTTAAGTGGGCCGATGCTCAGAAGCGCTGCCACGAGAAGAACATGCACCGCTTCAAGAACGACACCGAGGCCGAGAGTGCTGGCCCCGCCAAGAAGAAGGTCCCTCGCCACGCCTACATCCTCCGCACCTGGACTGGCTACAAGTACAGCGACTACCAGATTCTTAGTCTTCGTGCGATGATCAACGAGCTTGCATTGAAGTCTGGCGGCGAGTACGATGTCCACTTTCTGATCCACGTCAAGGATGACAGCATCCCGATCTGGTCTTCAGAGGAGATTTACCAGAAGGTCATCGAGGACAATCTGCCCAAGGAATTCTGGGGCATGGCTACTTTGTGGTCTGGCGCTCAGATGCAGATGTACTACCCCGAGCCTTTCCCTAACAACGTCTACAACCACGCCAAGGCGCCCGTCCACTCCGTCTACCGCAGCGCTCACTTCGCTCTGCAGTGGTTCTCTCAGGCTCGCCCTGAGTACGACTTCTACTGGAATTGGGAGATGGATCTCCGTCTCACTGGTCACTACTACGAGTTCAACACCAAGATTGGCGGGTTCGCCAAGAGGCAGCCGCGCAAGGGTCTGTGGGAGCGTTCTTCTCGCTACTACATTCCCGAGCTCCATGGCTCATGGAAGAATTTTACCGAAATGGTTGAGGAGGAGCTCTACAACAGCGACGAGAAGCCTGTCTGGGGCCCTCCCAAGTTCGAGAACACCGGCATGCTTCCCAGCCCCCCTGAGACCGAGCCCCCCACATCCTATCTCCAGGACAACTATGAGTGGGGTGTTGGTGAAGAAGCTGACATCATCACCTTCAACCCAATCTTCGACCCGGCGAAGACCAACTGGGTGTTCCGTGACGACGTTACCGGCTACGACCTCGAGCTCCCCGAGCCACCACGACGATGCGCCATCATCACTGTTGCACGACTTTCAAAGCGTCTCTTGGACCTGATGCATCGCGAAACGTATCTAATGAAGCACCACATGTTCCCCGAGATGTGGCCGCCAACGGTCGCGTTCCACCACGGACTGAAGGCTGTATACGCAAACCATCCCGTTTACTTCGATCACAACTGGCCGCTCGAGGCGCTCGACGGCACATACAACAAGCCCCCCAAGCCAACCGACAGTGTTTTCGGCTGGGGTGAGCACAACCAGCTCGGCAACAGCTTCTACTACAATGCTGGTTTCTCTTCTGAGTGGTGGAGGAGATGGCTCGGCTCGCGCGAGAACGACAAGGGCGGTCCGGCAGAGGAAGAGGCCAACACTGGCCGTCTCTGCATGCGCCCTGCGCTGTTCCACCCCGTCAAGTACGAAAAGGGTTCCGAATGATCTGTACGCTTCTCCGAATTATCCATTTAATCCGCGCTTCTTTTCGTCTTCTTCTTAGCGCGGCTGCGCTTGCGATAGACTTTTGCGACATCACAGCGCTGTCACATCTTTCGACAGGCGCTTTCACATTGGGCGGCGTTCACGGCGTATTCGCAACGATCTGATATCTATCTCCCGGCACTGTACACTTCTCATCTGGCCGACTGTCGTTTTCTTTATACCTTCTACCGCGCGCATGCCTCATTCTACACATCAAAAGTCGGAGATGTAATTAGCCGCATCTGGCATTTCCATTCCTTTGGAACAGGCGCGTTTTTGGATTGGACTGATCACTTTGTTTTGGATCGATTGCAAGATTGTGGGCTGAGAGCTGAGAGCTGAGAGCTGAGAGCTGGCCGTGGCTGGCGCATGGTTGATACGTGTAGATGATGAGAAGCCGCGCACTCGCTGCGGCTTCGTTCTCAACTGAATCGCAACGCGCTGGTCGAGATTGGATGGTTGTAGACTATGAATGAATGGATTTAATTACTATTGCTCTTTCCTTGCCTAGGCGACTTGCTTGACGTTCGCTCCTTCCATTTTTTTTCACAACTGAACCTCAGACCTTACGTTACAACTAAGCCTAGTCCTTTTCATCCTCTTCTCTTGTCCCTGCCAGTCTAGCCAGGTATGGTGATGTTCGTGTCCACGGGAAGCCGTCAGGGTTGGTTTATCACCTAAGCAAAGCTTGTGGTGATAAGGGGGTAGTAGCCGTCTAGTCAAAGACCGTGGTAGCTGGTAGCAATGAGTACTGAGTATACTGTCTGGCTCGAGAACAGGTGAGATTCCAATAACAAAGTTGATTGACAAGGTTGAATACAAACCATAAGGGTTGTGTTCCTGCTTGCTATATACTTGAGATGTCCCATGATGTTTCACAGTCTCTCACAGAGTTCTAAGGGGGCCTTGTGAGATTTGTGAGACTTCTGTGGGAGTTGTGGTGAGTCACGTGGTGAGTGTTGCAGAGTCCCATGGTCTGGGCTCAGGCCTTCCACAGGATTTTGTGGGACGCTGCATTTTACATCGATTGCAGCTGATTACTTTACATCGATTGCAGGTGAACATGAAAACATAATGAAAGCTGCGAGCTTATTGCGATTAAGCTTAAATTTAGCGAGGGTGAACGGGGTCGAAATGGCCCCACCGAAGTGCCCCTCCAGTGCGTCACTGTCTTTCGATTAACAATAGCCATCCCGTACCTCGCCAACACTTTTTGTACCGCTTCACAGGCGCCCACCACTCCAGCAGCTTCAAGAATATCTCAAGCAGCCAGCGGGTCCGCAAAACTACCCACAACCGGCAACATGAGGTTACTCAAGTCACAAATCGACCAGAAGACTGGGTCTGGCTTTGTGACGCTGTTGCCAGAGGAGCCAGAGGATATGGTACTTCGCCTTACACAATACCCCAGATCATGTTGCTGACCTTGCGCGTAGTGGCACGCATACAACCTCATCCAAGAACATGATCGCATTCGCGCAAAGGCCGTACGCCGCGTATCCAAGACGTCAGACGCAGGCTCCGTATCCTCGCAGCGCATAGCCCTCGACCTCACAATCCAAGTCACCAGCACAGACTTCGATATCGGTTCCGGGCAGCTACATGTCTCGGGGAAGGTCGCCTCAGAGAACGAGCACGTCAAGCTAGGGCAGCACCACACGCTCGACCTCGAGCTCAACCGCAAATTCACACTGGAAAAAGCCGACGGATGGGACAGTGTCGCCTTGGAGATGCTGAAAGAAGCCTCCGAAACCGAGCGCCACGCAGAGCTCTGGGCTGTCGTTCTCGGCGAAGGCACAGCAAACATATGCATGATCACCGAGCACCAGACCATCCTACGCCAACGCATCGAAGTCGGCGTCCCGCGAAAGCGCAAAGGCGGCATCGACGGCCACACGAAAGGCATGGAGAAGTTCTTCTCCACCACGCTCTCTACGCTGCTACGACAGATCGACCTCCCCGCCGCGACCGCAACACAAGGCAAGACACTACCGCTGCTCCTCGCGAGCCCGGGCTTCGTAGCCAACGCATTCCTAGCATACATCAAGACAGAAGCAACACGTACAACCAACAAGCCCCTCATGGCGCTTATTCCCAGCATTGTCGTCGCACATAGCTCCTCCGCACACATCCACTCTCTCAACGAAATCCTCTCCTCCCCCGCGATCACCACAAAACTCTCCGACACAAAATACGCTCGCGAAACAGCCCTCATGGACAAATTCCTCACACTCATGCGCCTCGACGACGGACGCGCATGGTACGGCCCCCGCGAAGTTGAGCGTGCGGTTGATAAGGGAGCGGTGGGGAGAGGTGGAGGTGTGTTGATGATCAATAATAGTTTGTTTCGGGCGCAGAATGTTAAGCAGAGGAGGAAATGGGTGGTGCTGGTGGATCGGGTGAGGGATGTTGAAGGTGGTGAGGTGAGGGTGTTGAGTTCGTTGCATGAGAGCGGGAAGAGGTTGGAGGGATTGGGTGGGGTCGCGGCGATACTGACGTATCCGCTTGAAGACTTGGACGAAGAAGGGGAGGGTGATGAGTTTGGGGGCGGAGACGAGGAACAGGGGGAGATGGTTATTTAGTGTGATGTGAAGGTTGTGAAGATACCCCGGATTGGCATCATTGTTGATGTATGAGTGCTCAGTTCGATTGACATGCTCGTGCACTGTGTACACTGTATAGGCAACCTCAACTGGCCATCTCACTAGTTTCTCTAGGGCATTGTCGGAGCTTAAGTGCTTCGCACTATATCAGCATCTCAACCGCTGCTAGGCCCTCTCTGACTTGACTGTGCTGATACAGTCTCGCACGATCTTTGGTCCATCTTTGACCATTGAGTCTCTATGCTTTCCGAGAAATACGTACACAGTCCTCCATTCTCATCCCTAAAGAGTCCCGACGGGTTTCCAAGTCTTTTAGATATCTATGTGATAGGAGCTCAGATGAGATACTCCAGTGACCACGAGCAACCCGCAAAGGCGTCATCGGCTGATCCCTCTTTGCCCCTGAACATAGTCCTTTGAAGAGCCAGTCGTCGAAGTGCCGGGCGGCCCAAAGGGCAATGCGCACCGTAACGGGTTCGCTTGGACTGTAGCTCCTTCTGAACGAGATGCAGTCGAGGAATTTCGACCAGGCCAGATGTGGGTGTTTCCGGTAATGTCGTAAGAGACCGAAACTATCCAGGAAGTTCTGCAGGCTTGCTTGGACAGTTGTAACTCGTGGCATCGGCGGCTTCCGGATTCCGGATCTCGAATTCGACGTACGGTCCGTTTGTATAAGGAGTGGCCGGATCAAAGTCCAGGGATAAGACTCGGTGGAGGAGAAAGACTGAACACAGGCATATGTGCGGACGGCATGCATGAAGGATGCCGTACGCTACTTCTATGCTTCCGAGCGCATAATCAACCATTATGTCCTTTCCTTCTTTGACTAGAGCGAGGACGGAGTATATCCGGTCTTGTGGCCTGCTACATTTCGCCGTCCAAATGTTATCGAGTAAATGCAGGAGAGAGAGTCTGCAGCCTAAAGCTTGCTGTCGGCGGACCTTCTCCCTCTCGGCCCACAGTTTGAAGGCCGCACTCCAGTCCTCCACGGAAGGTCCAAGTTCTGCAAGGGGGTGCAGAACATCGCCTTTCAATACAATGCTGTTACGTGCAAGCAGTGCTTCCTGAATGAGCCAAGCTCGTTCCCAATACGACCTGTTCTCGCCGCCAGGAGCGATCCATTTGATCGCCTCATCGGAATGTTCATCGTGGTTGAGGAAAGAGTACCACTAAGCGCCCCCCCCCCCCCCTCTGCCCATGGCGGCTAGTCCCACGTTGACGCACAGCCTCTCAAAAGCTATGACGGGTTGATATACGAGCCTGAGCAAGCTGCACAGGAGATGGTCAACGATGCCTGAGAAGTATCTATATAGTGCAAAGGCTGAATGTCAACCGCAGTCCGGTAGGAAGAAGCTTGTCCCCGCTAAGCTGAGCCGCGGTCATCTGAGCAGAGCAACGGATCAAGAGTGTGTAGCGCCGACAGCGAACAGAAAACTCTTAGGACCCAAAGATTTCAAAGACTTCACAGGACTTACTTTGTATCTAACAGCCTCCACAAGTCGCTGAAGCGGCTCTTGAGTTTGGAGAGAGGCCAGAACAAGGTCATTCCAGAAGACTCACCACAGGATCTTTATCAGAAGCTCGGTCGAAGCCGACAAACATACCCTGGAGGTCTTTTGGCATATCAATCACAAAGAACACGAGCTCAGCTCTGAGCAGGACAGCGTTGGCTAGATTCATGGTAGGAAAAGTAGAAAACGGGTGCTATATCGGAGCTCAAGACTGAGGACATGGAAGTCTCTAGGCGCAAGAAACCATCCTTTCGCGCTGTACGCCGGCTTGACGCCTTTGTCCGCTACAACCATCACCTCGCGGGGCTGCTTATCGTCAAACTTCCTGACGTTCAGGCGAACCGTGACTTTCACCGCTGGTAGATCGGCTTGTGATGGAGGATTGTTGGAGGTACTGCGAGAATTCGATAAGGAAAGAATGTGGATGATCGCCTTCAGGGACAGATCGAGCTGTTAATTTGTGTCATGCGTGATCTGTTCCCCATCGTTCTATCTTCAAAGGGCTGGATCTCGGTTGGATCTAACGTTCTCAGATAGTGGTAGATCGAGGTCAAGGTAAACGCCACAGAAGCTTACAGGGTTGATCTTCTGCCATAATCTCCTGGTTGAAGCTTATTGGGTATCTCGCTCATTGCTGAGGCTCAGCTGTTACCGCTGTCCGGTAACGCATGATGGATCCGTGTGACCGTCGGTAACTTGAATTCACTCTGCCGTCGGCAACGCCGTTTCTCAACAATCTTCTGTACTTCGGTCAGAGCGCACACTGAAACACGCACAGTGACGCGATGATCATTTCATCCGATCCCACGGTTGCCATCCTCTTTGTGCGAGTGAGGGGTCAGCCCGGGCTGTCTACGGTCCTGAGACACGCTCAAGCCTCCAGCGCCATTTGTAAGAATTTCACTTTCTTTATTATCAAAGAGTTCCTTGGAAGTAAAGCAAGCTACAAAATGTAGGATTGTGAAGATGGGATCGAGAGACTGGACTTGGGCATTGCGATCTCAAGAAACGGTCCGGGTACTGATTGAACGCTGGAATGTTCGTCGACTTTGAGTGTACGTAGTAGCATAAGCACCGGACACAAGCAAGGAATTCCTCTGTAGACTCTCAAGATGTTGCATGCCAGATCAATGGGGAAGGATGCGTAATCCACCACAATATTCTGCCCCTCCTGCACAAGCTCAAGATTGAAAATATGCGGTCGCATGGAACACTACATTGCTTGTCCGCCCATGTTTCATCCTGGATCAAATCAAGCAAATGTGGTCGCGTATTTTCCATACTTTAAGAGTAGCCCGGTATTGACCAGTACCCTCATCGGACTGTGGAGCCACTTGTTGTTGGGCAGGCCATCACTCAGCCAGTCGACGAGTTTCCGGAGGGACGTAATAGAATTGTTGACATTCTGAGCAAGGACAACTTCTTGTGTTATCCAGGCTCGAGTCCAGTACTCGTTTTCGAGGACGAATGATCGATAGCAGTCTAGATCTGTCGCACTCATGGAGCGGCGATATGAAGTCGATGTTCTGCCTAGCCACACGACCACTTTCCGGGTGTGAGCGTATACGTGGCCCATGTACGCAACCTCATGAGTCCTTTCTTCATTGTTGGCTTGGTCAATGCACAACGCATCTTTCCAGAACGAATTACATCAACAGATCTTTTTGCGGGCGATTCCATGGAACTCATAGAGGTTCTGGCCAACATGTAGCGACATCGTTTTCCTGGTCCCTGCTGCGAAGGCCCGCATCAGCATTATCTTGGTGTTTGCCTGGGATTCCCATCTATACGACAAACAATGGCACAGCGAATTGATTGTCGTATGCTGAATATCGCAGACGATCAAATCTTCGTCCGATAGCCTTGGTTGAACTGAATTAAACGAATAGATCGCTTGGAGTGGTCCAGCGGCCTGCGCTCAAAGTTCTGCTCCCCTCCCCCGAGCATTGGATAATCATTTGTAGCGCTTGACATGGCGTCGAGTCTGATATTGGTTATGTTCCCAGGGCATAATATCGACTTCAGGAGACTGTGGAGCCATCCACATATTAAGATTACCTCTGCTGCAACTGTGCCAAGCCATTACTTCAGCCTCGCTGTCCAATCCTCTACACGATTGGATAGGCCAAGTCCGGACATGAAATGCACAAGACTCCATTTTCTCGGATGTTCTTGGTATTCAGACTGTTTGCGTAGAACTGACCTCTCCTCAATAGCTGAAGTGACACCGTGGTCTTGAGAGTTTCAACGAGTGCATTGAGATGATTTGATTGCCTCTAGTAGAACGCCAATGGGTATATAATGCAATGACGAATCCCAAGATACACAACGAAAGCACCCTTCTCCTCTTCACATAACAACGCAACCAATCCTCTTCTTCCCCTTCTCTTCCTTCTTTCCACCACTCACTTCCCTAACCCCCGTCCTCCCGCTCAAACCCGGCGCCGCACTCTGCACCTGCCCACCCTGAATCCGTCCCTGCCCACCCTGAACCCGTCCCTGCATCCCCCTCTCCGCCATCAAATACCCCTCCGTCCTCGGCGGCGCACTCATCGGCACCCCATACCCCTGCGCTCCCATCTGCTGCTCCGGTGGCACAAGCCTGGGAAGCAAATTCCTCCTCCCCTGGTCGTGACCAGCGTGGGAATGGGAGTGGGTGGGTGGAGAGGTGGGTTGGCGGGGCACAGGCGTACTCGTCGGATTCAGCGGCGGATTAGGCGGTAGCGGCCGCTCCGTCAGAACAGGACGGCGCTGGATAGATGCTGCAGCGGCAAGTGGGACCAGAGGCGCGGAGCCACGGTGGTGGGCGTCTGGGTCGGTAATGGGCGGGGGCCGGATGTCGATTGTGCTTTCTACTGCGCGGCGGGCGAAGAGTGATGGGCGACGTATGGGGGGCGTTGTTGAGGTCGAGGGTTGTGGAGGAACTTGGGCGACCGGGGGTGGGATGTAGGATAGTTGTTGCGGGGGAGAGTGAGCTGCAGAGCCACGTCGTCGAATCGAGTCGGAGGAGTGGGGGCTGGGGTATGTTGTTGGATGGATGAGTGATGGACGGCGTATCGAGAGGTCTGTTGATGAAAAGGACTGGCCGCGGTTTTGGTATGGACCTGTGGGCGAGAGCTGCGAGGGGTTCACTGTGGCAGACATTGCAGGAAGTGGAGGCACGGGAGGTACACCTGATCTTGACCCAGAGCCACGGCTGGATCGACGTGCTGTTGGTGGCGCGTTCGGATGGCTTAGACTGACGCTCTCAGCTTCCTCTGCCTTTGCTGTATACGCAGGCGGTGGTGGAACCCAGTTGTCTGCGTCGCTCTCGTGAGGTAGCTCTCGCTGACCCGAGCCATCCGCACGGCGGTACTCCAGCGGGCGAAAGGGTAGCGCTCGCAAATGTCGCCGGTTTGCAGGAGAGACGGCCGCCACAGTAGCAGCTCTCGCCAGAGACATCTGCGACCTGGGTTGCTGGTTATCGTACGGCATCTCGAAGGCAGCCTGCGCTTCTTCGGCCGTCAGCTCTTCCTCATCTGCCGTAGGTGGTGGCCTCGAGATTGCAACCTGGTTCGTTGTGGTGCGGGAGCGTTGGACGGACGAAGCACCACTTCTCGAACTCCGTCGTGCACCTCTCGCCTGATCTTGTGCTCTGCGCTGTGCCAACGTCCTCGTTCTCATGAGCTCGACTTCTTGGTTGAAATCTATGGAGCCCTCGGGTAGCACTTCGCCAGGGCACAGTGGGTCCAGATCGTATTCTGTTTTCGATGTCACCGATACAGCACCCCCGGCAGGCTTAGTCTTGTCGAAGTCAAGGACGATGATGACGCCCTTCGTGCCCATCGGCACGTCAGGTACATCGCTCTCAGTTGGCACTATGCTCGAGTTTCCCACTGCGATGAGTCGCTGTATATTGTTGCCAACCTTGACCCACCGCAGCACACAGATCTCCTGGTAAGCACCGACACCAAGCTTCGGTATTAGAATGCAGAAGCAGGGCTGGATAGGTGCCTGGCCCTTGGCTTTCTCACTTGGCTTGTATTCCCATCCTGGCACCTCGTATATCCAGATGTTGGTAGTGCCGCGCATCCGCAAAGCCACGGCTGCTAGGTCAGCGTTGGGCGAAACAGCCGGCATTGCATCGTCGACGAATTCCGAGCGCGTCCACCGCTGGTGATCAGGCAGAAACATTTTCCTCTGTGTGAAGCGCTGACACGCAATATCGTATATGCCCCATGAGTCTTCTTCTGCGTTGAATGCGAAAAGCTCATTGAATGTCCCCGTGTCCGCGTCTGGAAGAAGCGTAGCCTGGCGTGCTATCCTGGCGGTCTCAGGAAACAGCACGGAGCCCGTCCACACAACTTCTGGCGACTGAGGAATTGGCGCACCCTCCTCGTCAAGCGGGCCATCGTACAGTCCTGGTAGGACAAACAGGGCAGAGCTGTCTGATTTGCGCGCGTACCCTGTGATGAGCAGCGTGCGACCATCGTCGGAAAATTCCAGCGCATCGCCCGCGGGTCCAGAAAGCGTGCGTCTCGCAGTCGCAGGTGCGTCCGGAAAGACTGCAACAACCTCGATACCAAACTTGTTGCCCGTGATCAGGATGCGCGCATCTGGCGAAATGACAAGCGAGCTGGCTTCATGCACCAGCTGCACCGTTCTCCGCATCTTGATCTGCCCGCCTTGCTCGCCATGAATCTCGTACAAATCGACTTGTGACGGCCGCGAAAGCACCGCCAGCAGGAAACCATCCTCTGTGATGTCGACCGCGACAGGTTTGCGCTTGACTTGTAGCGTGCGCGCAAACAGCCTCGGCAGCTGTACCGTTTGGATAAGCCATATGTTCGACGCCGAGTACACGGCAACATACTGCCCCTTTCTTGAAATATTGAAGTCAAAGCTGTCCGGCAGCGCAGAAGACGACGCCGAATTCGACACCAGCTCGAGGAGCGTGAGGCTGGGATGTGCGTGCGACGTGGTGGCTGTGGGGCTGTTCGAGGCGCTGGGTCGGCGGTCATCATCTGTCATATTCGACGTCATGGCTGTCGAGTAGCCAGACTGGCTTATCGCGGACGAGGACATGGTTGCGTTGTCGATTGAAGACGCTGCGAGACGAGTGTCGACAGCATCCACACTCGAATCCGAGCTCAGAGCGCCTTCATCGTTGGCAAACGTGACTTCCTTTCCCTTAACACCGGCCCTGCTGTCTTCGTGGTGTGAACCGTCCGGTGAAGTCCTCCTCCCCACCATCTTTTGCCAGCGTGCAGTCCAGCGCCGTCGTTATCGTGTCAATCGTGCTGGTGTTGTCGATCGTTTGTCATGCGGATTCGAGGTGCAAGGGATGACAGGACTCCATGGAACATGCCTGGGAGCTTTGCTTTCAGCTGTACGGTAGAGGACGAGGATACATAGCAGGAGGAGTCTCCTCGGAAGACAAGATGAGGCTATCTGCGTACTTTGGTGCGGATACGATGGTACGGTGGGTTTGACATGCCTCGGATCGCCCGCCTCCAACTAGTCCCGCACCGGCGTGCATCCCCACGCTTCTATGTGGCTATATATAGTACGCATAATCACACACAAATCTCACACCGCGTATAGAAAAGTCTCTATCAATTGCTGCATATACTACACGGTGGAGATCGTCATGGCTTTATGGCTGTTTCTTTGCCTCTTGCGCGTTTGCTCGGAGAGTCGTCCTTTTCTCGCGGCTGCTCGAAGCTGAAGCGTTGCTCCCCTGCTGTGTTTGAAACAAAGTTGTACGAAGCTGAGAGAGGGGAAACCCTCCCGTGTAGAGACAACGTGCCACAGGTTGAAAGCTGCACTGGTGCTGCAACTCTGCACCATTGTCTGCGTGCATGCATCTCCCAATGTTTACGATAGCTCGCCCTAATGCAAGGCTGCGCTGGTGGTCGGTCCCGAAATGCGACTTGACAAGCTGCCGAGGCACGTGTCGAAGCTTCCGAACCAACGTGCTTGGATTGCTAGCCAGAAGAGGGGAACTTTTTTTTTTCAAGAATCGTCATCATTCTCGGAGCAAAGTCAAGTGTGCGGTCGATGTATCCACTGAGGCTTTGCCACGGCCTGCCTCATCCTCTTGCTGTGATGTGATTTGTCTTTGCAGCTTCCTTCCCATGCAGGAGCAACTGGTACTGCTGCACCAGCTCTTCCGGACAGCGAAACTCAATATGGAATGGCACATGAGACATCGTCTCCTTTGCGGGTAGTATGCCACACTTCCACCTCGACAGTCGATATTCCGCATACTGTGTAAAATATGGTATGGGGTTAACCGAGATGAAATCTGTAGAGACGTCTGCCCTCTTATTGATGGCTTCCTGGATTCTTCGTGCATGGTCTCGCTGATGATCCACTAGCTTCGGTGGAGTATCTGTCCAGACCTTGACCGCGCGATCGCGGATGTAGTGTCTTGCGCTCGGGGAGTCATGTGGTAAAGTCCACCACTGTTTCCAGAAGAGATCCGGGCCTTCGGCTAAGACAAACCATGCCAACCAAGAATTGCCTTTGCGAAAAAGTCTTTGCCCGTCAATCCCACTGCCCCAATCGAACACCCACGGCTTCTGGTCTTCGCCAATGTTCGATACGGATGTCCGGAACGAGGAAGAAAGGAGCATGAACATGAGTTTGTAGTCCTTAGCGCCTTGCAGTGGCATCGAATCGATATATGCCAGTCGCCGCCCGAGGATTATATCTTCCTTCTGCCGGCTTAGATCGACTTTGCGCGAGGGGTATATCAGTCGGATGCTGAGTCCACTCGCAGGTTCGGATGTGTCTTCGGAGGTCTTCTTCGATATATTTGCTAGTCGAAACAAGACGCGCCAGCCATTCGCGATTCGAGCCCGGAGTTCGTCGCCGTAGGCGTCCTCTGCCGGGATGCCATAGCGCTGCTGTGTGTAGTCGTGTGCGATGCGATGACGGTCCACAAGAATCGCTGCGAGTTGCTGTGGTATTAGGTCTTCAAGCCATTGCACGGTATAACGCAAAGGCTTGTGAAGCAGAAGGTTATGGCTGTGAGGGAAGGTGGCTTGCGCAACCGAGGGCGCAATGGTGCTGATGTACTCGGAAGCCAGGCTTCTCGATCTCCTGTCGGTCAATCGCAGGGTAAGTAGTTCGTCAATAGCGCATTCTGAGCAAATGAGAATGAGAATATCGTCAGGTAATTCGTTGAAGCGAATGCGCTCTGCAAGAGGTTGTGTTGACGCCTTTCGACGTGTCAGTGAGAACATTGTCAACGATGAGAAAAAGAACGGAGACTAGAGTCAAATCAGCACGATGGATAAATGAGCGAGCGAGTCACAGCTTGGAGAGTTGCGGCGCAATAATCAAGGAATCGAGTTGGAAGTTTGCTCGAGACATGGATGCTGCTCCTTTGGACGGCTGAAGCGGATGGTGATCATTGCAATCGCTCGTTTCTTTGATTCTCTGATGGGATCCGAGAGCTCTAGCCCAATGATGTTAAAAGCAACACGAGAAGCGCAGTATAATACTGTTGAAGTTGATAAAGGCGGTTGAGCTGCAGCTCGTCAGGGCGAGGTGCCTCCATGCACGAGCAACGACCGAGAAGCGCGCGCGATTTGGTGTGACTGCGAGGAAGTTCCAGGAACCGGGCAGAGCACGGACAAGCATTGTTGACGGCTCGGTGACACTTGACGGCGCGTTGCTGTTGCGGTGTCGGAGGATTTCAGCGGCTCGTAGCTCCCCAATTCATGTGCTGGCTAATGATCTTGCAAGGAGCGGCCCGGTTGTGGGGACACCTCCCACGAGCGCTACCCATTTTCATCGACACAACATCTACACGTCCCGTGCGTCGACATGTCCATCTTACAAAGACCATGAGACGTATGAGCTTATGCACTAGCGGACGTGATAACTGTCCTTCATCAGGAACCGTGAGGGACGTGAGCACAGCCGCAGCCACCCTTGGACAATCCACAATTAGACCGGTCTTACGCCGATCACAACCATCTTCTCTTCATCAGCAAGACTTCGCCTAACGTTACCCAAAGACGTATGGCGCATGCATGTATGCAGCCTTGCGAGTTATCGTGGAACCCAATGTTCAGCTTCATGTCACAAAATACGCTGCTGTCTTGCTTGTTCTCAAGGACAGATCCTCTAGCCGTTTGGGCTTTGTGACTCTGAGCCTCTAGTTGCCATGTGTGGTTACTTTGTTCGGTTCGATGAATTGAGGTTTCAGCTTTCGGATCGTCCGCCCATCAGCTGCCACGCCAAAAGGCTTGGTTTTGCCCTACAAATGCCGCGAGAGGATGTGCCTAGGTTGTTGCTGCAAGAGGGTGACACTAAACACTATTCTGGTATCCCTATGCTCACACCTCGTGAATGCACGTCGAGCTGAAAACGTGACCTTCAGTCGAACAATCTGCAGCAGTCATCCCTAGTCTACCTAGGGCTAGACGCTGCACCCACATCGTTGAGTGGCTCAGTACTACCTTTTTGCTGTTGGTCAGTGTTGTACCCGTTGGCTGTGTCTGGCCTAACGCATCCACCTTCGCCTTAAATGGTGAGAAACTGGACGCGCGCCCAGGATGCGGGTGGATTGTGGCTTTCAAGAGCGGGCATCTGTTGCGCAGGGCAGTTTCTTTCCATTTAACTTGTAGGCCGCTCTCTTCCACAACAGCCTTTCAGCCTCCTTCGACTCTCTGCTGCAAACGTGACATCAGTCGCAACAATGTTCGGACGACTGCGAACGATTACACTCTCAGTCTCAGCCTTGTGGCAGCTTTCGAGCGCTGTGCCCGCAGACCCAACCATCACACCTGCTGCTGTGTTACCGAGACAAAACAGCGATAAATTTATTGGATATCTCGAATTTAACAACACTTGTGAGTTTCCAGCGATCCCATCCTAGATCTTCGCTGACCACACTGATAGGGACCAGCCTCAACTGTCAGCTCTTTGCATCAACTAAACTTATCTTGCTAATATGATCAGGCGAACCCGGCCTTACATGGTACCAAAGTGGTCAATATGCTCAGTGTTGCCCGGAAACTCTTGCTCATTGCTATGCGCCAACTGCTTGCGTTAGAGGATCCCAAATATACACTTACCCTGACATCTCCAGCGTAAGGACGATCGCTTGTACCGAGAACTACAACAACGCTGCGCTCTCGATCTGCAACACGATCTTCATCTATGAAAACTCCCAAGATTCGAATCCCAGGACAAACATCAACTGTGGAGACTCTAGCGCGAACTGGTCGTATTACCGAGATATCCCGACGACTGAAGAGGTCAACACTTCTCCAGGTAGGTTACAAGCATTGCACGCATCCTGAAGCATAGTCTGACATCTTTACAGCGACCTCAATACCCCAACTCCCTTCAACTACCGTCGTCGGACCTACACAACCCGCCGAACCAAAATCCGGTTCAAAAGCATGGATCGCAGGCGCAGTTGTCGGTCCCATATTAGGTCTCGCACTCGTTGGAGCTGGTGTGTGGTTCCTGCTCCGCCGCAGAAAGAAGGCTGCTCAGGTGCCTCAGCAAGGCACCGCATCCATGGCACCCATTGATCCTTCTCAGCCGCCAGCAGGCGTTGGCGGCTACACAGATGCAAAGCCTCAGTTTCAGCCTGCGCAGCCAACATACTATAATCAACCCGGGCAGCCGGATCCATACGCCCAGCAAGAGTACCTTCAGCAAGGAGGCTTCTCGCCACCTCAGGGTTCACCTGCTCCACAGTACGGTTTTCAATCTGCTTACAATGATGCTGCGAATCCGCTGCCCGGGACTTACGCACATGACGCTAAGCACGAAGCCGGCGGAGCTGCGGAGCTTGGTGGTGATAGCACTGGGAATGTACCAGCTTCGCCGCAACCAGATACTGCTCAGACTTCTCAGGCTATTGAACTAAGTGGTGCGAATACCAAACCACATGGTGAAGGGTTGCCAGGCGGCAACAAGCCGCAGTAAGCGGTCAGATTTGAGGATGGGCAACATAGTAACACTGTGGGCTGTGAATGAGATGAACCACACAGTCGAGGTGTGCTCGACTTGGAATGTTCATAGACTGGCTTGTGCTGTTGATATATACTTGACTCGTTACAGATTCACTGCTTGACGCACATTACAGTCTTTCAAACGTCCACCTTCTCACCAGCACCTCCTTACAGCTTCGCCTTATCTTCCAGGGCCCATAAGCCCTTTAACCCCTCCACACTCGCCCCCAGAACAGGATCTCGCTCAGGCACTTTCACATTCCACACATCATCAAAGTGCCCCTCATGCTCACCCCCAACAGCAAAATCCCACTCCCCACCCCTCGGATACGCGCCCATCATCATAAACTCTCCTTCAATCGGTATCCCCTCAAAGAACTCTCGACTCCCTATCTCATCATTCTTATCCGGCGGCTGATAAAACACAATGCCATCCGTCTTCGGGCTCGGATCATGTGTCTTATGCGCAACCCCAGCTGGGAGAATGAAAACATCGCCAACTTCCGCATCAAGCAGAACACCCCCTTCTTCTCTGTCGTCTTCGTTCAGGTCTTTGCCTTGAGTGCCGAGCCCAAGGTCTTGCTCCCGGTCTTCTTTGGAGTCGGCAACGCCGAAGCGGATTTTTGCTCGCCCGCCGGAGATCACGGCCATGCATTCATGCGCGGAGGAGTGGTAGTGCGAGTTTTGGTTTGGGCCGTAGCGTGCGATCCATTGCGATTGCCAGCCATTGCTTTTGAACATATCAAATATCTGTGTCGTGGAGATTTTTTGGTCTTTGACGAGAGAGGTGAGAAGACCGGGGTAGTGTATGAGCACGTGTGGTGAGTTTGGGATGAGCTTTGTTGGTGGGAGGGTGTAGGTTCGGACTTCGATTTTGCTGGCGGGAGACATGGCAGAATTCTACTATTTGAGATTCTGTGTTGGGAGATGGCGAGTTGGTACGGTTGAGCTTCGCAACGGGTTGTCTTGCCCGTGACATGCGAACGTGTGGATTCTGAAAGGATGCATGGTTGTTGACTTATGTTATAGTTCAAGCTCGTGAGGGGAAGGTTGACGTCAATCCCGGATCGCCTTCCGACTCGGATATGATGACCCTATCGCGATCAAAAGTGGGCATGCTACGCGAGCGCTTTAGAACAAGAAGGTTACGATCAGAGTTGACCATTAAGTGTATCGAATCGAGCTCCTAGAACTGAATAGTACGGCAACTTAAGAAGCTAGCGGGCTACATCGATCTCCAGGACCGAGCACCGAGCTTATGTCTGTCAAACGGACTATGTAAGCGTCGCACTAGAGTGGTGACCGAGGGGAAGATGCAGAAGTTCAGGGACAGATTAGAATAGAGGATAATGTCCGCGCAGGTGCAGCTCTCATTGGCCAGCTCGTTGCTAGCGCCCGCTTTCCGCACGATGTTGATATTTGCCCTCTCCTAGTACTACATACACAGTTCACACCAACACCCTCATCAGATAACATCATCGCAAATAGCATAATCGCATTCGAAGGCAATTGACGACTTGAAAGATATCTACATAGAAAGTATACCTGGCATCAAAGTCCCAACTAGGCAGCTCAGTCGCTCCACTGAAAGCGTCTAGCAGATGTTCCTAGCACCGTTACCAGTCAAGGTCCAGTTGCTGTTGTCAGCACAAGGAGACTCGCGAACAGTCGTACCATCGACCTTGAGCGTGATCCAGATATCGCGGGTGTTAGCAAACTCTGAGCGAGCAGAGATTCGCACCTCACCGCCACCATTGACAGTTCCGCCACGGATGGACAGGTTATAGCAATTCTCTATCAACACGGCATTGTTGCCGTTGTCGGCGAGATCGACGGTGGTAATGACCGCACCTCCAGACTCGCTCACGCAAAAGATCCCGCGGCCACCTCCGCGCGACTTGACTTTGTCGATGTATACGTTGGTGTTGTAGTTGCCGTTTGCGTTGCGGCCGTTACGGTTGGCGAAGCGGAGGGTACCGTATCCTGATCCAGCGCCAACGTTGTCACCATCGACAAGGCCGACCTTCACGTTGATTGAGTTTTGGAGCAGCAGCCCGGACTCGCCAACATTGCGGGCAATGACCTGGTTGATGGTCAAGCCGTCAATGTTCCAAGTCTCAACCGCGTGGCTGCCGGCACCGGTGACGCGAATGTCATCCATCTTGACGTTCGATTGAGCGGCTCGGTCGCGATCGAAGCGGATACCCAGACCACCGCTGAGGTTCATGGTGATCTTGCCGAGGACAAGACCGTTGGCACCAGAGAAGCGGAGACCGAAGTAGGGCGAGCCGGTCATGGTGAGGTAGGGGATCTGGACATCGTTTGCATTGGTGACTTCGATGGCTCCACGACCGGAGCGGCTGGCGACGTTGATGGTACCGCAGCCTTCGAAGATCTTACCAGCGGTGAGCGTGATGGTGTTAGCGCCGATAGAGCCTGAGGCAATGACGGAAACACGTTGGCCGGCGCTGATGGAGTCGACAGCAGCTTGAATAGCGGCGCGGTAGTCAGAGCCAGTATAGACGTTGGTCGAGCCTCGGGTCGCTGTGAAAGAGCTGCCAGAGCCAGTGACCCTGGCTGCAGGCGTGCCTGAACCGCATTGGGCGGAAACAGCAGAAACGAGCGCCAGCGCAGATGCGAGAAGAGAGAAGTGAACCATTGTGGCAATGTTGCGATCGACGTTGGTGATCCTTCAGCACAGCGGAGTGCTGCTACTTATATACAAGCAGGAGAAGAAGCTTCCATATCCGCTCGTAGCAACGGTGCATCGTCCTCCGCCCTGTTTTTCCGGTTGGAGGATGATATTGGTGATGTTTGATGTTGATCTATTAGGGACGTTCCCTACATGGCTAAGCACTGTAAACATCTGGAAACTTTGTGTGACACCGGTTCTTAGCAGTCTTGGGCCCATAAGGAAGCTGGTATGCAATGGCGCTTCCAAGAGTCTAGTGCTCCTCAGGCAAGATTTACCAAGATGGCGTCAAGTCTGGTGTGAAACAATGGGTAGCTTTTGATACCGAACCCCAGGAAACGTGTTCGGCAACCAGACTTCTGCCGGTTTCATTGGTGCGCTACCACGATGCTTGGTTCCACCGCCAAGTCTTCCAAGACTTCGTTAGATTGGTATCATATACTTCCGCTTTGCCTGTCTTTGGTGTCCGGCGAGTTCTTTTGGGCACATGAGGTCCCAGATGAGGGCATGTGAGGTCGATCACCCCGCCAAACGCTAAACGTAGCTGCATATTCGGTCGCATATATACCGACTTCCCCACAAACCAATGTTTGGTTGGATAGATTGCTGCTTGTCGATATGCATCCGACAGTAAGTTGACGTCTGGTAATGACTGAAACGCGAAAGCGTGACTAATAGACATACATGACGAGAAGCATCTCTTAGAGATGGCCATCGAGCCTACCTCCAGTGCGCTCCAAGTCGATTGGTAGAGGCAAGTGAAGGCCGTATCCTCGGTCATATGTAGTCCGGTCAAAAGCCTTCAGGTATATCCAGATGATATTGGATCCAAGATAACTTAAGGTCCAGCCAGTTATTGAAGTAGCCTGTCGACACTTGAATATCGCGATACGCACGACTGGATCTGTTGGGAGGGCCGCAGCAAGCTTCACCCTTGCGCTGTCATTACCGGACCAAACTGTGCGAACCTTCGTGCCTGAAGACAGCGAAAGCGATGGGAGCAGGTATTGAGGAAGTCAAGGCCGAAATAATCATCTTGGAGGAGTATCTCGAAGGGCGCAAATGTTATACCCATTAAAGGTAAGAGTGATGAAGTCTAGTGCTTGGAGGACGGCGACAGATTGAAAGATTTGAGCGGAATCCCTCTAGAGCTGGCGTCTTGCTGAGAGTCTCGCGTAGGCTGCGTTTCGGTTTCGTTACCTCGATCTGCCAGATGCGCGTAGATACTTGTAACAGCGAGCACGAGAGAAAGAGAGGCACAGAATATTAGGCTCGTGAGATGACGAGCAACTTATGCAGACCTCAGCCAACAGGACCAGACTGCTCCTTCCATGGGTTCGACAAAGTCGAAACAACACAGATAAGCCACGATCATCTTAGGAAAAAAAAAAAAAAAAAAAGACGGCAACGATGTCGAGGGAGTAAAAAATTGGACTCGCGGGGAATCGAACCCCGGACCACTCCCAGGCTAGATTCGAGCTTCTATGAAGCTGCGATGCTAAGGGAGTATTATACCACTAAACCACGAGCCCTTAACTCATTTTATGCTTATGTGTCAAAAGTTTTCATTTATATACTTCAAAAAACATATTTTGAGGCCCCTAAGTTGCAGCTGGCCCATAATTAATCTTCAAAGAATGCATTCGTTCACCCGAACTCTAATACATTTCCTTAGGCCTACAAGTCTGTATTTAACGCTTTGATAGATGGAGAGCCCTTGAGCTTTGCTTCACCCAGCACTTTGTATAGGGTTCCAGGACTGTGCTATATCAAGAACTCATTGTCGAAGAGGTTTTCTGCTGAGGGCCTTTCTTCTGGAAGCCAGCGCAAGACTTTTCGAACGAGTGCAAGGAGTAACTCTTGATCCTTGCCCTTTAGCCGTTTCTCGCGCATTTCGAGTGTCTGCTAAGGAATTGGCGTTGGGGCGATCCAATTCCCTTTGTTTCCCGTCGACGAAATGTCGCACTTAGCGGGTTGTGGCATAACTTTACCTTCTGCATCCCAGTACTGACGGATGTCTCGCTCCGTTCTAACAAGCTTCTGGGCGGAAGTCCCATAAGGGAAACCATCTCGGCAAGATGCTGCTCATCCTTGAGATGACCGTCCTTTACGGCACGGAACAAGCGACATCCTTCAAACAGATCCCAGATTCATATGATCTCAGCACGAATCGGAATGGCAAGAATACTAAGTTATGGTCCATGACTCCGACAGACCATATATCAATCTTGGAGGTCCACCCCATGCCCATGATGATTTCAGACGCTCGATAAACGCCAGGCATGACATCTCCAGCATGCTTCTCTCCGACCCTAGCAGCACCAAAGTCGCAGATCACCGGTAGTCCATTGGTGATAGGTATGGCGCGGGAACAGTAAATGGTATGATCTGAAAGTATTTTGCGGGGAGACGGATGCTCAAGCTCGGCTTGCTCAATTATTGAAAACACCGACGAGTCTGGGGCCCCCAGGAGGATGTTATTAGGGGATATGTCTAAGTTGTGCTTAGCTGGCAAACTCAGTAGAACGATTGATCAAAAATACCTGTATGCACCACGTCCGCCTGGTGCAGAAAGTCGAGGCCAAGAAGAACTAGCTGCAAGGTCTGCTGCAATAGTTCCTTGTTCAGCTCTTTTTCTGGAAACAAATTTCGGAAGTTGTGTAGCTTAGGCCTAGTAGGGCGAAGAGCAAGCATTGATGCATCCCGTAAGGGCCGGTTATCTGGAAATCATCCAGCACCAGACGCAGCAGATCCTTGCCAGGGTGTTCAGCATCGATGGATTTGAGATACGGGGAGATGGCCACTTCATTGTCCACCTTGTTGGCACTTTTCTGCGTGATGCAGACCTTAAGGGTTAGAAGAAGGTTTGCTCTAGTAACGGTATCGCTTTGTCAACAAAAGACCGATTAAACCCTAATACGAGAGAGTGCAAGATGTTCCGGAGGATATACTCAAGATCACGACAAAGCCAAATGGTGGAGGCCGTGCCGAACCCGAGCTTAGCGACGACCTGGTATCGAGACTTTAATACCTCGCCTAGTCGCACTGGATAAAACCTTTCTGCTCTGTAATTGGGGACATCCTCTTCCTCATATTCTCCTGCGTGGAAAGCTTCTCGAAACCGTCAACTGGGAAAGTGCGAGCGAAGCCACAGCTTGTCATGGTCGTGGTGGACAACCATGCGCGGGGTTCGAAAGCCCGGTTATCTCGGTGTAGGACGTGTGGTATGCGGCAGCTTGGTGTTCTGATAATCAATCGAAGGGGCAATTTTGCCCTTCTCATAGTTGTTGGTAATGAAGTGGAACAATGATGGTGAGAGACAGGTTTGTTGCAAGTGTTTCGTCGCCTGGGCGAAGTCGGGCGGTGTGACAATACCCATTTTAGGCTTAATGTAGCCGCATACAAAGAGGTGCGACACGCTAAGAAGCACCTTCTAGTACTGAGAGATGAAGGTCTCTGAAGAACGACATTTGCAGGTAATCCACTACTCTAACTGTAAGCATGGGGTGGTGGTATCAAGAGTGTAGGCTGTGTGTATTGAAGAAGAGTGACGATGCAGCTCAGATGTAGTAAAGGAATGAAGTAAGCACTGCAGTAGCGCCTGCTTACACTAACAGATCAATGTACAAGCGAAGCGGGTTCTTTGCCTACTATTCCTTCTCAGGGTATGAGTTGAGCGACTTCGCGCTTTGCTGAGCATCCCGGCCCAGCTCATCTACAGGAACCTTACGGCACGTTTACCAACACAACTACATCCACAACAGTGCTGGCTCGAGCCTGTCAGTGAACGTGTCTTGGATGGCGACTGTACTGTAATGCTAGAAGACGGTTTGGCTCTGACCGCAGTGGCGGTGACCGTAACGGTGATGTTGCGGTCACTACATCGATACAGGAGGGCGCCTGATTGCCTGTGGAGACCAGTGCAAGTACTGGCCGACTTGTTGCGATGCCGTTATTTCGTAGTCTCCAGGCACTTGAGATTGCGATGATACTACTGTATGTGTTCGTTGTCTGCTTGACAGCTGTTGCGGTCTTCGGAATATGCACGATCTTGGCTCGGGCCGTTATACCGCCTTGGTCTGTGCGTTGTCGCGCGGTCACATGTTCCATCCACTCCATCGCAAACGCAATTCCTACAACGCACTACAGTCTCCGTCACTCATGTCTGCCCCGGCGTGTATGATCTTACACAGGTCTGCGTTTGTAGGGTCGTTCGCGCAACCAAACACGATAACTTCGTGCGCGTCTGCAGACAATGGCAACTCGCTCTCGGGCGGAAATACTCAACTCTAAGCCGATAGGAGATGGGTTGAGTGCCTTCTGCGATTCTCACAGGTCAGAATGTGAATTTTCAGCCGGCGAAGGCAATGCTCTCCACTCCTGACCGGAACTGTCTAATGCAAGCAGAACTCAATAATGTTCTACTCGATCTCATACATGCTGTACAAGGTCTTCCAGCTTCTCGTCATCTACCTTCATGTCGTGGCGGCAAGAACCTCCTCGATGACTTGTCCAAGCTTATGACTGCAGTCAATGCTGACAACGTTGATGTGGAGCGTCTACTTCCACTTCTTCAAGCGGTCCTCCACAAGGCGTCCGACGAAGTCGTATGGGACAAGGTCTACGCCGCCGTCACCGAGTCCACTCCACCTCCCCTCCCCGCGTCATCCATCCAACAAACACCGTGGCTGCGCAGCACGGACAGCTTCGCGAACTCAACCGAGCACCGCAAATACGTCGAGGACGTGCTGAAGGAGGAGCTGGGACAAATGCACGTCGGAGTACCAGGGTTCTTCGACGCATTCTTCGGAGGAGTCGCAGGTCTCGATACGGTGGCACAGGCTGTATTCGACAGGTGCAAGGACGGAGACACACCGCTCTACCAGGAGGAGGGTGGCTGGCGGGACTGGCCAGAAGGAGCGAGGGAGCAGGACGTGTTGAGCTGGTTTGCACCGCTCACAGAACAGCTCTTGGACTTCGCAGACGAGCATCGGGCGGCCCCTAGAGTTCGATGCCGAACCGTGGCACGACCCCATCAGCCCTTGCACGGTTCTACGGCCGACCGCAAGCTAGACATCGGCTTCGTGGACGACGAGAGCGTTGGCATCCACTCCAGGTGCCACTGGTCGCGCATCCTCGTACCCGGAGAGCTCGAGAGCAACCCGCTGGCGGACAAAGCGTCCAAGGCGTGGCTGGACCTCGGCCGATATGCGAGAGAAGTGCTTGCCGCTCAAGACAGCCGCCGGTTCGTGCTAGGCTTCACGCTGTGGTCCAGCATTTTTGAGGCAAAGTGCAAACATGACACGAGAAACTGGATACTGAAATTAAGTATCAACACGAAAGCAGTGGATTTAGGCAGCCCAGCAGCGCTATGAATCCAGCCAGCGCAGCTTCTTACGTTATTCTAGTAACACCTCAAGTCTGAGCAACGGTCATCCAGCCTCCAACCCAACTGCAACCTGCTGCATTGGGGTGGAGCATGGCTGCGGACGCTCTCCCAACTGTTTCTGCAGGTGCTGGAGGCTGAAGTCATGTAGTCTGTCGCTTTTCGTTGTTTATTTTTGGTTAAGTTCTCTTCAGATGCACAGATGGCTTCTATGCCAAGCAAAACCGAAATGTTGTCATATTCAGATACGGGATTTGAATTTTGGCATTACAACCCTTACAAAACTCCAATCTATGTGCAGAACCCTATATTATAGGCTACGGGACCGTAGTACCACTAAACCATGAGCCCGGGAATGAGTTGTTACTCCTTTAATGAATAATCATCACAAAGTAAGCAATATGACCTTTCTGATTAAAATAGAGGCACCAGTGGTATCCTGAACCCAGTCTCGAGACGGTTCTGGAAGGCGTTCTGCGAATACAGTAGTGTGGGTCGTGTGGGGCTGACCGAGGCTTAACGACAGCTGAACGACGACCTGCCAAAACGATGAAAGCTGTCAGATCCATATAGACAACCTGTCTGCAGCAGATTAGGGTCCTCTAGAGACCTTATCTAGTCTTTTGCGTCTTCTCTGTGACGCTTCTTTTGAATCCTGGTCTTTAGGCGTCATGTAAATTGCCATCGTCAGTAGAGCAACGCCCAAGGACGAGTCGTCCACAGCACAAGCAATGCATGCTGTGTTTTGTTGTGAGATTGATGTAAAGAATGCTTGTTGATATAGTAGTTGATTATGTGAAAACGCGGCGAAGGGGGTGGCGACTCTGGTGACGGAACTCTGACGCGGTGGCTCGACGAGCGAATATTTCGAAGACAATGAGAGCTCAGAGGTCTGAATGAGCTCCAAGAGTCGAGTGCGCTCTTCTGTGGTAGACGCGACGCGTATTGCTGTTATTGTGGTGGTGGAACGGTTGTGTGGTTGCCGCCGTCATCGGCTGCAACTGTCAATTGCGCTGTGTTACGTCATTGCCAACTCCCCAATCGCGACTTCCCCATTGCGACTTCCCCTCCGTATTGGGAGCAACATATCAACGCATCAACAACACTCAGTTGACTCGAAGATTGCCAAGTACGCTTCATCCAACGGCTGAAAGATACCAAGATGTCCTCCCAAGGTCCCCCATCAGTGCAATACTATGACATCCCCAACTTCACTTTCCACAATGGCGACACGCTCCCAAATGTCCGGCTGGCGTACCAGGTCCTCAATCCGCGTCAAGAGAAGATTGCCGTAGTGCATACATGCTTTCGCGGCCGCATCTCAACCACATTGACACACGCCGACTATGCGCTCAGAGATTACAAGGTAATCGTCATCGCACTCTTCGGCAATGGCGAGTCTTCGTCTCCGTCGAACACAGACAAATTCGCGACCACTCTCGAATACATGGACTGCGTCAAGGCGCAGTATAAGCTTCTAACTGAAGAACTGAAAGTCGACCAAGTAGACGTCATGCTCGGCTTTTCCATGGGCGGGCAAATTACATACCACTGGATCACGACGCACCGATCATTCGTCAAGAATGCTATCATCGTATGTTCCTCCGCCAAAACCTCACGACACAACTTCCAGTTCCTCGAGGGCCCGAAGGCGGGGCTGCAGAACGCCAAAGACACCGAGTCCGGAATCAGAGCGTTCGGAAAGGGGTACTCAGCATGGTTGACGAGCGCGGAGTGGTTCGACCAGGAGTTGTTTAAACAGATGGGGTTTGATAGTTTGGATGCGTGGGACGAGAATGCGACGTTCAAGGAGTACGAGGGATGGACTGGGGAGGATTTGTTAGCGATGCTAGGAATGTGGCAACGCGGCGACATCTCTCGGTGCGGTCAAAGTTTTGATGGCGACTTGATCAAAGCTCTGAAGCACATTGATGCGAGAGTCCTGCTCATGCCGTGTGAGACTGATCAGTACTTCCGGCCGAAAGCTAGTGAAAGGGAGGTGTACTACTTGAAAGGCGGCAGAGTTGCCGTTGTGCCTAGTATCTGGGGGCATATCGCTGGCGGTGGTGCGAATGAGAAGGATGTCAGGTGGATGGAAAGGAAGATTGCGGACTTCCTAAAAGGTAGTTATCCTTCCTAATGGGGCTGGCAAAAGTCTACTAGAGAGCTTGCCACGACATACGCAATGGTAATCCACGTACAAAGAACATAATGTATACTCGCTGCGACTTACGTACTCACGATTATCTCCAAAACTAGTATCAATGCTCGCAACCTGATGAAGTTCCCAAGATTCTACAGAACGAGATCCTCAACGGTCCGGGGTAAGGTCGTGTTTAGAACTCGCTGGCGTTGATGCACGGTTTCGCCACTCAGCTTCCAGCGACAACGATGAAACATGAACAATACCTGTAAGAGATATCATCCCGTTGTTTGCTTACCCATGGCCTTGCCGTTGACTGAATGGTGATCACATGGTAGGTATCGTGAACGTCGCGGCTGTTCCTGCCTCCGCGTTCCGTCCATTAGCGTTCGGCGATCCTCGGCAAGGCTAACAAAGCTCATTCGAGTCGACAACTCACAATTACCATCGGCAGTAACTATGCGATTCTAGCCCCCATTCGTCATTACCAAGCAATATGTTGCGTGACGTTTGGCCGACAAAGATGTGCAATTTACTCTGCGGTAGATATATAGCGCCTAGACCGCGACAACATCACCACCCGACGGTGATCCATATCAAAGAAGCTCCCAATTGAAAGTGTAAGAGCAAGGAAACCCGGAGATAGTACGACTCGACGATTTGAAGTTTGCAAGCCAAGATGCCGAACATGAAAGAAGCGATCATCGCCAAAGGCCTCAAGACCACAATCCAGGATGTCGCCATCCCTGAGCCGCAACCCGACCAGGTCATCATCCAAGTCGTAGTCTCTGGCTCCAACCCCAAGGACTGGAAGATCCCCGAACTCGTCCCTGACTACAACGCCAACAGCGGCGACGACATTGCCGGCATCGTGCACAGCGTGGGTTCAAATGTATGGGAATTCAAGAAGGGCGATCGCGTAGCGAGTTTCCACGAGATGATGACGCCTGGAGGCAGTTTTGCAGAGTATGCGGTTGGCTGGCAGCACACTACTTTCCACCTGCCCAAGGAGTTGAGCTTCGAAGGTAAGCAACCCAACAAATCACACGAACGCGAAATGAGCTGGGACTGACGTGAAGTGTAGATGCTGCGACCATCCCCCTCGCAGCCATGACAGCAGCCCTAGGCATGCACCAACGCCTCGGACTTCCCGGCCCCTGGACCCCCGCAACAGAGCCTACACCCCTCGTTGTCTATGGCGGCGCAGCAGCAGTCGGCGCGTATGCAATCAAACTTGCTGTTCTGGCCAACATCCACCCCATCATCGCAGTCGCCGGACGTGGCGAGAAGTTCGTTGAGGGATTGATCGACCGCAGCAAAGGCGACACCATTGTCGACTACCGCAAGGGCAACGAGGCAGTTGTCCAAGGCATCAAGGATGCGCTGAAGGGGCAGAAACTGTGGCACGCGTTCGACGCCACATCCGAACATGGGAGCTACACCAACATTGTGCAAGTGCTGGAGCCGACGGGCCATTTGACTGTGGTGCTGCCGGGCAAGAAGTACGAGGGCGTGCCCGAGAGCGTCAAGCTCACAACGACGAATGTCGGTGCAAGCCACAAGGACGACAAGGATTACGCGTACATCATGTTCAGGTACTTTGCTAGGGGACTGGCGGAGGGCTTCTTCAAGCCGCACCCATACGAGGTCATTCCTGGTGGACTCGAGGGCGTGCAGAAGGGGTTGGAGAACCTGAGGGATGGAAAGGCGAGTGGTGTGAAGTACGTGTTTAGGATTGGAGAGACGAAGGGTGTTAAGAGCGCCTTGTAGAGAAGGTCGTCCACTTTACGCGAAGAAACTGGTTTGTAAAACTATGCTAGTATTCCTGATACTCTCTTGGAGTATATCTACCATGCAATTGCAATCAATGCAGTGACGCCCGGTCATGCAACAATTCGAAAAGAAAGTAAACGACAGTCTCGCATGTGCATCCCTAATAGTGAAGCACGTTCGAACAAAACTGATGACAATACCCAAACGCCCGTTTGTGGTATCTTGCGAGCCCCTCGGGAGCAAGGGAAGGGACGCGACCCGATGATGCTGACTTGTATGCAAAGGAGATAAGACAAAGGAAATCAAAGAGCAGCGGACGAGCTCTGTTTGGCTCGCCGCTTTGCGCGTGGGAAGAAGGTATGGGTCGCAGTCGACATCGCTGTGGGCGTGAAGGAAGACTCAGATCTTGCGTCGGACGGTGAACTTGCGTTCCATAGTTGCCGCGGGTAGCGCGTCGGCGAAGAGGTCTCGTGCTGTCATTATGTCAGTCCCCGCTCAGAATTCCGTACAAATAATCTCTTACCTTCAGCCGAATCAAACATAATCAGAATATCGTCATGCTCACCCGGATACTCAATTTCATCAAGACACACAAACCTCCTCTTCGTGCCGACCCAACCCGTCAGCCTACCCTCCGCCTTCTGCATCTTCCCTTCTCCTCTGCGCTGATCCACAGGCAGCGCAAACTTGGCGTCGACCAGCTTCAGACCGAATTTGCCGCCGCTGTCCTTCTTCTCGAACGTGTCCATGGACGAGAGACGGAAGTTCATGGCGTCGGCGTGCGAGAAGTCTTCAAAAAAGGCGAGGAGTTGGACGACGTTGTCTTGGTGCACAATCTGGAGGCGGATTGTGTTGGCAGTCCATTGCTTGTAGATGGGGACTACCATGCGCCGGCGGGAGATGGAGAATGTGCTTGCGATGCTGCGGACGTCAGTGAAACGCTTCCCGATGTTTTCATCGGAGTAATGGGACAAATACATACCCATCGAATTTGACCTCGAAACCAGTGACTGCGAGCTGGAAGGCGTGTAAGTCTTTGAACGAGTTGAATGCTAAACGGCGGATTGTGGATGCGTTTGTTAGCGTGCGGAGGAGTTCAGCGAGCGCGTCAGGGACATCTTTGTCGGTGCGGCTGCTGTCGACTGCGACGGCCATGTCTTGCTGAGGGTTGCGGAGGAGTGTGAGGTCTGCGGCGCCGTCGGTTGGGAGGCGGACTAGGATTTCGCCAGGACCTGGTGATATTAGTGATTTTCCACCAGACAAGGGTATTTGAAAGAATTTACCAAGGTTCATGCGATCGGATATAATGCCAGCGCTGTGCCGGCAAACGATTCTCAGACTCTCACTCATCACAGTCGGTGCGGCTTCTAGGCCTGCGGCTTCTGGGTCCTGGTTCACTGTCTTTGCTTCCTGCCACTGGAGCTTTTCGAGAACGCGACTGCCGACTGCGCTAAACGCGTCTGCCTGATCTGCGCTCTCGATGCTGAAAGATTTGAGGGGCACCTGAGCAAACGTCATCTCACCAGGCGCAATATTCATCGACGTGAAAGTGCCAAACAAGTGGTTTCGGTCATTAGCATCTTGGAAGACGAGATGTACTGTGCAAACTCTAGGTCTCTGTTCCGCAGCGCCTTCGCGGAAGTGCAACCTCATTGCTGGCGACTGGTCGTTCTCGGTGACGTATTCGAAGTTCATGGGTTCTTGCTTCGTGCCTAGTTCGTGTTCGACGAAGCTCAGTTGCTTGTTCTTCTGTGCTGTGACCAACACCAGTCTGTAGCCGCGGTGCAGCTTGCGCTTCCCTGTACCTTCGCTACTGCGATCGAACTTTTCAAACACCATGAGCTTGCAGCCGTGCACACGTTCTGGTGGAAAGGCCGCTGGGTTCGCCGGGTCTTTGTAGCTTGCTTCCCGCAGGTAAAGCTTGCCGGAGAAGCGTTCGTTCGCTCGCTCTCTCATGCTGGATTCGACACGGTTGGTGTGGTCCACGATGGCCCACAGATTGCGCCAATCGCCCTCATTCAACTCGAGTCTGAGGACGAACCCGTGGTGCAACTGGAGGCTGAGCTGACGTGACTGCTTTTTCCAACTAACGTCCTTCCAGGTCGGTCCGGTAGCGGCGTTCAACCCTACAATCAGGTTGAGGTCTTCGTTCTGGCTGCAGATGGCCAGCTTGGTCGCGTACTCCTCCTTGGAGCGCAGTACGGTGATGGCGGCAGGCATGGGCGCACCGCCAGTGTTGGCGTCGTCGGTCAACATGGTAGCTGTGGCGAACATCCTGAAGTAGCAGAACTCGTTCTTTGTGTCAGTCAAAGGCAAGTATTGTGACAAGCTTGGCTGCTGCGACTGCGGTCCGTTCCTCGTCTGCTTGTACTTGGCTCCAGAAAGTACACTTGCGGCAATTGGGTCGAACCTTGGGTATTCTTCCCATATGTTCTGATTCTGGCCTTGAATAAGAGCTGCTGTCGGAGGCATACTTTGATGCTTCTTCATCGATCCAGTCAGCAGCTTCATATAGTGAAAGATCGCATTCTTGATCTCGAAAGCTTCAGTGGCTGCAATATCGCCAGCTTGTCTGGCTACATCAGGCTTGGCATCTTCGGACTGACCAGCGTACTGGCTCAAAGCCGGGTGTCCCGGAAGGACCTCAACACAAATCCACAAAGCTTTGGCCAGGTCGACGTGTGGCTGGGTGAGACGTTCCTGCTGCGGCTCTGCAGTCTTGGGTCGACTCCTGATCAGGTTCTCCATACCAGCACGGCCCTTCAAGAACCACCAAGTCGCAACTCGAGCCCACTGCGTAGGTGAGCGGTCGTGAATGTTGCCCCCGAGCTGTGCTGTCAACGCAAAGATACCATTCATGTGAATGACACGCTCCGCAAAGTCCTTGAACGCAGCATCGCCAAGCATCCTTGTATCCGAACGAGCGAGAGAACCTCCTAGCCTCATGCTGATATCCTGTCTTGGTCGTATGGTAAATGCTGGTTCAGAGGGGTGTGAGATGGAGCCTTGTGAGCCTTGGGAGTGCGAGAATGAGTTCTGTGAGTGCGAAACAGAGCCTTGTTTCTTAGGCTGAGGCGGTGGCGGTTGTGCTTGCGCCGGTGGCTTAGCAGGTTGTAGAGCTGATGGCGTGTTTAGGTGAAGCTCATCTGCAGCAGATTGAGGGGGTTTGGCCGAGAAAGCTTCTGATCTGCCAGGTGATGATCGTGCATCGGAGGGTCTGCTCTGATGTGTCGAGACTGAGGACGACGGTTGATGCGGATCGGTGTCTAGCGGAAAGGTTCCTGGAGGCATTGGTCTCCGTCCTGGTGATGGCCCGCGTGCTCTTGACCGGTATGGGTCCTCTGCATCCAAACCTCTTGGAGGTGATTGCTGAGTTGGTTGGATAGGTTGACTTTGTGGTGGTGACTGGCGTGATGGCTGAACTGGTGGTGCTGACGGTGGTGTTCTACCGCCCATGTACGCATTGTAGGTCGATGGTGGAGTCCCAACCTGGAAGGGATCTGATTGTAAGGAGCTCGTGTCTGAACCACGCTTCCCTTCTGCAGCACGCTGCTGTGCCTCGTGCAGCGCTCGCCCTTCCTCCGCCCTCATCTTGTGCTTCACTTTGGCAGAGAAGGAATCTGGATCCTCTGGCTCGCTCTGCAGGAAGCGCTCAGCCAACAGAGCTCTTGATTCCAACGGCGAATCGTCCTCCTGTTCGACAAAGCGCATCTCAGGCAATCGTGGTATCTGAGGAGCTGAAGACACCTGCTCTAACGAGGAGTCGTCCGAGTCGTCAACTATGTCCGTGAAGCCTGTCTGTGATCGCTTGAGAGGTTTTGGCCTGAAGTCGTCCTCCTCTTCCTGTGTGGGTGGTAGTACGGGTGCCTTCCTCTCGGCTACCGGCGATACGTTGTTGTCCGAGTCTTGCGAGAATGCAGAGTACGCAGAGTCCTTGCTGGGGCGTCGCGCGGCCGGGGGCTCGTTCTGCATGAGGTCGAAGCCAGTCGGCGCCCTCGAGAGGACCTTGGGGCGCTCTCCAAGACCCATTGGGCCCATGCGCTGCGGGGCTGGAGGCGGTGGGTGCGCATACGTGTTGATGTTGCCCATCTCGAGCTTCTTCTGCAGCGGCGGTGACATCTCGCCCTGGTTGGTGAGGGTGCGTGTGAAGCTGTTCCTCGGCGCTGCGGTCTGGGACGTCTGCGAATCGGAACGGGTCATGCCGTTGAACTGGGGTGTCCGGGCTGAGACATTCGCATCGTCCTGTGTGCTCTGGGTCTGCAGGCGGTCCACGTCCGACACGCTGCTCGCCTTCTTGCGCCGCGAGACCTCCAGCGACGGCTCCTCACACTCGTCGCCGCCACGACCAATGACATCTGGCTGCGTGCGGGCGAAGTTTACGGTGAGCCCCCTCTTGCGCGTGGCCGTCCGCAGGCCGCCAGGGCCAGGGCTCTTGCCGTTTGCTGCAGCGCTGCTGAGGATCTCCTGGGCGCCGGGCCACCGCTGGGCGCGGGCAACGTCGATGCGGGGCTTCGCTGCGAGAAAGGCGGCGGTGGCCTGCTGCTGGGCGTTTGCCTTCTCGGTCGACGGCTTGAGGAAGTCGTTGACGTCTTCGTTGAGCTTGAACGTGTCGGCGCGCTTCGCCTTGGGCTGCTCCTCGGCCGCGGCGTCGTCTTTGGCGAAGTACTTGGTCCGCCAGCGGCTGCCCTTGCTGAGCAGCTTGTTGCCAGCCTCTCGAGCCTCATCGAGGCGTGCATCGACCATCATGCCCCGAATCGCTCAGCGATATGTTGGGGGCTTTGGGAGTGGGCGGCGGTTGCTCGCGTGCCTGGCGTCGTGGCTGTCGTCGTCGTCGTCGTCTCCTCGATTGGCTGCGGCGCTAGGGTACGTGGAGGGAATAGCGGGAGTGATGCGCCCAACTCGAAACGGGGGCCTTGCACCTCCAATGTCAGTTAATTTTGCTGCAGCCAAAGAGTGCAGGAGGCGTGCAGACGGTGCAAATGGGAGCAAAACAGAGGATGAGAGCACACGAAGCCGCCCAGGAACCTGTGCCCTCTTCGCTGCGGTGCGACCTTTGAGTGCAGCAGCGGAGCAAATTAGGATCGTGGAAGGGACGCGGCTAGCGCTGTTTGTTGCCAGTCCTACAGGTACCTTATCGTGTTGGAGCCTGCCGCCGGGGAAGATTACGCAGAGCAAGTGGTACTCTTTCACACATCTGCTGGAAGATGACACATGTCAAGGGAGCGAGCGCAGATGTCAAGATCGAGGGCTTCATGCATGTTGAGCGCCGGCCGCCGCTGTCTCGTCTTCTACTCCAACGACATCCAGCCAGCACCACCAACCCCACATCTTTCGTACTCTAGTACACGACACGGGTCTGTGCGCGGTCACTCCGGTGCAGTCACGGCAGTCAATTGAGCGCTCCTTGCACACTGCTGCACTGCGCACTGAAGTTTCGAGCATCTTCGTTGACCCTGCGACTGTTGAAACTCGCACCGCGATGCTCCTGCGACTATTAATACTCGGGCCTTTATTAAAGGGTCTTGCCCCGCAAGTGGCCGTAGCCTCAAAACGGTCCCCATCGATCATGGTAGCCGCGCCGCCGAGCAGGGCTTCCTGGAAGACACCCCGACCTGGTTTACGTTTTCACTTTCACGATGTATCTTTTTGATGATTGTCTGTGAGCATACCGGTGTGCATAGGCTCAATCAAGAGCAGCGCCAGCCAAAATTACCTTCCCGGAAAGGCAAACCACAAAGCCAGACATGTCCCAAAACGACCCAGCGCCCGTGCCTTATCACTCCACACGGGTGCATGGGCCTAGTTCCCTCGGCTGGCTGATGATTGCATGACTCTAGCCGTCTCAAGCCTGGCGTGTGAATCGGCTGCAGCTTGCATCTTGCTGTCCTCTACTTGCTCGAGAATTGCTCGTACCTGGTGCCTGGCAGACTGTTGCAGGATTGCGAGTGTGACCGTGTTCGCTGTCGTATCAAGGGGGGATCTGCGGGCAAGTGTGTTTCGAGTTACGATACACGCGAGAGACCGAAGTACCGGCTAGCGAGAGAAAGGCACAACAGGGCTGCTTACGTCATCGCGCTAGATTTCTTCATGTCGACCGAGCTTGAGTCTTCAGAGGAACCAAATCTGCTACATCACTGACTGCGAAGCCTTTGCTCTGCGTGTGTCGAGTGAGTTTGTTTCAGAGTGGATGCCTTCTTTGCTGTCGCCCAGGCAACGCACGTGGTGCGTCGTCATCTGGAGATGATGCGAGTTGAGATCCTCAGGAGACAATGAGTAAGGCATGCGAACCTCTGAGGAATGTGGATCTCTGAGTTCGGAGCCTTTCCTGGCCCAAGTGGAGCCCCTCACGCGATATAGGCCGATGTTCAAGCCGTCCGTTGGTCAACGTTGGAAATCCTCATTCGTCGGTCCCAAACGTTGACTGACGGCTTGGCGCAGATGCGTTCGACTTCACGTAGGCAGTGTTCTCAGGTGTGGTTACCCCTGCTACAATATTTCTTCTGGTGATGGGTATGTGCACAGTACAGTGTTCTTCAAGCTGTAGTGGATATGCCGGCATGACGTCACGAAAGTCAGTCATCTTGACGTGTATCGGCAGATGGAAAGAGCAGCGTATTTGAGGAAGCCGTAGGAGATGCAGTGCAGTCAACCCGCAAACTATCAGTAACTGTGTACGTCCGACATGTCTCCCGATACCTCAAAAATGCGCGCTGTCGCTGTCACAAAGTACGGCGAAGTCAATAACCTCCAGAGCATCGAAGTACCGAAACCCTCGAATCCTGAAGGCTACGACATCCTAGTTCGCATCAAAGCATGCTCGGTGAACCCAGTCGATACGAAGGTCCGAGCAGGTGTGTACGACGATTACCCTGACTACTACGATCGAGCGCCCAAGCCCCCTCAGATCCTTGGGTTCGATGCGGCCGGTGTGGTCGAGAGCGCTGGTCCAGACGTCAAGAAATTCAAGGCTGGCGACGAGGTCTTCTACGCCGGTTCGCCCATCCGTCACGGTAGCAATGCTGAGTTTCAGCTTGTTGACTCGCGGAGTGTGTCGTTCAAACCGAAGAGCTTGGATTGGGGCCAAGCTGCCAGCATGCCGTTGACGTGGATCACAGCATGGGAGGCGCTGGTGGAGCGTATGGAGATCCAAGAAGGCGAGGAGGCAGGCATCCTCATTGTCAATGGGGCTGGAGGCGTAGGCAGCGTAGCAAGCCAGATTGCCCGTTGCGTGCTGAAGCTTCCTGTTGTGGTGACCACAGCTTCGAGAGAAGAGACTGTCAAGTTCTCGAAAGACGTTGGAGGTGCCACACATACCGTCAACCATCGCGAAGACCTAGTAAAGCAAGTCAAGGAGTTAGAGCTAGACGTCCCGATTAAGTACGTGTTCATCACGCATACTCCAACTTCAGGCTATCTCGCGCCTGCCGCCAAGATCCTGGCACCTTTTGGGAAAGTCTGCTCGATTGTTCAAGACCAAGAGATGCCAATGTACGGGACAGAGTTCATGGCGAAGAGTTTGACCTTCGTATGGGCGCTGCTGGGCACTAAGCCGTACCATGGCGTGCATCCGGAGAGCCATGGCAAGATCTTGGAGAGGTTGAAGGAGCTGTTGGACAACAACGAAGTGAAGTGTCACAACACTCGGAAGCTGAAGATCGACGAAGATGGTGTGAGGAAGGCGCATGAGATCATCGAGGGTGGTAAAGCCATTGGCAAGGTGTCGCTGGAATTTTGATCTGACTCGATGAACTCTTGGGGAGTGAAGACCTCGAGGAGATTAGTGGTGGAATCCCTGTCGCAGCGGCTGAAGCGTTTTGTGAGCTGTTGTCCATGGTACAAGCTGCACTGGTAAGCAATCGGAGATCTCGGCATGTCGTGTACCGGTGGAGGAAACATTGCAACGGCTGTCATACCAGAGGCTGCTATTCCATCTGTCCGTTGAGTGGTGGCAGTACAGGCGCAGGCAGTGGGCTCACCTTGGAGCATGTAAGTAGCAAGAAACAGGTACAAGAGTACATGAACAAGGCAAACACATGATTACCAGTTGATGCGTGCTCGTCACACAAGTGGTGCATATGTCAAGAGGGGCTGCAGTTGTCGAGTGGAGAACGACGCACGTCCGGAGTCAAGATGGATGGAGCTTAGGTCGGTCGTTCGCGCTCGGTGCGGGATGAATTCGAGGCCCACCTCCCACGCCTTAGCACGACGAATGAGCTCACACTCCAGCGAATTGTGAGAGCTCTTCAGCAGCGCTCTTTGGACCACATGGTGTTTTGTTGTTGCTTTTGATGCAGCGTCATCGTTGGCTGCGACAGGCGTCTGTTCTCCTGGTAGCTGCAGCTGAGTTATGCGCCCAGGACGCCCGGAGTTCGAGCGGCGCCACCAATTGTGCGCCGAAGCCAATGCGCCTAGAGAGAGGTGCAGCGACATTGCGCAGGCCAGGCTTCTTGCGCTTCCCAGCCTCCTCCGCCTCTGCTCGACCCCGTCTCACCCGACCATAGCGTAGCAGAGACTTGCGCGACACCGACGACGCCCTCTACCACCGTGAAATCCACTTCTGCGCCGTGCGACAACGTTGGAACCGCCATCCATCAGCGAACGCCGAGCTTGGCGGCTGCCAACCGAGGGCTGCGTCACCAGCTGCACCCGCCCACTTTAACGGCCAACGTTCAATCTCAAGTCCACTGCGATTGCAGACGAACGGCGCCGGCGTCGCATAGCCCACGACTGACCTGTCCTGCTCGGAATGGCCTCCTCATAGCGCTGGACGCAGAGCCCGTCTCCCACCGCACCGACAGGTATCAGCTCGCCGATAGGCACCGTCCACGTCTACAGCCCGCCCGCCGTAGCCTGTGGCCATGTCAGGACTACAGCCAGACCTATACGCTCTGCTCGAAGGCTCGTTCACCGGCCCACGGAAGCTCCCCGCGCGCAGACACGTCTCGCGCCGCAGCGACAGCTACCGCCAGTACTTGCCTGCATCCACTCCCCTCCAGCTCCAGCAAGACGACTCGCAGTCGGACGATGATACGGAGCCGTTCGTTAGCAGTAGTCAGCAGTCTACACCGCTTGCATCGCCCGGCATCCTGAACGGCGCAGACAACAACGGTCTGCCGCCGACGCCGCCAAGTACCTCTCGCGACGGACCAGCCGCCATGTCTCTCGAACCGCCGCCCAATCGGAACAGCGTCGTGGGCTCAATCGCGTCCCAGCAGTCAGCGCTCAGCACACCCGTCAACGCACGCAGTCCGCCCACTCCCGACCCAAGCCCGCCACGAACTGCCGGCTCGAACAGCACTGCCAAATCGAACAACCTCTCTGTCGAACGCCCACCGCTATTTGCATACCCATCGTCGAGGGCCGAGTCCTTCACTACAGCAAGAGAAGACTTGTCATCTGAGCCTAGCAACAGTCGATCAGCGACCCCAGTCATCGAACGGCTGAGCACCGTTGAGGAAGACCGAGGCTTGGGACTGGCCTTCGAACAGGACGACAACGACGTCACGCCAACAGAAAGGCCGCGGCTGTTCTACCCAAGCCCTAGTGCCGAAGCTCCCAAGCTCGAAGAAGCGGATACCATGGCCGGTGCCGAGGAGGATGTGGAGTTTCCTGTAGTGGACGAACTGGCAGATCGCGAGTGGAACACAGAATTGATGAGGAACGTGACAGTCCGCAGGAAACGCAAGCCCGATTCGTCGCCGCAAATAGTCTCAGAGCCCGTCGGCACAGCAGCAGGCGCAACTTCGCCAGCCACGAGCACGAGGTCGCGGCGTAGCTCTGGTCTACGCGAGCGCGTGGAAGCAAGCAGCAACAGCCCACGTGGTCCTTCGATCGAAAACTTCGCGCAGTCGATTGGCTGGCCAGCTGATGTCCATCGTACACCTGACGATTCCCACCTCGACACCAAGAGCAAGCGCATGTCTACAGCCTCTGTAGCTTCAACGGTCGTTGCAGCCGTGGTCATTACCACTCCTCCACAGCGGCAACGAACACTTCGCCACTCAGGCAGGAACATGGCCCTACGAAGAGACTCAGACTCCCCACTAAGCCGTGTGGCCACCTCTCATTCAAATCGCAACTCAATCGTGTCTGAGGACGTTCCACTGCACAGACTGGTGCACAAGAAAGCCAATCTTGCAGACAGGAACAAGCGCCTCAGCACTGATTCAGAGACTCTGGGGGCTTTGAGCACCGTGAGCGCTGCTCCTCGCAATGCCTCGCCTTTCTCCGTGCGCAGCAGCAGAACCATTGACAGCTCTGCGTACACTCTCGCCCATCAAGAGTCCGTCCGTAGGATTCTGCAGCCTGCAGCTGACATTCTCAGCAGGTCGAATTCGCAGAGACAACCGGACAGAAGCCCTCGCGTGCGCATATCCTCGGCGCCGGAATCTGCAAGACAAGCGACTGCACTTGCTAGAGCCAGAGGCTTCGTGGAAGTTTCTCCTCCACAAAGCCCACAACGTATCGCCGGGTTTGCCAGCCGCTCACCTGTGGTGTCATCACAGCTCCCATACACATCCCCCACACCGGTAGGCAGCGAGCATCGACGAGCTGTCTCAGACTCCAGTCGCCCTGGAGATCTCAACAAGCCATTACCTCGCAACCCGATGGAGCATGTTCTCGAATCTGCACAGCGTAAGCTCAGTGTGTACGATGACGAGACTGAGGACAAGGCCCCGCCGCCTGCGCTTCTGGATCGCGTGCGCCTGCTTGTGGCTGAACGTGAGGCTCAAGACGAGGTGGTACCTACACCGACGGTTGATCAGACGCCAGCTACGCCTGCACCTCAACAGTCAATGCCATCACCCAGCCAACTGTCACCTCTAGTGCGCAGGGGCTCCCGGTCGTCGAGAGGAAAGTCGGAAGAGCGACGACGAAGCTCGCACAGCCAGGATCGCACTTCGCCACTTCAAGATTCACATGTTGGTCAGAACTTCGATCGAACATCGCCCGAGGATTTTTCTCGCCGCAGCTACGATTGGCACAGGAGAACGTCTGATGAGCATCGCCGCATCAGCTTTGATAGGTCAACTGGGCGAACCGAAGAGCATGCGAATGCTCGACACCTTTACTCGCAATCGACACCATTTTCACAGTTCTCTGATACGCCTATCGAGGTGAGCGAGGCCACTGCGGTCAACATCTACCCGCACAACAACAACTCGCTTCTTGTGGTGCAGCAACCTTCCCGCGTGAACTCCCTGATGCCTGAGCCAAGGCAGTTGACCGATGGAGCCTACTTCGGTCCTCAAGATGACGTTGAACTGCGTCAAGAGCTGCTGCGAACGCCAACACCGCCCTTTGTCGATGCCATGGAAGGTCATCAGGACTCGCCCCAGGTGCCAACCCAGCCAACGCTTACATTCGAGCCGTCTACACCTCCGATGCAAATTGATCTACCGCAGCCTGATGGTGTCGACTCTCCTTTGAAGAATCCCCGGTCTGCCCCAGAGCCTCCGAAGATCATGTTCATACCACCCACCCCTGCTGAAGAGCTTGAGCGCCCACTCGAAGTCGGTCCGCCTGGTCCACCCAAACGCTCTGACTCGCACCCACAACGTCGCCTCTCGCTGGTCCAGCGTGCCCGTCGCTACTCTGACAACTTCATCTCGCCATTCTTGGCTCGAGCCTCAAGCAACCGCGGCCGTTACTATAGCGAGTCGCATACGCGATCTCAATCCTCTCACCGCAACCCAGATATTCCCACAGTGAACGATGAGGATGGGACCCTTCACCCTTTCTGGAGGCCGCGCGGCTTCTGGGATGGGTTCGAGGATAGTGAATCGGATGATGAAGACAACGTCCTGCCGTATGGAGGTGACACCAGTGACGTTGAAGATCCTGAGCCAGAGCCATACCCAAGGCGAAGGAACACTCTGCGCAAAAGACTGACAAACGGATTCCAAGGTTCCGGGGGCTTTCTGATCGGCAACTCACTTGGCGTGGAAAGGCACGGCACTAACCGACGGCGCCACCACGTTACGTTACCACCACACTTCCCTTCCAGCCCCAAGACGTCACAACACACATCGTCGCCTAGGATCCTGATTCAGTCAACTACACAGCCGCTCCGACCTCAGAATAGTGGAGTCCGCAAGAGCGCGTCAAGATCCAGTCTCCGCTTCTCTACCTCCTTCGAGCGACCGCCGAGGCGTCAGTCTTGGCGAAAGGTCAAGAGCATACCTGGCCTCAAAGGGTACCAAGTTCAGTACATTGGTGTGAGCGGTATCAAGGACCGCCTCAAGGAGCGCACAGCGGAGAAGAGGAGAGACAAAATCCGCAAGAGCATTGGATCACGGTACTACGTGGAGCCGAATGGTCCGATGAGTATCCACTGAGCCTTCGCCCGCGCTTTTCGTGGCGTCATGCACACTTTCAGGCCAGCACCACCCCCAGGGCCCGACCGTAGGCTTGGGTCAGGCCATGCTTCTCGAAGCCGTATTGACCGGAGCTGACACCCGCCCTCTCTTACCTCCGATGCCCTCGTGTTGAGCACGTTCGAGCTCGGACGCTCTTCCCCATGTTTCGCAACCTACTTTCCCAGCGCTTTATACCATGTAACGAGTTACGGCATCGCAGCATACTGCACCGTCACCTAAATATTTGAGCGCATTTGGCGCGTTTCGACGTAGTTTGAGCCTTTTCACGATTTTTGATACCACCTCACAGCGTCCATGAGCCGCATCACGAGCAGTAATTTCAACCTACACGCATTTTGGCGTACTTGTACATCACAACATCACGACTAAGCGAGAATATTACTATCCGCACTATCTTGGCAACATTTATAGATTCATTTACGATGCACATAACAAATGACGTATTTCTTTTATTTCGCTATCTCAGACTATCAGCAAATGGATACCTGTCCCACAAGCAAAATCCACAAAAGATAAGCGTCTATTCTCTTGTCGAAATTGCTCGGTCCTGGCTGTTCATGCTTGTCCTTGCGAGGAGTTGTAGTGACGGCCGACTCCTAAACTTTGCGGACGCCACATCTTGCACCTCAACACCGAAATACGCTCTCGAACATCGTCAACAAGCAGTCCGCGGGTTGGCGAGGCTGTCGACGTAAAACGTGGAGGCGATTGTCCTGATGTGGCCTAGTCCGGCAAAACCTCGTGAGACCTGCCATAGAATTTGCGGCTCAATGCGGCTCCAGACCAAGCAAACTCGGTCCAACACGGCTCCAGGCTCATTAGCACGTTGGTGGTCCGAACCAGACCCACGCCTCTGGGGAAATGCTGGATGACCTCCACATCGTGGTTTGGTCTGTGCCAGCCGATGTCGGTCGGGCCGGCGAATCCTGCTTAAAGCGCGAAGATGTCTTCTCTTGTTGGAATCATCCTCGAGCACCCTGACTTCCCCAGCTTTTTCGAAGGACCAAAGCAGAATGGGTTTCTTTAACGAGAAGAAGGGCGAGGACGTCGAGCATGGCTCCGAGCTTAAGCCCGATGACTCGACCAATATCCAGGGTCAGACGGATGCTGTCTTCGGTGAGGTCGTGGAGGGAGGTCCCAACTACCGCAACGTAAGTCTCCATATACAAGACTGTTCTTCTTCTCGATACTGATGGTATGGCAGGTCAGTTGGATAGGCTCCTCGATCCTGATGATGAAGACCCAGATCGGTCTCGGAGTGCTATCCATCCCCGCAGCCTTCGACACCCTAGGCCTCATCCCAGGTATCCTCTCCCTGCTAGCCATCGGTCTCATCACTCTGTGGTCCGGCTACATGGTCGGCGTGTTCAAAGTCAGGCACCCCGAAACGTACGGCATCGAGGATGTGGGGTACAGGATCTTTGGCCGCACTGGTCGTGAGGTTTTAGGTCTGGGGTTTGCTTTATGTGGGTCATTACCTTATGGAAACTGGGTTCTCCAGATGTTGTGACCATGTGCTGATACGAACAGTCTGGACGTGCGTTGCCGGCTCCGGAATGCTGGGTATCTCGATTGGATTGAACTCGCTGTCTGAGCATGGCGCTTGCACCGCCATCTTCGTGGCGGTTGCTTGCGTTGTGGGCTTTGGATTGGCTTCTATCCAGACCCTGAGCAAGATTTCTTGGATTGCGTGGGCTGGTCTCGCTGGTATCCTCTCAGCTAGTTCGTTTTCCCACAGACCCTGTACCAAACACATCAGTACTGACGCTTAACAGTTATCACTCTCACTATCTCCGTCGGCATCCAGGACCGCCCCTCTGCAGCACCCCAGTTCGGCCCCTGGGAGTCTGACTTCGAGCTCTTCAAGTCCCCTACTTTTGCCGAAGCGGCAGCCGCTCTATCCAGCTTGGTCTTTGCCTACGCTGGTACCCCTGCGTACTTCAACATCGTGTCCGAGATGAAGGACCACAAGGAGTACTTCAAAGCCCTCTCACTCTGCCAGTTCGTCATGACAGCGCTGTACATCGCCATCGGTGTTGTCGTGTACTACTACTGCGGCTCTTTCGTTGCGTCGCCTGCGCTCGGGTCTGCAGGTGTGCTGATGAAGAAGGTGTGCTATGGGCTTGCGCTCCCTGGACTCCTCGCTTCCGTTGTCCTGGTTACTCATGTCAGTTTTCACCCCTCTTTTACTTACTTACTGTAAGGTTCATGTGCGAGACGAGCGCTAACGGAAGTAGATCACGGCCAAATACTTCTTCATCCGCACCCTCCGCGGCACACGCCACCTCAACCACAACACCGCTAAGCACTGGGTTACCTGGTTCAGCCTCACCGCCGCCGTCTCGCTCACCGCGTACATTATCGCCTCCGCAATCCCGGTCTTTGGCGGCTTGGTGTCGCTTGTCGGTGCGCTCCTGGGTACTCTCATGTGCTTCCAGCCTATGGGATGTATGTGGCTTTACGACAACTGGGGCCGCAGCAACCGTGACTGGAGGTGGAAGGCGATGGTTGCGTGGAGCATTTTTGTGATTGTGAGCGGTACTTTCTTGTTGATTGGCGGTACGTACGGCTCGATTCTTGGGATTATCGACAGCTACAACAAGAACGGTGGCACAGCTGCCTGGACCTGCGCTGACAACTCAAACTCCACTTAAATGTGTAGGGTTCGAGGGTATTGTCGGCTCGATTCCACTGTTCAAATTAGTCCTGTTACTTTAGCGCTCATGAATTGCATATCCGTATCTTCAAACCTCTTTCTGTGTGTGCCCATGACATTTTACCCACAAGAAACTCGAGACGACCGACAAACAAACGCGTGGTAAGAAAACTAAAGCCAGAACGAGCACGACGTACAGAGAAAGAAGGAGCGACCGAAGGTGACATGAAAGAAAGAACGCGCGCGCATGGAAATGACACTGGACGTATAATTTGAAGACATGAAAATACCTACCCTCACTGTACAGCGACGAATCTCGCTTGAAGCGCAAATACGTGCCTTTATTATACACTTACCCTTGCTTACCTTGAGCACTTCACGCCCCAAGTAGATCTGTCCCGCGAGTTTCCCGTGGGCCTAGTCTCGCAGAACGCAGAAGTGTGGGTCCACGCACACCGGCTTCGCACCTTCCCTTTTTTCATGACCGGGGGAATTGAAGTCGTGTTTGTGCCCTGCATACCCGCGAAACAAAACGCGGGGACGTCGACATCTTATAAGCACCGCAGAGTCTTGGAAGTCCGATTGGAGGCTCCGCGATAAGGATGCGGAGTTCTTTCAGGGCGCGGGGGTGGAGCGCCGGAGTAAAAGTTAGAGTCCGAAGACTAGGCTTTGGGTTATGTTGCGGACACGGCTTCCTGTTTGGGAAGGAGTTTCCCCATCGCCATCTTACAAAGTTCTCCGTTCTGAGGCGTGACTTTCCCCCAGACTCGCAGAAACCCCAGAGGTGCACTTCGGGCGATTGGAGGCCATGCGACATTGATGACCTGGCTGTGAGATGCGCGGAATTATACAGCAATATCGGGAGTCACAAAAGACAACACGCCTACATCTCAACTTTTTCTATTCGTACATATAGCAAAATGGCCCCCTACATCTCAACACTGTTTGATTCATTCTATCAGCGTGTTGCTGTCTTCTGCTTCTCGACTTTCCCTATTTGTAAATATAGCAAAACGGCCCCCCTAAGGTATTGCTCGCTTCTCGAATTGTCAATTCAGGGAATCCAACGTTACCCAGTCCGATGATATCGTCCAAAGTAGCATTGCGACTCGGAGGGCTGTTGTTCGTCGTGATTGTCGCGCCGATTGCGTACAACCTGTTCTCTAGATCTTGGTTTTGCCACGTCCACCACGTACGATCGATCACTATGATGGTTAACACCTTCTTTATCAATAGGGGGTTGAGGAACCAGACCGTGGTACTTACTCGAATGATGCAGGAAGAACATCGGATCCCCCGGACTCGCAAACAAATCACCCCCTGGATCCCCTCCAATCGTGAAATGTCCGGCTGTGTGCACGCCCAGGTAGCCGGCTAGGAAATCGCCCTGCATCGTGGTGCTGAAGTTGTAGGAGGTATCGGCGTTGGTGATCAGGGTGGCGACGTCAGAATCTTTTGTCCACCCGCTCGCTGCAGCTTGCGAGATGTCGCGGCGCAGACAACGTGGATTGTAGCCTAGACCGTCGGGAGAAGGGTTCGCGGTGAAGTTAGTGAGCACGGGGGCTACAGGGCCGAGGTTGACCTGCCAGCTATAGAGCAAATCAGTATTCAAATCAGTTTTGTCGAGCTGGCGAATTATTACGCACTCTTTGAATGGACCGGACTTGACGCATCCCCCACCGTTGCCAGGTGGAAGCCTGACTCCGCATGCGGCGGGGAATGGGACGCACGTATCGTTGCGACCAGCGACGTACTTGCCATCGCCGGACATGCTCAAATCGCTGCCATCGAAGTTTGGTGCACGGAGAGGATCTGCGGCCCACCAGGGCCAGTTGTAGTACGGTTGAGTGCCGTTGTATCCGCACTCTGTTTGCAGGATGTGTTCGTAGGCCCAGGTGAAGTAGCGGTGCCAGGAGAGGAAGTTTCTAGTTGGGTTAGCAAGATGAAGTGGGGGGAGAGGAAGAGGAGAACAAACCCAGTTCCGTGGATGGAAAGTGTTTGGTTGATGTGTGTTGCTACTAGATCGTCGTATCTGTTCTTTACTCCGGCAGCGAGGCTAGCAGGCGTCTTGGGTGGTAGCTTTGCAAGGCACTGGACTGCGTCGATGTAAGCCTTCTTCTCGCTGTCGCACAGCGTTGACCTGATGTTGTCAGTCCATTGGTCAACATACCTTGAGTATTACGTACCACTCCTTTCGAACGACGGCCTTCTCCAATGTACATGTTGTGTTCGTGTACCCTTTCCTAGCTGTGAAAGCTTTGAGGTTCTCAAGTCCTCGTGCAGTCAGAGCATCGCTCTCGGGAGCACACTTGGGACCAAGACAGTGATGAGCGCCAGAAGGTGCTGAGCTAACAGCGCCGATGAGTGCAGCTGCGATCAATTGCAGGACCTTCATGTTCGAATGCCTCGAGGAAATGGAAGAAGATGCTGTGTTTTGCAAATCCTCGAGTTTTGATGGTAGGACGTTCTTCGCTTCTAACGCGCCGACAAGGCCACGACACTAGAGCTGCGTGCAATATATTTCCGGACGCCACATGGGGCCTCAGCGCATAGCCAACGGCGATTCAACGACGGCCGTGCAAGTGTTCTTTGGTTCAGTGCCGCTCCGGAAGTTGGTCCGCTTGGGCATCATCATACCCGCTCTCTAAGGCTGCACTAGAGGCGGATACCGACTCGAGTGACGTCTTGTCATGCTGTAAAGAGGCCGAGCAAAATTGAAGGCCTAGGAATGCCAGAGTATCGCCCGATTGCAGAGTCGGTCGGATTAGGGGTAACTTTGGGGGCTTATAAAAAGTCAGCAGTAGCAGATAAGCGTTGCTGACTGCTTCCTAACGTAGGGCTAGGCCTTAGCTTACCTGTTATAGGGCGGCAGAATGCAGGGAGGATAATTACCGAATGCACGCCTGGATCCTGCTCAGTAAGCGAGCATACTGAGCCGTTGGGATACGTTGAAGTGTTTGTGGGCAAGTAAATGAGGAGTTGGAAAGAACAAGGTCAATGTGGGGGCGGGACAAACGACGCTAAGTCTCTGGGTACAAGAGGGGACAGAGCAGCCGAAGCTGATCTGTGGTTTCAATGGTGTCATTGATGTCGTGAGTATAATTATGTTACAAGGGACGCGCGATACAAGCGCAGCAGTCTCTACAATCCCAGTCGAGAAAGAATGCAAGACAAGCATAACAAGCAAGCAACCCGAACGCCAGTGGAAAGCTGCCATAGGCAAGCCGTCCCACTCCAGACCCAGGTAAACCGGCGGTGTATCCAACGATGCTTCGAGATGATGTGTTTGCGTTTTCAGTGAGCAACAACGCCGCGATGCCCAAGACAGAAAACTGAGATGCCACAGGAAGTAGATGACTGACCGTATGCAAAACGAAAGCGACTAGATATCAGAAAGTCCACTTCTCTGGACAAACATTAGCAAACAGAAGACGGAAAAGATGATCAGCGCCAGACACCCTTAGCCCCTGGTGCAAGACTACCTCTAACCGAAGAGTTGCTAACAACTCGTATGGGTGCACGGTTCAATGTGCCAGCTGCAGGTCGATCCTCGCCAGATACTGCCACCGTCGTGCGACGTGCAGCGCCCTTAACGATGGGCGCAGAGCGTGGACTCAGGACACTGGGTTTCCATTCGCCCTCATGATTGTTCTTGACCATACGGCGTGCTGCGCTGGCCGAGATGCTGTTCTCGTTTGGTGGGCTGGAAGAAGTAGTGCTGGGGCTGCGATGTCGCTGTGTCCTAGCTATGGGCACAGCTTTCGTGGTGGACGAACGGCGCTTGATGGCCGTGCGGATCTGGTTTGCCTCAGAGGGGTCGACGGACCAGCCATCCTCTTCAGCGGCAGAGTTGTTGCCGCTGTCGTTTGCAGACTTCGACACTTCGGACGCAAGCTCCACGTTGCTCAGAGCCGAAGGGCGGACGGTGTTCGTGCCAATCTCGCGGAGAGGAGAGGTATCTGAATCTGAGCCATCGGCGTTCCTGATGGGCATCGGTGACCCATCAGACTTCTTTGTAAGGAAGCCTGCTGCAAATCGGCTGGATGCGGACCGAGGCTTGATGTCCATAAATGTTGTTGACGGCGCAGGGATGGGCGAAGAACCGGCGTCATTGACTACTGGCTCGGGCACGTGCGCTGAGAACGGAGGAGGAGGCATGTTGATCGAAGAGCTTGTCGGGGTTGATTCAATGTGCTCCGGAGTCTTGAAGTCTGCCAGAGTGCCGTTCTCATTGTCATCGCGCCAGCGAACGCCGCGCTTGGCCTTTGAGGGTGACGTCGGCCTCTTCTTTGCGGGCGAGAATTGAACGCCCTTTTTGACTGCGACCATCTTCTTGCGCCGCGGTGACGCTTTCATAGGTGATGAAGTTAGATGTGGTGCATCTGCAAACGATGGCATGGGGATGGATTTCACAGGCGACGGACCCATGACATTCGCCGGTTTTCTTCTCTTTGGTGTCCCTTTGTGGCTCGGTGCAAAGAACTCTGTAACAGGGAGACCGCCGTCTGGCCGAATGACCTGGGCAGTCGCGCTGGTGCATGCGTTCATAATCTTGGTGAGCAGCTTCCTGGCAGTTTCGACTGCTTGTGCTTCGTCCATCTGTGTGATCTGGCTCAAGATAGCCACGGTCTCGATATGAGCTTGAACGAGGACTTGCACAGTTGCTGCATCACCTCCTCTTTCTTGTTCCAGCAAAACACTCAGTACTTCCCGTTCTGCGTTCGACTTCAAAATCTGGTATTCTCTGGTCAGGTTCGCAGCGTCAGGTCCACCAGCGGTTCCATCAAGCTCTGTTAGCTGCCTCAAGCCAAAGCTAAGGGCAGTGTCGAGCTTCGAAGCCCACGTTGAGCGTTCGAGCCGCCTGTGATGGTGTTGCCGCGACTGTTCGAGTTCTGCAGAAATGCCGATTGCGGTATCTCTCATCGCTGCGATTTGTGAGGGCATCTCCTCGTTCTCGCGCGTCTCGTTGACCGTATCAAAAGCTGCGACCCACGCAGAGACGAGTGAGATCCGCTTTTCCGTATGCTTCAATGTCCTCATAGTGTTCAGTCTGTCCCTACGATCGGTCTCCGAATCGGCGTAGGCTTGCCTCAGTCGTATGAAAGCGTCCCTCATCAAGCTCTCCTTTTTCTCGTTCTGTTTCTGGAACTTGGCCAAAGAAGCGCCGTCCGAGTCCTTCTGCTTCTTCATCAACTCGTCAATCAGCGCCCTCTGCTCGTCGATCTTCTTCAGGTAGTCCTTCACATGGCGGTTCACATTAAAAACGTTCTTGGTGACTTTGGTCTGGATGTTCTTTGCGCGGTTGGCGTATCGTAGAGTGTTCTGCGTTTCGTCGAAGTGGACGCTGGATGGGCTGACGCAGACGATCATGACGGTTTTACAGTTTCCACCGAGGGAGAACTTCAGCAGTCGCGTCAGCTTCGAGTTCCGGTAGGGAATGTGGTTGTGCTTCCGGACGTCGCACAGAGCGTTGATGCAGCTTCCAAGTGCCAACAGGGACTTGTTGATGTTTGCACCTTCAGTCAGACGCGCGCCTCTGTTCTTGGTTGCACTCGCACGCTCGCTTCCTGCCAAGTCGATGATGCTGAGAGTCGCCATTGTGTGGGGTTCGTTTACGGAAGCGTTGCGATCTTTCGACGACACGTTGATCTGCAAGACGGCATGCGATCTAGACGAGGTTGCGTTGGCTTCGGTTGGGGACATGGTCCGCAGGTCGTTGCCGCGGACGATCATCTCCATGACTTCGTTGACCTGGTAGGGGTTAGACACGGGATCGCGCACAAGTTGGTCGACTTCTTACATCTGTCGGTCGATGGCTCGTGAGACCTGCCACAGAGACGGCTTGGTTGGAGTCTTCTCGCAGCATCAGAGGAGCCTTGCTGCCGCCCTCGACGAGAAGATCGCGGATGGTCTCGTTGTAAATCTCCAGATAGGACAGCGTGACCTCGGTGACCTTCTCCTCCGATCGCTCACTAATCTTCTCGAACAACTCCTGCATTGTCAAGAAGATAATACCAGGATCGCTCGATGTACCTCTGCGTACAAGTCAGCTCCAATTTACTGCCTGTCGTCTTCACCACGTACGTAATCGTGTGTGTCTTTCCGCATCCTGTAGCGCCGTATGCAAAGACCGTCGCATTGTATCCGTCGAGGACATTGTCCAGCAAGGGCTTTGCGGTTGACTCGTAGATGTCGGCCTGTGAGGTGGTGTCGTCGAACACTCGGTCGAAAGCGAATGTCTGGTCCTTTACTCGTTTACCTTGAGGTGCATACGAGCGGCCGGCCTTGTGCACAGGGTTGTCCTCTGGAGGGTCAAAGATGCTGCATGTACGTCAGCTTCTGCTATGCTGCTCCGTTGTTCGGACTGAAGGCGCTGTACAGGCATCGCTCGTCAAGGACCTTGATGACCGGCCGAATACCGCCCTTGGAGCTTATCCGCGGCGTGGGTGCGGCGGCGAGCGAGCCATCTCCGAGGAAGAGCGTCGATTCGTCCGTCTTGGTGAGCTGTGCAGCTTCGCGGATGGTAAACGGGCGGACGCGCACAGTGACCGAGATGGACGACGCGCCGGCGCTCGCCATGTTTGCGCTCTAGATATGTTAGTAATCCAAAAGGATGCAGCGCTCTAGGTCGACCCTATAGCCCTCGGAGTGGATGCGGCGGCCGTGAGCGTGGTTGCGGAATGTTGTGCTGGTGACGGTGCGCCAAGTTCGTGCACCGAAAATGAAGCGTTGCCATGCCAACAGGCCAGCCGCGACCGACCCTGGAGCAGACACGTGAACTTCACCTTCCGCGCCCCACGTTACCGACGTGTCTCCTATCTCATGCTCTTCACTGGCATCTTCCTTGTCGTCGTCGAGACGTGGGGTCCTGTGAAAGGCCCGGACATGATGGTCGTTCTCCGCGCTCAGATGAGCTGCTCGCACGCCAGGACGCCCGGTTGAGCAGGAACATCTCGAGATCCAACATGCACGCGTTGCTGCACTGACGACGTCGTGAGCGATGCGTTCGTGCAGGGTGCTTCGACCCAACGAGACTAGCTGGTTTGGTCAGACGAGCTGCACGACGCTGGCCCCTCCTTCCTGGGCACCCCGCGGTTCCGCTGACCGCGCCAACGTGAAGCTTTACGAACGAGTGTTTGCGTGAACGTCAATTGACCGCTACCATTGTATGCAACAGATCGACCATGGACTCACTTGAAGGCTTCAGCGGCCCAGGCCACATTGTTGCAGATGTCAACTACTTCCCAGCTCTGGGCACACCAATACCTACATCTGCATGGAAGAAGCGGTATTTGGGGGTTGGTGATGAGCACACGCGGCCCATGATTGTTCGAGATGTCCGTCATGCGCAGCGAACATTCGACTTAGACACCCATGGCTTCAGATTTGTCAAGCTTCCGTCTCTACAAAGAGTCGACAGTTCCAGTGCCGAAGAGACTATACGTCAGGAATACTACCCAGAGTTAGAGGCGCTGGCAAAATGCCTGTGAGCGGCACCGCTCAGTCCTGTGTAGTAGAACTCCATGTCGAAAATAATGCTGACCTTAACAGGACAGGCGCCTCCTCAGCCTTTGTCTTCAATCACGTAGTCCGAGCACACTCCTCACCCTCTGACAAAGGCAAGCTAGACGCTTACGGTCGTTGGCAAGACATACCTGCTGGCCATCCTCACGTCGACTACTGCGGCGACCCTACGTTCCTGGAAGGCACCAAGCAGGAACTCAACCTACCATCTCACATCTCCTCGCTCTATGCCACATGCTCACGTTACGCATACCTCGGTGCCTGGCGCCCTCTCAAGACCCTCCGCAAGGACCCCCTGGCCGTCTGCGATGCCACAAGTGTGCCAGACACCGACTACCAGCCTCGACTCAGGGAATTTAGGAGCGGCGTGAAGTCAGGAAACTATGTCATGAGCCACGCAAAAGAAGAGCAGCAACATCGGTGGTACTATATGTCTGAGATGGGACCAGATGAGATTGTAGTCTTCAAAGGGTACGACACTGACCAGAGCAAGTCAGGCTGGCGGTGTCCACATACAGCGTGCACACTGCCTGGCTCCGATCACGAGCCGCCGAGGGAGAGCATTGAGGCACGCATTGTATGCTTTTGGGAGTAATTGAAGCAGTATACAAGGTACTGATGAGCCTCGTCGCGGCTCGTTTCCCGCCAGTATCCCTGTGATCTACGATCTCGACGGCTGCCCGCAAGGCAACGTCCATCAATTTCAAACGATCGCGGGGTAGCATCGCTCATTATGCCCAAACAGGTAACAATCTAAAGGGCCCGTTGCTCCTTCCGGTTTGGGTGAACGTCGGTCACCTTGTGCTCACGGCAGTCAGGCGGGTAAGCTAGCTACCTTGAGCAGGTCAGCAAACAACAGTCGGAGAGCAGCCACAACTGTCGATGCGTCGAATTACGATTCATGCGCTCAGCCAGGTGACCTGTCCAAAAAGGTATCACAAGATTCGAGCAGAGTCGGGCGCAAAGCAGAGCGGCTGCACCCAAGCGCAGCCAATGTCGCCCTTTCTGCTCTCTTCAGGAGGTGCCTTAGGATATCAAGGTCCTTGGTATCGGCAGTGGTAGCGGATGCGGCAGGAGGCAGAGCCTCACCAGCTGGGCGTCAACGAATTGAGGATAGCAACAAAGGCCCGCTCAATACTCACATATCGACCGAGACAAGAGACGAGAATAGCCAACGAGAACATAAATACACCGCCAACCGCCCTTGGTTCGCACTCCAGAGCCACAAGTTCTGCGCTCCCTCAGTCTCTCGCTTCTTGCCCTGCACTAGGCTCGTCAACTTCGTCACGCTAAACCCACTCACTATCCAACATGAAGCTCACACTCTTTTCCCTCGCCCTCCTGTCCGGCGCTCTCGCTGCTCCAGCACCTACCGCCGACCCCGAAGCCTTCCCCATCTCCGAAGTCCCCAGCGGTCTCTCCCTTGAGGAGCACGCCCTCAGCAAGCGCCAGTACAGCAGCAGCACCTACAACCAGCTCACCGATGGAACTGCCTGTCGCACCATCAGCGTGATCTACGCCCGCGGCACCGGGCAGCAGGGCAATGTAGGCGACGCCGCAGCCGTCGGACCTTTGTTCTTCAACCAGCTGGCCAGCAGAGTCGGAGGCACGAGCAGTCTCGCAATCCAGGGCGTCACATACTCAGCGAGTGTAGCGGGCTTTTTGCAGGGGGGCGACTCAACAGGCAGCACGACGTTGACGAACTTGATTAGCACGGTACGTTCCAAGTGAGGCCCAACGATCTGAGAGGAGTAGCTGACATCGAACAGACTGTAACGAGGTGCCCAAGCACTAAGATTGTCCTTGCCGGCTACAGTCAGGGCGCACAGCTTGTGCACAACGCCGCTGTCCGAACCTCAGCAACGAACGCTGCTCGTGTATTCGCTGGTACATCCCATGCCCTTACCTTCCTTCCCTTTACCCATGCTCACACTGTACACTCACCATCCTCTTGATCTGCATCTTCCCCATTCCCCGCTTCCATTCAACGCCCTTTTCTCCCGATATGACCACAGCACTAATCCCATCACAGTTGTCGTCTTCGGCGACCCCAAACGGGGGCAGTCCTTCGGCTCCATCGCAACGTCCAAGGTCCTTACGATCTGCCACACGGGCGACAACATCTGTGAGGGAGGGACTTCGATTACGCCTGCACACTTGAACTACCAGAACGATGCTGGGACTGCGGCGACTTTTGTTGCTGGCAAAGTCGCTTAAGGGTAAGGAGGGGTAGGAGATGGTGTTTGAGCGTTGGTGGGTGCGTAGTAAGGGCCGGGGGGTGTAACTCGAAATTTCATTGTCGGATCTTTTTCGGGCTGATATGAATATCAATTGAGTTTGGAATCGTCTCTTCATTGACATGCCGTTACTCATGCATCAAGCGCTAATATGCTCGGCGCGTGGGAAGGCAACGTTGTGTAGCTTCGCTTCTTGCTTCGACGTTGATTCGAGCAACTACAGCCATTTGGGCGAGAAGTGAAACTGTGGACATGTGTGTTCGCAGACCGTCGATGAAATTTGCAGAGCGTAGCGCTTCTTTACTCCCAAACTATACAAGAGTACTTAGGCATGTCGATTGTGTGTTGAATATCGGCTTCGTTGCTGTCGGTATCGGTGTTTGTAAGGTGAGACGAGCAAAGCGTTCGCGGAGAAGTTCGCAAGCTCAGAAAAGTGGCTCCTGAATTCGCATGGCCTGCACTCGATATGATGGTAAAGATGAGCACACAAGAAGGGCAGTTCATCCGTGCGGACGAGTTTCGTGATCCAGTGTTACACTCTCTTGCACAATCGGCTTCCGGTTCTGACGCAGCACACAGTTTAGACGTTGCAGGGTCTCAACTTCTAAAGTGTTGCACGTGACATCAACTCAGTCCTCTTACCGTCCTGCCCCTTAATGTTGGATGAAAAGCTTTCAGGTTTGTGCTAAAGTGGCGTGACAACCTCTGTTGAACCAGTACGTGATGACTTGCTCTGCGATATCGGGTTGGTCTCGAACCCCGACTGCTCCCCTACTGTACTATGTGTTCCCGTGATACCGTCAAATCTGAATTACAGAAAGGCTTGATTTGCGTGCATGCAAAGATAGCATAATTTGACTTACGATTATGCTTGTAGAGCTCAGCCAGTACACTCCACGTTAGTCGTAAATAATACACGCAACATAATGTTCTTTTTATTACAGTGACAAATGGAAAGATAATCAACAGGAAGATAAGGCGTATATAATGATCGTCAAATTGTGCTGACCCCCTGTCCTTTGGCACGCTTGCAAACCTTCATGCAGGTACCCGTAGAAGGCTTGATCTTGACTGGCTGATGAAGGGTGGATGACAGGACCAGTGTGGGAGGGGCATACTTAAGCCCTAGGTTTGTTTGTTTTGTACTTCTTTTGTTTCCAGCATCTTTGCTCTGGGCCTGAGCCCTCACCATCCCTTGTACCTGCATTGACCTCACTCTCATGTAACTAAATCTTTGCATTACCAGAGGAGCTACTGCTCCTCTCGTCTTCCATAGTCTTAGACTCAGATAGGACGTTAAACCAATCAATCAATCAATCAATCAATCAATCAATCAATCAATTAAGCCCTAGGTTGGCAATCTAGATGATGAAGCTGATGACGTCTGTGATGTCAACACTGATCCGTGGCATCCGTGAATGGCTGTGAAGGAGTGTATTAGGGGCTTGGGGTCTCTGGTACCGGGTACCTAGCGGAGTATATAGCATCCTCGCTTCCCCTATAGATCAGGTGTTCTGACCAGTCAGAGCGCTTGTGTTCCTCTTTGCATGGTTGACAGTTGATGTTGATCCATGGTCTGGGGGTCAGCATATTTTGACAATCATCGATAATGCTATAGTATGATACTATTATTCTGTAGTAGCATCACGATCTCTTTGCGGCCTCTAGCTGAAGCCGCGTGGAGTGCGTTGCCGTAGTGTCCACCCTGCGCGTTGACGTTGGCGCCCTTGTCTAGCAGCAGCGTTGCGACCTCTTTGTGGCCTTCAGCTGAAGCCGCGTGGAGTGCGTTGCCATAGTCTCCACCCTGCGCGTTGACGTTGGCGCCCTTGTCTAGCAGCAGCATCGCGACCTCTTTGCGGCCTCCAGCTGAAGCCGCCTGGAGTGCGTTGCCGTAGTGTCCACCCTGCGCGTTGACGTTGGCGCCCTTGTCTAGCAGCAGCATCGCGACCTCTTTGTGGCCTCCAGCTGAAGCCGTGTGGAGTGCGTTGCTGTAGTATCCACTCTGTGCGTTGGCATCGGCGCCACTTTCGAGCAGCATTTCAACCACTGCTTGATTCCCTTGCTCTGCTGCTATAAACAACGGAGTTTTGTTGTCTCTATCCTTGCTGTTGACCATGGCAGGACCTGCAGCAAGTAACGACCTCGCTGACATCTCACATCCGTTCTTAGAAGCCCACCACAACACAGTCCTATCTCTTGAATCTTTCGAATCAATTTTGAATCTTGCAGATTTTACCAAAAGGTCGAGAACTCCATCGTGCCCAAGCTCCGCCGCACTCAGAAGAAAATCTTTTGCTTTCGAATACACAAAATCACGTCTTGCAGCACGCTGAGCCGACTTCTGCTGGGACTGTCGTTTATCCGTTGCAGCAGCAGGGCTGCTGTCAGCTCGTTGCACCTCAATGAAATCCATACATAGTTCAAGTGATTTCTCACTGCTCATTGCAACCGCGGAGAAAAGAGGACAGCCGTAGCGCTCTGCCTCCACGTCCATACAGCGGCTGGCTGAACCGAGGACTCTGATGAGATTCGCCATGTTGAGCTCAGCCAGCAGATACAGAAGACTAACGCGTTCTGTGTGCCTGCGCACCTCATGCTTCTCAAACAGGTTGTCGAGCTTGACCCATCGAGGAAGTGGGAAGATGTCAAGAAAGCCTGTCTGAGAGATGCCTCCGCCTTCTGCTTTGTCCCCGTGATACAGCACATTGTGGACAGCATACTCCAGGAAAGGGAACGTTTGCGTCGCTGACTTGCGTAGGCCTGCTGATTGTTGCAAGGAAGCTTTCGGAAGATTATCAGGAATCTTTAAGGGCGTGATAATGTCGATGCTGATGTGGTTGAGGCAGCACTGTTTCAGTCGGTCGTGGCTCTGGCCTTCAAAGTTGCTTCCGTACTCTGGCCAGATCTTACTGAGACCGTTCTCTTTAAGCAGGAAGTCCCTCACCGACTCGTGTATGAACTGAACCCTTTGCTCTTTAGACACAGTAGCCTCGACAAGACCTTTAGAAGAGTTAAGTATGAACCGCTTAATATCATCCTTGGTGATCTCTTTAGGGTCCAACTCTAATACCATGTCAGGAGCGATGCCTGAATAAATGGCATGATACAGCTGCTCTGGACTCAATGGCTGCCTCGCATAGAGCACCCACTGGATGCAAAGCACTAGCTCATCTTGATTGTTTGAGTCGCGCGTCAAGATGTCGCGAAACAGTTCGTACAAGTCACTAGGGATCTCCTGCAATTTCCGCCGGAGAGTGAGGATTTGGCCGCGGTCCGACTCTTTGTTCAGTATACCTACGACAAGAACAACCCACATGAAGATCCCCGATGCCTTCTCCTGAAGCTCAACTCGGATCTGCTGAGCGGTCTTGCTCTTCCCGATCTTCAACTCTGTCTCGACGTAGTTGGTGATGTCTTGGGTATGGCCTTCTTGTCCTTCCAGGATGAGTTCCAGTCCATCACGGATCGTGATGTGTGGATAGTGCCTGCTCGAGAAGCAAACGTGGAAGCAAATTGCGTCTGTGGCGGCTAAATCACCAAGGCGTTCAAAGAATTGGACCATGTCCCGGACCTGCTCTTCTTCACACTCATCGAGCGCATCGATAAAGCACACAACAGAAGTTTTTCCCAGGCCCCGTATAGCCTGCTCGAGAAGCGTTTTCAGAGGTTCGATGGTCCACTGGTGGTCGGAACTGAAGAGTGATGTTGAAAGGCCAAGTGAGTCAAAGATGCTCTGGAGCGATGGGAGACGTTCGAGGAGCTGCAGTAGCAGCGACCGGTATGTCCCAATTGTAGACCTCTCTATGTCTTCGCCACGTGCATTAAAGAAGAAGGAGAGAACAATGCACCCCTTCATTGTCTTGGGGGCAGTAGCCCACACAAACTTCATCAGCGTCGACTTCCCCGTACCGGCCTTGCCTTTGATCCACAAGAAGCCGTGATGTTCACCAAGCTTGGTCGTGTCAAGCCAGTTGAGATACTGCACATTCTTCAAGAGCCATTTGCACGTCTTGGCATGGGCGGTCTTGATTGTCATCTGGCGTGCATCAATTTGTTCGAACCTCAAGGACTCTAAGAGGCCCTGTCTTTGTTTGTCGTTCAGGGACACTTGAGTGCGGTCTTGATGTTGGATGGGAACTGTCATAGTAAGATCAGATCGTATCTGCATTTGAGCATGAGGGATCTACGTACGCGTGACAGTTTGCTGCCTATTACAGTCAGCAGAGTTCCAGTGGGACAGGGTCACTCAGAGACATAACTGACTTACTCTGCAAAATCATTCTCTGTGCCACTGATGTCGATCCTTTTACGCTTATGTGTAGCATGATCAGGAAATGATGGCTGAAGGCACCGTTCTATCACCATGTCAGTCTGTGTGCACCCTCAACGACAACATGACCGCGGAACTAACTGCTTGCGCCATTCATGGCATCTTCCACCCGGCGTATTTTCATCACCTCTGCCGTTGGAATCACCGACAGCAACTCCTTTGCGTACGCCGCCGCTGTCCCTGCCGCGTGGGCTTGCCACCGCTTGTTCTTGTGTGAGTCCGCATAGTCGCAGATGCCGCGGATCACAAGACACGGGAAACTGTTCATCAGCCCTGCCGCCTCCATCTCAAAGCACAATACTCCACCAAGTTCCGCGCTGACCCTGTCTCTCTCAGCAGCATCCTCCATCACCTGGTTGCCGGATGCAATCGTGCCGTGGTGCACCACCACCCTCTGCTTGCGTGCTGCACGAGCCACCGCGAACTCTTCGCTGCATTTCCCGCACGTTGCTCCTCCTATGTGGTTGTACTTCGCTTCGAAGAGAATGTCCGAACCGGCGGCTTCGCGCGTAAACGCTAGCAGACTGTCCAGCTTGGAGTGATACTCCAGCAGCTTGCTTCTCCCTCTTATGTGCTTAGCGCGCAGGTTTGCGACTGCATTCAACAAGACGGTCGGTGGCGTGTTTAGGGATCCTGTGCGCTCGAACCCGCTCGGTGTGGCCTTCCCTGAGTCGTACTGCACCACTCCACCGTGAACCTTGTGTGGTTTTGCTGACCACTATGTCCCCAAGCCGAACATCTGCTTCCTCACTTGGGACGCCTCCTCCGATACCCACCATCAGACCAAACCGAGTTGACGGAAAGCTTGATTTCATCTGCATAGCGACTGCTGCGGCTGAGTTGGTACCCATTTGCCCTTCTGGCAGGCAAGCGATTACAATATTATGTTCGCCAACTCGTCCGCAGGTATAGATATTGGTATCATGGGCGTCGCATAGGGGTGTGTCATGTTCATCGTCGAGCATCTCTTGCGCCGCCGCCAGCTCGACAGCCAACGCGCACACCCATCCTACAGAGTACTCTTCGCGGCGTAGCAGGGGTGGCATCCGGGACTGTTACAAGGGAGGCAGGGGGTTGAGCGAGTGAGTGTTGAGAGTCGATGCTTATAGAGAAGACACCGTGATCATGGTCTGGCAGCAACTGCAGCGCCGTCGACGGCTGCTGTCGCTCAGCCTCAGCATTGCGGCATGCGCTGCAGCCTGGCTATGTGAACAGACAGAAAGGCCCGGCTGGTGCAGTGGGGCGCAGCCGTAAGCACTAGCCGGTGACGGGGCGGCACCAGCTCGCCCATTCGTTAACTCGCCCAGGCTTGCCTATTCGAGCCTTGGGACGAGAACATCGGCGCACATAGATGGCTAGGCTTGACCCTTCTTCCTCCAGGCTAGGAACCTATTTTGAGCTTCTTGTATATAAACACAACCTCACGCATCGTCCTCTTCTGAAAACACAGATGAATTGTGTCACTTTTCTACGCTTGTGTCTGTACACAGGCAGACCTCAACAAACCTTGAGCTGACTGCGGTACAGCCTCCGAAGCTTGGACCTCAGGTACCGAACGGCTCAATCAGTGTCTTCGGGTAGCTCTTGCAGTATTGTAGCTGAGCATTGCGCTAGAAACTATATAAGTCGAGATTGCAGTACCTGTACTTGCATCTCGATGGAGTCAATACAAAATCCTAACAGTCTTACTGGTTGATGCACCAAGACGTTTACCTGGCAGACGAAGAGCTGAGTGCCGAGTTGCTACAGCACTTTTAGATCCCACACTACCTTCTTTCAGCTGTATGTCGGCAGTCAACCGGGTTCTTCACTGTCAAAGACTCGCTGGATAAAGACGGATGCCATCAGTCAAGCCGCAAGTACAATCACGTTTCCGTGATTGGAGTGCTGCTAACCTATATCTCAGATATGTGGTTCCGCCTGCTGGTCAAGGCCGTCTCTAGCCACAGCGGCTCGAGCTACAAGTGGCATGAGATGAACTTCTGCTTTTGCTGGGACCTTGGACGTTGCTCCATCCACTGCGTTGGTGTAGACCCCTCGTTTCAGAGCCTTCTCCAAGATATTCTGCGTCGTATGTGGTCGCAACTGCCACCTGCAGAGCCTCGCTCCCTGCTTGTGCCGCTCATGGAAATCATTATCGTCATGTATGGTCGATCAGTGTGGTCCATACGGGACATAACATGGCGAGCAGAAAAGGCAAGTGCGCAGGGCCGCAAAAAAATACTACCAGGGCTAACTTATATGACTTCAAGAATCGCGCGTTTCCAACGCATGCGCTGAATAACTTTGTGCTGCTCCACGAAGTAGCGAGACATGCCATATATTGCTTTGAAACCCTCAGAGCGTCGGTGGAGACAGTAGGCGCTCTTCAACAGCAGGTTTCAGAGCTGTCAGTCAAGACGATGATGAGAGTTGGGGATGATACTGAAGCTTCAACCAGATCAGAGTCCACATTGCATTCCAGATGCGCATGCTCCAGAACCTGCTCTTGCGATCTCAGTCCAACAAGGAGCGGTTATAGAACGAGATTGCGCTTGTGAGAAGCAGTCGCCTTCCTTGACGAGGTCGTTGATGTTTTATCAGTCTTACAACATGATCGCTCAGCGAGACAGCCAGGTGATGACGGGTCTCGGACAGGCAGTGAGGCAGGACAGCGGGGTGATGAGGACGATTGCTGTGGTCACCATGGCCATCCTGCCACCAACGGTTCTATCTGCGGGTCTTGGACGAAAGGTATCAAGGCTGAGGCTGACAGAGGACAGGTGATCTTCAGCATGAGCTTCTTCGATTACACACTGGGCCAAGGTAGCCAGAGTGAACGGTGGTCAGTCTCTGAGAAGTTCTGGGTCTACTGGGCGTTTGCGATACCGCTTCCGTGTTTGACATTGGGGATCTGGTTTTGGCGGCAGAAGCAGATCTAACGTTAGTATACCCGTACATGAAAAACCATGTGAGTAGTCTGCTCTGAAGCAACTCGTGCCTACCTCCTCAGCTCATTGGTTGTGTACTAGCAAGAGGAACAGCAAATTCGAAGCTGGAGATATCCATGTTGCCCGAAGTAAGTACTGGGAGAAGCCAATAAGCAAGACAGGCGGTTGCACCAAACATGTCACGTGCGATCGCTCAGAACTATCGAACGGTATCTTCGTGGCTGGTGCTTAGAGACCTTTTGCAAGGTCCTGTTTGCATGTGTTGTCAGGCGCGCACCAATTCATTCTGGCAAGACGCAGGCTTGGCACGGCAAGGACCACTGTAAGATCAAATCTGTGAGCTGCGCCAGAACCGAAGCCGATTGTGCAAGCGAGTGTATGCAGGTAGTTCTTTGAGGTCGTGAAGAAGGTGGTGGGTAGGGCCTTGATGATAACACTACGTCATAGCAAGGCTGAGTCGGCCACGAATGTGAATCTGAGTGTGAGGCTTCGCGCTCAAGCATCTCAGCCCGACCACTACCCTACATACTCCGATGACTGCCCAATAATAATGCGCTGCCACTTGCTCACGTGGCGCAATCTATCCTCCTTCAGCCTTCCTGCAATGCTGCGCTTCGTTCTGCCTGCTTACGCAAGCTATGCGCGTGCAAATCAAGCCTGCGCCGCATCCTTCAATGAGCACCCGGGCGTAAGCACTGATCATGGCGTCAAAGCCTCAGTAACGTCATGTAGAAAACCAGAAGCATATTCACGATGAAACTTATCAATCGCGCCCTTCAGCTTCAGAAAATGCTCAACTACATACCGTGATCCACAGACTCTTCCTCAGCGCAACCCACAACCAACTAGACATTCATTATACGCATGATCATGGCCACTTATATCCATGAACCACTACCAGACCCCAACCGATATATACGGCTGCTGGAAGTTATCAAGTTAGACGATAACGAGGTTGAGGGTCTACGTATTCAAGTTCATTGTCGCCTCACAGTCTGGCCTCTACAAGGATTACCATCATACTCGGCCCTCTCGTACACCTGGGGAAATGAGACAGACACCAGACCTATCCTGGTTGATGGAAAAGTCATGTTAGTTTCCCGCAATTGCGAATATGCCCTAAAGCAAGCAAAGGAGTACTCTAGTCGACGCCAACGATATCTATGGTGCGATGCCATCTGCATCATCCAGAAGACGGACGGCATCAACATCGAGAAAAACCATCAAGTTCGACTAATGGGCGAGGTGTACCGGGGCGCGAAGCAAGTCCTTGCTTGCATTGGAGAGCATGGTGACAACAGCGAGTACCTGTTGCGCGTTATGCGAGAGAATTCGACTTTCCTGAGCCTAGTGGTACGTTTCGGTATCGATCGAGGAAAAGGAAAATCCGTCAAGCGTCAGATCGTTCGCCGGTGGATATCTAAACAGGAGCCGGATGCTTTTCAGGAATTGCTTACGGGCCTAACCCCATTTCTCAACCGGGAATATTTCTCAAGACTTTGGATCTATCAAGAGCTACAGCTTGGGAGGCAAGTCATGATACTCTGCGGTGAGCACGCTGTATCTATGCGTTCCGCTTATGGCTTGTTTCTTATCCTTACGGAGTGTACCAAACATACTCAAATCGACGACGACGTCAAGAAGTACAGTGTTGAGGCTCTCAAGACAATCAGACTCTTCAACAATGCGGTACAAGCTATATCTACGGAAGAGGAAAGAAGGATGTTAAAGGCCGGGGCATCGAAATCAAGGGCTTCACTGGATCTGCCCGGTTTCATGATGCAACAGGTTCTCACCCTTGGTTGCAAGGATCCCAGAGATAAGGTTTATGGCACACTCGCTTTGGTGAACTGGAACTGGCGTCCCTCGCCACGCCCCCGGGATCCGTACTTCATCTTGCCAGATTATGAAATAGATCGTTTCGATCTAGGCATGAAAGTCCTCGAGCTCGGAATTGTCCGCGAGATACATATAGTCCAGCTACCATTCTGCCATTGCGTTGCTACAAATCTGGAGCTTGCTTCGTGTCCAACCGAAAAGCTTTCAAACGCTCGTCGACGAAGACATCATCGGCCACTCGGAAACCCACCGCCGCTAATCACCCACGGGCCGATCTCCAAGCTGCAGGCACTCGAGGAAGGCTCCCTAAATTGGCTAAACACTTGGCAAGGCTTCCGATGCAACCATGATGGGAAACAATGGTACTTCACCTCGTCAATGAAGATGTCTCAGCGAATTACCGTGTGGCCGGAACGTTGCGAACTAAATTCATCCCCAAAAGGAGGTCAGCAACTCGAACCCCTGATGAATGTTGTTCTGCCTTCCATCATCAAGGAAGGAGACTGGTGTTTATTCGGATCACTGAACAACTACATTCCCTCTCTAGGCGGGTCATACATCAAGAGCGGAGCGGATCCAGCCTTCTCGATGTCACAATGGATCATCCTGGTAGTCAGACACGACCCTTGTATGCCGGATTCACGATTCGAGTTTGTGGGCAAAGGCATAGCTTACGCACAACCTGGGACGAAGTCTAGCGTCTTTGACCGTTTTGGACTTGAGTTTGACGACTGTTGGGATTTAGAGGATGCTTTGGTTTTCGCCAGTAGTTTCCGTCTTGATGTGGACTTGGCAAGCCTGACAAACGATCAGCTCTCAGACTATATGGAGACAGGTATATGTGAAGAGTACGGGTCGTCTTTCGTAGAGTGCTGTGGGCAGGATATGGATATGCTCTTGGAGCTGTCGAACAACGATGCGGGCAGTGAAGCGGCACAGGTCGAAGACTACACGACCAGCCGCAGGTGGAACGCGGTGCCTCATAGGGCCAAAGAGTGGCCTGTTCCGGCGTCACTTGTGACTGCTACTCAACCTGGCTGATCCAACGGAGTGCATAACTCGCCCAGACCACTGGTAATTGTTGCGGTATCGGTCGGTCTGTACAAGGTCTGACTGTACCCCTGACAGACTACCCTAGTCTAGTGTGTGACAGGTCACTGGCCTGAGGTCAGGTATATAGTCGTCATCTCCCAGCTCGATGGCAGTTCAGCGCAGTATTCCGTCCTACGTTATCGTTTACCGTAGCTATCAGTATTCTACAGTGGCACATACCGCAACAGTAATGCATGTGAGCTTTTCTTCTCCTGCAGTCGATGCCCGAGTCTCTGTGAAAGGAAATCTTACCAAGTTCGCGACCACCAATAGCAACGCAGAACAGCCTATTGAACTTAACAGATTGCAAAGGTCAATTGCAAGTGGATGATTGCCTAACACTCACTGACATGCTCTCCTGGGAAGCCGCTCAGAAGACGACAGCAATCTCTATCACAGTCGTTTACCTGCCTATCATATGCAGACTGGTGTGCAAGACAAGAGAAACATACAGCATCAAGGCCTCGGTACGGCGCAGTGTTCTTAGCGAAGGCCAGCCGCGTGGGCCGGATCCTATCGGCCATCAAGGTGCCCGCGGAACTGGACCTGCAGGTATATGATCCAAAGGACGCCCATAATCTTCTGACTTGGAGGGTTCGTGATGGTCAAAGGTAAAGTAGGTAGTAGGTCAGGCTCAACGTCACACATGTGCAAATAGTGGATCCTGCTAACAAGATTTGCAAAAGAGTCTTCATTCAATTCATAGTCATCAACACGATCACCACGCTACACTATGCAACAGCTACAATCAAAACAGATCGTTCGAAGGCTTTTCAGATCTTACTGGTAAACAGCAGCTACAAAGCGCTTATTTGCCAGCACGGTACGAGTTCCAGTAGCTGTAGATGCGAGTCTGCTGGCCAGTGGTGAAGCCAGTGAAGCAAGAGCTAGGGGAATGATTAGCATGAAGACTCTTCATGTTGAGGAAGGGATTACTTACTCATCAGAGTAGTCCATGTAGTTAGTAACCGGGTCAAGACCAGCCTGGCTGGGGCAAGAATCGCGGGTAGTCGCACAACCATACGACTCCGAAGCCTCAGCAGGGGTATCGGAAACGTAGTCCCCAGAGCCCGTGCAGCCGCCCTGGAAAGTGTGGTACAGACCGAGCCAGTGACCGATCTCGTGGGTGGCTGTGTGGCCGAGGTTGTAAGAGGTCTCGCTGCCGCCGGGGACTGTGGAGGAGCGAATGACGACACCGTCCTGGTAGAAGGCGGTGGAGCCAGAGGTGACGGCCTGGGGGAAGTAGGCGTATCCGAGGTACTGTGTGCCGGGGGTGAAGTAGACGTTCAAGTCGGCGTAGGTTCCCTTGCGGAGCGCCTTCTTCATGGCCAGCTCGGCCTTGTCGTTGGCGTAGTTGGCATTGATGGTCCAGTCTACGCCAGCCTGAGTGAACGAGATGCCGTGAGGGGCATACGCGGTGTTCAGCACAGCAAGCTGCTTGGTGAGAGTCGCCTGGGTAAGGTAGCCACCAGCAACGGTCTGAGCGGTGGCAGTGACGTGCCAGTAGACGTTGATATTGATGGTGGCAGCAGCAGCAAGATCCGACTCGGCGAAACCAGCCTCTGCCTCGAGGATCTGGAGGTTCTGAGCGATCTGGATCTGCTCCTCGGTAGCGTTGGGGGTACCGCAGCTACGCTTGGCTGCTGCCGAAGAGGCGAGCAGGGAGAAGAGGAGGGTCTTGAGCTGCATGTTGGCGACTGGACAAGGCTTGGAATGAGGGAATGGAAGTGATCAGCTGCGAATCGATACCGTTTCAAGGAGGATGTTTAGGCATTCTTGTACTCATGCCAGGCTTCTGGAGAAGCAAACATGTCGCCACCAGGAACAGACCGCTTGTCGACCTCACTTGATCTACTAAGACGTCGACCTTCCCAAGGAGGCGCATACCGAGCGCAACGTCAATGGAACGATCCTTCACAAGGAGGCGCATACCGAGCGCAACGTCAATGGAACGATCCTTCCCAAGGAGGCGCATACCGAGCGCAATGTCAATGGAACGATCCTTTCACTATGACAGCGAATAGGTCTTTCGCCTTCTACCTGCTGTCTTGGTTGTCCTAGTCGCATTGACAGTCATTTGAACGGCGGACCGCACAGCGCGAGCTTCTCTTCCTTAGGCAGGTCCTAATCTCCTCTAGCACCATTCATCTAATAAGGCTGGGTTTGAAAACACCATGGCGACTTGGCAGCGGCAGTTGCTAGCTCATCCCGGCTCGCAAGCCTACAATGTTGGAAACGCGAAGGAATGATTGGCGACGGGAAGCACCGCGTCTGTGGGGTTGGTCGTATTCATCTCGACGTCTGCAGGCATCTGCATTATTGTGTGTTCAAAGGACTTTGCATCTCGACCTGACTAAGGAGGATTGCCGGATTCCCAAGCATTGCCAAGCAATGCCGCAGCGGTCTTGTAGGCTTGAAGAGGCATGTCAATCGCTGGCACGAGTGTTGTTATCGGCAGAGAAAGCTTGGGAGAGATAAGACGTGATAGCTGGGGTAAAGATCGTCTTCAGCTAGAGACCTGTGACTTCTTTCTGCAGCCGGCGGCAGGTTCGCGCAAGAGAAAGTTGCGACAAAGGTGTTGAGGCGTTTGCGGGTCTGTCAAGAGATTGCAGTTGGGGAGTGTTTCGCCCCGGGATGCGCCGAGCAGCGGAGATTCCATGGCGGGGGCGGGGACCATGGGTGCGAGCGTTTTCTGCTTCCGCCATGTTTGAATCACGACGATGGGTTCAAAATGGGAAACGGAGAGCCGAAGATGGTGGAGAGCGGGTGAACCATATGAGGCTGTCGTTGATATGGCGCAAGAAGGGAGGAAGCTGCGAGAGACTTGTGACGCCAGCATCATTCATCGAGAAATCGCGCACCAGTCTCTCATATTCCAGAAAAAGCCAATCGTCCCAAACCTTAGAATTTAGGAGGCAGTCAGGGAGGCGTTCTCCTTTTAACCAGCTAAAAAGGACAGACAAGACTACAGGTGATTTTGCCTCTAGCAGACTGCTCGCTCCTTAGAATTGAAGACCGCCAGGCTTCACCTGCGTCCCAACTTTTCTGCAACATGAGAGCTAGTCTCCAGACAAGTTAAAGAAGCTGAGTTCATAACATTGACGATCTTGCAAGATTGACCACAGGCTCTTATCTAGGTACCGACCGTCATTCCACCGTTGACCCTCAGAATCTGCCCGTTCACCCAGCTGCCGCCTTCGCCAGCAAAGTATGCAATCGCCTTCGCAATCTCTTCTGGTCTTGCGATCCGATTGAAGGGGTTGTTAGATGCGATTCGATTGATCAATTCCTCACTTTTGCCCTGATAGAACAGATCCGTTGCCGTTGGCCCAGGAGCAACACAATTTACATTGATACCCTTGGTACCCAGGTCCTTAGCTAGGATGCGCACCATCTGCTCGATGGCGCCTTTGGAGGTCACATAGAGGAGGTAGTTGGGTGTAATAGGTGACCAGTTGCAGAGGGATGTTGAAAGGAGGATGATGCGGGAGCCTGGGGACATGTGTGGGAGTGCTTTCTGCCATAATGTTAGTGGGACGGTATGTGTGTGCAGGAGAGGCGTACCTGAGCCAGAAAGTACGGCCCTTTGACGTTGAGATCCATGGTCTTTTGGAAATCAGCCTCTTCGGTTTGTTCGAGTGCCTTGATTATCGACACGGCCGCGTTCGGGATTAGGATGTCGATTCTGCCACCCCAAGAGACTGTTTCGGCGACGAGACGCTCAATTTCCTTTACGTCTGCTGCATCCGCTTTGATGGCAATGGCTTTGTCGGTACCAATCTTTTGCACGAGCTCGTCAGCTGGTTTAGAGTCGGAAGAGTAGTTGATGACGAGTTTGGCCCCGAGAGAGGCGAGTTCGAGGGCTGTCGCTGCGCCAATGCCCTTTGAAGCGCCTGTGATGAGGACGACTTTGCCGGCGAGCGGTTGTGTGGATGCCATGGTGTTGTGGTGGATCGGGGTGCGATGTACTGGAAGGTTGCTTCTGACAGTAGGTTGATGGCGTTTATGATTAGATGCGGGAGACGCTGAGCGGATCGAGGTTGCCTCTGCTCGCAAACTTCTTCGCTCTTATACTTTCTTGCATTGCCTACAATTGCGATTTCCACATACCGATCGGAAGTAACGGCTCACATGGATACGGGCGGGTTTATAGATCACCTAATTCCGAAAGGCCGCATAAGCTGCCACAACTCGCTTCATTGGTCCTCTCGTGAGTTTCGCGCATGTGCTTGAACGGGCTGAAGGCTGAATCTACGCCCGGCATCGGATGGTGAAGATTCAATTGATTCGTTCGATGGAGCTGAGGTCGTGGTGGAAGTATCGTTATCGCCGTTGGCTGTTCAGGCGCGCTATGACGACATCGTAAGACAGACGAGTCACCCCGATTAGAGGAATATAGTGCTTACATCCACACAAGGTTTGTGCAATTGCTTAATTCATCGGAGCTATCCTTGGATTATATCGTAAATACGGCTTGCTCATCAGAGCGAAGAGCGAGGCTGCCCTGCGAAGTCGGATTATGAAGCGAACACTGATTGTCTAACGGCAAGCTGGATCGAACCAAATTGATGAACTACAACTTGAACAAAATTGTCTACACTCCATCAAGTTGCTTAGTATCCCACCGTCGAGTTCCCACCCAAAATTCTGTAACTCTCCAGGGGCCCATTATGGCTGTACACCACCCCTCCCAAATCCAACACCACCTTTTGCAGTATAACATTTGCCTCCACAAGCCACACCTTCAGGGTATGCTTTCCCGGCGCCACGGCCCCAAAATTTGTAGTGTTGTACCACGCATTTTGCGCGACGGCTGTGCCCCAGCCGACAGGGAAGTTGGGCTGCGGCTGGTCGATCACGTACTGGCGGCGCTGCTCGGGCTTGTTGTCGATTTGTGTGATGTAGGCGAGGGGTTTCTTGGGGTCGATATTCAGGCTGGGAGATAGAATGAGGGTTACGTTCAGACCCTTGGCGGAGGTGGTGGGCGTGAAGGTTAGGAAGTCGTATTCGATTGCTGGTGCGGTTGCGGAAGTGAGGCCTTCGACGAGCGGGTCGTTGAGCTTGATGGCCGAGAAGGTGCGACCGTACTTGGGTAGAGTGGTCAAGGAGAAGTTGCCCTTCGGGGTCAGGCGGGTGTAGTGCTCTGCTTCGAAGGCAAGCTGGCCGGCGGACTCGACGAAGCCGGCGCTGAAGTTGGAGGGTATGGAGGTCTTGTTGACCTGTACGATGACTTGCGGCATGCCGAACTGGGTGCCGTAGTTGGTGCTGCTAGAGATGTTCAGGGTGCTCTTCTTGCCGAAACCTTCGGGGACTTGGGAGAAGTCAACTTCGACGTAGACGCGGACGTCTTCGCCATCTGGTTGCATGGTGCCGGATGACTGGGAGAGCTTTATAAAGGGCTCAGCTGAGATGTTCCAGTTGAAAGTCTGTGTACCGACGGAGGCGATCTCCAGCCAGCGCTTGGGAGTGAAAGGAGTGATATCGGGAAGGTTCAGAGAACCGCCACCGTTTGTATGCCACTGGTCATCACCGGGGATGGTAGCGTTGCTACCTTCGACAGCGACGCCGAGATCGCCGGCAAGACTCCTCTCCCAAGTCTGTACCCAGCGGAGGTATGGCGTGGACTGGCGCATGGGCTGTTGCCAGTACCCTTGATAACCCAGGTGGGTCTGGTCCAGCATGTGGTTCCACTTTCCATTGAACAGCTCGTGGTAGCGCTGTGTAAGGTTGTGGTCCTTCTTCATGCCATCAATAGTGCGCTGCATCCACTTGTTGGCGCTGTTCCTGCCCATACCGCTGTAAGCAATGTTCCTAGCTCCAGAGACTTGCACATCAATGAAGTTACCGCCAGCAAGGACGCGGTGAAGGACCATCTCGTAAAAAGCAGGTTGTTGTTGCTCGGGAAGAGTATCATAAACTTCTTGCGCTTTCTTGCCAATGGCCTGCCACTGCGCAAGAATGCGATCAGCCTCCTCGTAGTTGAGAATGCTGTACGAGGAAGGCTCGACCCACTCGAACTTGCGCATGTTTGCAAGGAAACCGTACTCGTCTAGGATGTCTGAGATGGTCTGAGCATGCTCCTCGCCAAAGTTACGGGCAGCGAAATCTGCAGTCCATTGGGGTACTGACGTCTCATCGTATGCGTCAATGTCGTAGGCAATATCGAACCAGTGGCTGATAGCGACTTCACTAGGCTTGATGTCTCCGACATTAACGATCCAGATCCTGTCAGCTTCGCGGTCCTTGGCCAGTCGCATCTGCTCGTATGTCTTCTGCAGCTGAATGGTGTCGATCCATTTGTAGTTGCGCGAGTCACCAACGTAGTCAAAGTGGTAGTAGACACCAGCACCACCTGATCGCTTCTTCTCGTCACCGACGGGCAGTCTTCGGATATTCTGGAAGTTGTCCTCCGTCCACAGAAGTGTGACGTAGTCAGGGACCTTCATACCGGCCTCGAAATAGTCCTGAATCTCTTTGTACAAGCACCACATCTGTGGCACTTCCGAAGCATTGCCGTGGATCTTGTTCAGGATGTCTTGCTGAGCGTTCACAACAGCCTCGAGCACGCCTGTTTGCACGTCGGGAGACATGCTGGTATCGTGGTAGCCTGCGGTGTCTGATAAGCGCGCATTCTGGTACCTTAACCTCGCGTTCGGTTCAACCCGCATCGCCAGCTCTGCTTACCTCTCATTCCTATAGTAACAACATTCTCGTAAGGCGCAGCTCGCTGTGCGCCTTCGTAGAAGTAGTCGTACAGTGTAGCATTGTTGGTCGCCCACTGCCAGCCAGACTCACTGCCCTTCGCGACCTTGCTCCACTCAGCAGTAGCACGTACCATGGGCTCAGTGTGCGATGTGCCCATGACGATGGCGTACTCATCTGCAAGAGGCTGGTTACGTGGGTCATCGACGTTGAACATGCCATTCCACATCGCTGGCCAGAGGTAATTGGCCCTTGATCTGAGCAGCAGCTCAAAGACGTGAGCGTAGAACTCGGCGCCGAAAGGACTGTTGCCTCCGTACTTGGGGTACTTGACGTTCGCCCATCCGGTCAGTGCAGGTGCTTCGTCGTTGATGAAGAAACCGCGATACCTGACGGAGGGTGTCTTCTGCACTTTCGTAGTGTCGAGTGCGTAGACTTCAGCGTGGCTCTTGGGAGGTACGTCGGCGAACCAGTACCAAGGAGAAACACCTATCTGCTCAGAGATATCGTAGATACCGTAGATCGCACCTCGACGGTCACTTCCTGTATGGTGTCAGTATTTGTCACTGTGACAAGAGTTGTGGAAGAGCCTACCAGCAATGACAAGTGCCTGATCGGTTCCATTGATAGGATTCTGCACAAGCGCGCTAACATACGCTTCCCATTGCCCTTCAATTCCGCTGACATCGAGCTTTCCACTTGCAACCAGACCATCAATCAAGCTCGAGTTGCCGATCGTGCCCACAATGATGACCGTGCCGCTGGTGTTGTTTCCGCTTGTGCCCGTGCTCCAGTCATTACTGATGCCTGTGACATTAAAGATCATGGATGCATTCGCAGTAGCCGTCCCGGTAGCTGTCAAGGTACCGTTGATGTTTGTTACCCGTCCGAAGTCAATGGCGAGATCGTGCGCCGCTCGAAGTACACCAGGCCAATCTGCCGCATCAACGTGGATGTTGGCGGCCGAAGAGCCGGTGGCGAGGAGATAGCTTCCGTTGCCGGCAGTGAAGTCAACGGTAGGTTTGCGGAAGCTCTCGACAGCAGTTGTGGGAGTGAGGAAGCATGCCGAGAGCGCGAGGCTCAATATACGGCGTGGTGAGAGCTCCATGGCGGCGGTGAGGTACAACTGCTTGGGCTGCTGAACCATCGACGGGGGCCCTCGCCTCTTTATGCATGCGAAGATTCGATGCAGGACCTATTAGCCAGGTTTACAAACACCCACAGGTACGAACGGCTCCATAGCCCTGTGTTGATCCCTCTCCTCACGCATGTTCATCACCCAAGAACCGGGAACAAGACGCTACCAAACGGGTCGAAGTGACGTGCACGCAGCAGACCGGCTATATTCAAGGATAAAATCGCACGCGACGTGATCATCGTTACTTCCCCAGCTTCATTGAGTGTGGGGCGAGTAGCATAGCCACCAGGGAAAGGCGCCGAAGGAAGATTTTCCCGAGCTCATCTCGGGACGGCAGAAGGCATTGAGATTGTTGTGTAGAGGGGTATCTGAAGTCATCATTGTATGGTGTTGTGTCCCCTGGGAATGTTCCGTGAGGTATGCTTTGACGCAGAACTGTGTTCCGCATGTTTCGTTTCCTGATACCCCGAGGACGGTGAACGAGGTCGCATCGAGCGGCCTTGGTGGTGGATCCTTTGAAAAGGCTAAAGCTCAATGGCCGCTTCCCGTTCTTCCGTGGACACAGGGTTGGCGCGCTTGAGCAGTGGACATGCGCTAAGAATCCCCGCATTGCACTAACGGCGCGCCAAGCCTGAAACTTTCAGTCAGGAGCCGCGCCGAACAATTTCCAGAGACTTGCAGACGCGAACTGCACGCTGCCAAAATTCGCCCCACGTAAACCCCGCTCGATTCGATAGTGACAAGATGGCACAGGGCGCAGTCAAGAAGTCCAAGCCCGCTGCGGCGCCCAGGAAGTTAGGCCACCCTCCTCTTCAGATTCACCACATTGCTAACCGCTCATACAGACCCTCAAAGACCGGCCCTAGGCCTGGCCAAAAGGTCATCAAGCCCAAGAAAGCGAGCCTGATCCAGCAGAACAAGATCAAGAAGAAGAGCGCCGCCGGCCTTGTTGGCACGACCGAGAAATTCCTCGCCGAGAAGGCCGGCCACCTGGAGATATTGAGGGGTGGAAAGAAGGATAAGAAGGAGGGCGCAAAGGGCAAATGAACTGTAGACCTTTACCAAAGGGTGTTCAGTCCAAGTATCATGACCACGATTCGTTCCGGGAGGTCGTTTGTCTAGCGTTGTAGAGGCCTTCCACCAGAGCTTCTGCAGGTCGCCACAGATCTGTTCGCGAAGGACGATGATGGGAGGCCGTAGAGAGCTGATTTGATCGGCTTCGCACATTCAGCACCGATGTGGCTTTTGAGGGACAGTCCCGGTTAGCTCTGCAATATGGCGACATTGGATGGGAAGATTGAGTGGAGCAAAAACTCCTGTCGAAAAGGGCGGCGTCTGAGTCCGCTGAGATTCGTATACCACGTCGTATCCTGCAACATGCAATGAAAATTCATGACCCTCAGATGATGCCTGCTCGTGCTGCCTCGCCAGCACCATCTTCAAGATTTGCCCCGCGCGCTTTGCCCTTTCCGAGGCCACCCTCTCCAACTCCCATTCGGCGCGCTACGTAGCGTTGAGCAACGATGCCAACACTGAGACTGATGGTCTCTTCCATCCATTCAGATACCCACTCACGAGGATCAACACCTCCACTCTCGATGATCTCCTGGATCTCCTGTGGCAGTTGTTGCTCTTCACCTGCGGCTTCAGTATTCGCGGGCGCGTCGAGCCACTCGGTCCACTTAGCAGGGAATGACTGACTGACGGCTTTGAAGCTGATGCCATGGATCGGGTCATGCAGATACACCGCGAATACGACCAACTCCTCATCTTCCTTCTGCTCCTGCATGTCACCTTCTTTGGAGTCCGCAGATGCTGATGTTCCAAAGAGTTCTGTAGGTGCCGGGTAGCTGATGGCCTGGATAGCGATGAAGATATCGCTGCTTCGCACGGGGTTGGTCTCGCTGAGAACTTCCGTGGCTTGCTTCGCAGCTGCCTCAACGCCTCCTCTAGCAGCAAAGAACTCGTCAGCGTATGACTCGGCACTCACTCTTGTGAGCTTTGTGCCTTCGGCGAGACCTTTGACTATGCTCAGGTCTCGCTTGTCTGCGTGACGCCACCATGGTCCGTCGTTCCAGCCACCACCCCCACCTCTGTATCCATCCAGTGAGCCGCGCTGTGTAGACTCCGAGCCACGCTGGATGACTAGCAAGTCACCGCCCTCAACTTGAGCCATAACAGTGGAGAAGGTCTGGTGGATGATAGGATCGAGCGAGGGATAGCCGATGAGGTCGTGGGTGATATGAATCTGTAGTCGTTCATGCTGTGCAATCGGTGGGGCGAGGGTATGTAGGATGTTGGTGAAGGTTGGCAGTGCATGCTTGCTCAACTCTCCACCTGTACCTTGTCAGCATATTACGTTATAGTGGAAGTTTTGTTGACCTACCCATACCACGAAGAGCGCCGACATTGCCGCGGACTTGCTCTGCCCATCGCTGTGCCTCCTGGTTCTTCTGAAGCTCCTGATAGGCCGCTTCTGCTTGCTTCTTTGCAGCGTTCGCAGCTTCGGTCGCAGTATTTATGATGCCACCCCAACCTCCGCCCCACCACGAACCACCTGATGATGCTGCTGCCTCTGCCTTAAGTGCAGGCGCTGCTTTGGCTGGCTCTTCTTGAGTAGGCGCAAAGCTCTGGTGAAATGATCGTGTGCTCTCCCCTGACTTCCTTGGTGGTGCTGCTCGATCCTCGCTTGTACGTGCCGAGCCGGTAGAAGAGGGAGTCGCAACGTCAGCGCCTCTTCTGTTGCTCGAGGCTGTTGACGATGATGACAACTTGGGTGTGTTGGGACGACTTGTTGGACGCAGTCCCTCGGGGCGCTGGAACTTCCCTAGATCCTCGAGCTCTTCGAGGCCCTTGAGCGCATCGTCTTCCTGAGCCAACTTCTGTCGTAGGACTTTGGATCCCTTCTTTGGTGGAGGAGCTGCTGGTGCCACTGCACCGAGCAACTCGAGCTCTGCAAGCTCCTCCTCAACCGTCTTTGGCGGCATTGCAGGTCACAGTAGAGTCAGATGCTAGCAATGTACAGTGGACAAGAACAATATCTCAATGATAGGTGGAGGTGAAAGTGGTTGTTATTCACTGACAGCTGTGACAGTACGATGTCATCGCACGTTCGCACTGTTATTTGGGGAGCTCCCGACCGGCGAGATGCCTGTCACACTAGCGCGGAGTTGCCATTGGCTAGAAACGCTGCTGCCAAGACTGAACTGGAAGAAGCAGCCACGACCGCCTCAGACAAAGATCATCACACATCACGTCCCTTACTGCTTGCTTTGGCCCATTTTCTTTACTTGTATCGACCAACTGCAAACATTTACGCGGCCTTGCTGTCATTGCGCGGAGTTTCATTCATCTTCTAGTCCTGCAGGTTTTCTGCCTCCCTGACAGGCTTGGATCTGCACTACGCCTCCTCGGGAGTGTACATGCAGACCTCGATTCAAACCATCATACGAGCGCAACACTTGCGCGCTCGATTGTCGCTAGACATTGAGTCTAATGCCTGCACCACGGAGCCTTCCTGCTCGTTCTTCACAACGGCGCAATTCTGTTCAAGATGATACGCCTACGCGGACCCGTTCTAGTCGAGGAGCACCTGCTGCAGCAAAACAAGAGACTACAGAAGTCGTTGCACCAAAACTGAGTCCACACAAGCTGAGTCCTACCATCACAAGAAAGACTACTCGCTCTGCGTCCAACATTTCAAGTCAACCATCATTTACCGATGCTGCACCTGAAGTCTATGCTTCATACGAGCGTCCATTTTTAATGGTGTTTGGCTTGTCACGCGAATTCTTCGATGGCCTCAAGAAGCACCACGGCAAATTACCTAAGCAGCGCAAGAACCTTGAAAGCGCTGTGCAAGAGTCGCCGACCTCGGATGAGGAATCTGAATCTGATGCGGAGGAAAGTGCAGATGAGAGTGAAGAGTCTGCTGATGCAACACCCGTCATGTCTCATGCTGCGCCCAGAGGACGAGGCCGCGGTGGGCGGGGAGGGCGTGGCGGACGAGGCAGAGGCACCCGTGGGAGAGGAAAAGGAGGTCGAGCACGGGGCGGTCTGGTCCGAACTATTTCACCGACTCGATCACGTCCATCGCGAAACGCAGCACCCATGTTTCCGCTCACAGAGGAAGATGATGGTCCGTCCAATCAGACGACGCCAAACGGCGAGAGCTTGGCATCACAACTACCTAACGAAGACGATGCAATGTCAGACGCCTCCGAACCAACTAATGACTTAGTATCAGAAGTCGATGTCGACAGTGATATCGAGGATGAGTCTATTGGAAACGCGCATCTGGAGTCTATGACCCCAGCTGGTTCACCGCCCTCCACGACCACCCCTCAAGGCTCACCTCCCAAGGGCCTTCTTAACGCTATACTTGATGGCAGTTACACCCCTTCGTTGGTCGCAGAGTCCGAACCCAAAGCCTCCAAGACTACAACAAAGGTTAAGATCCCAAAGATCTCCCTGACGACCAAATCAGCCTCTCAAACGCCTCAGGAATCGGCTTCGACTCCCGCAGAAACCCTCAAACCGCTCGATCCCAAAGACGATGTTCTTTCTGAAAATGATCTTCCTGGTCCTTGGGCCGATAACTTTCACCCACAGCCTCTGGACGATTGCGAGGACCTGGCTGATTATCTCCTCCAAAGAAAATTTGAGGCAATGTCCGATGTGAACAAGATCATCGCAACCTTCAACAAGTTTCCACCTACCCAACGAAGTACGCAAAATCTGTATGCCCTAGCTGAGAACGCACGATACATTCTCAAGTGCTGGCAGGATGAGTATCTCGAGCTGGACGCACGAGTAAGTTGTACCTTGGAACGCCAGAACCAACACTAACGCTTGTAAGACCGCGCCCCACATGCATCCACCGAAAAAGGCTTGCAATAGTGGGCGGATACCAGTGGCTTCTCAGCTTTTCGAAGACACAAAAGAAGCAGACCTCTATGGCTACACCTTTGATCCCAAAAAGCCACCTGGCTACCAGGATCCTTGGGCGCAACGACCCGGTGCCGAGAAGAGTGGCGGTCGAGAGCTCCGAACACGTCGTGCGCGCGACATGCTAGACTCTGCAGCTGCAAGTGAGGAAGACGAAGAGGACAATGAAGGTCGCTCATCGAGGCGACAACGCAAGGCGCCTCGCAAATTCGATGGTACTGACGCAGTCATAGGAGCCACTACTCCCAAAAAGCACAATGGGTGGGGTGGAGCCCGCAAGAAGGGCGTCAGCAGATTCGCTATGCCTGCATCCGAAACTCCAGAGCCTGACAGTAGACCAGCCAAGCGGGCCAGAACTGCGGCGGCTTCTGCACTTCATCAGCGCCTTGTGCATGAGAGCGTGCGCGAGAGCTCAGTGGCTACGACATCTGGCGATGAGGGCTCATCCACGATGGACGTTGAAGAGTATGCAGATGCAAACACGAAACGTGGGCGACCACCGGGAAGCAAGAATACAGGGCGACGCAGTGATTTTGGTATAAAGAAGGGCCCACGAAAGAAGGCCAGTGACGTTGGTACGCCAGTGCCATCAGCGCACGGTCCAAATCCTCCTCCACCAGCACTGCAGTCATTGAGCGCAGGTCAAGGTCAGTTCTCCATTGATACACAGCCTTTTTCAGATGCACCTCCCTTGCCAGCAGCGAACCCTGCTGAGACGGTCTTCCAAGCTACGCCGCAACCCGTCGCCGCACAAGATGGCGCTCTCGTACACCCAAGCGAGTCGAGTACACCAGATGCATACATGATCACTGCTCCGTTGAGCCAATACACCAGTACCCAGGCTGAGGATGCTACGCCAGCATCAAGTTCGAGACGAAAGCCACGAGTTAAGAGCGAGAAGCGCAGCCAGTCGATGACCATATGGTGGGCAGAACGCAAAGCGCGCAAGAAAGAGCAGGATGAGAAAGAAGGTAGGTCGCCAAAGCCACCGGCATCAAGATCGAATTCTTCAAGTGGACGTCGAGGCGGACGAACAACTGGGGGACCGAGCGCTACTGCAACACCTGTATCGACTCCTCCAGAAGCTCAACGGCCTTCTCCTATGCATCACCAGGATCATCATTACCCGCCAGAAGCATATACTATGCATGCGTCTCTACCACCGCTGTCAGCACCCTCTCCTCACCTGACATACGCCTCAGCACCCTTGCATCATCCTATGCTATTGCAGTATTCTCCGCTTACCGCGCTTCCATCTGGGACCTTTCCGGGATACTCAGGCCCTCCATCACTTCATTCTCACCTTGGACCTAGAGCACTTGCTCCGGCTCCACAACAACTACCCGCATACCCGAGCCCTTACGGACCACAAAGCCCTGCCGGCCCCCGTCCGAGGAGCAGCGGCCGCAGTGGTCCACCGCCCCTGGCGCCTGCACCGCCGCAGCATTACAGCCCGTATGCACCGGTGAGCATGGGAAGAGAGATACCATTTAAGGTGATGGTTCCGGGCCCTCCACCTCATGACGACAGAAGAGGGAGCCGTTAGCAGCGGCCACCCAAGAAGAGCGATCAGGAGGTAATTGTTATTGACGATTAGCGGTCTATTCCTATTTTGCCATTATAGAAGCTGCAAATGGCGTTTTCTCCCCGAGAGTATGGTGTATTACAGGGCTCTTTGGGTAACTTTCTTTTGCATGTAGCATAGTCAGATCAAACATAGTTCATTTTGTATCCGCCTGAAGCGCGTAAAAACGACCTCCAACCTTTCCGTCGGGTCAAGCGAAACAGTTGCGCATGCCTGTGGCTCATACTGATCGACCATAGCTGTCAGACACACATACACGATTGCAGTATCGGCTCCCAAGTGGCGACATGGCATTCTCGTCGACCTCGGTATGCCGATCTACCGGTCCTGACACGCTCGACTGCAGTTGCTTACCTGAGACTCGAATACCTCGTGTTCAAGTCCGGTTGTTGTTCTCTTCTTGCGAGGACTGATGCGTCCATGACATCTGTGACTGTTGCCTGAAGTGGTATCGCAGCTTTGTATATCGAATGTGTCCAGATTGATATCGCGTAACCAGTCCTATCAACCTGGAAACATCGGCATGCACGTCATAGATGCAAAATAGATTAGCAGTTCACCGGGACAAGCGAGAATCGGATGCAAGCAGACGAGGCTGTAACATCATGTGACTGTGCCTGAATGAAGTCTGCCTCGCTGTTTTGAGACAAAGTCAGGTCAGAAACAAGGCGCGCAAGGGTCGAAGCGAAGGAAGGATTGCGTGGGGCCAACGGCGCACCTTACCCGTCAAGCCCCCGCCATCATCCTCGACACAACCCCAAAGACACTGCACAATCTCCACCTGACAGCCGTTATGGATTGTTTGGCCCCTGTCAAGACCGCTATTGTGGCAATACGAGCTGCCACAAACCCAGCAATTCAGGCCCGCCATGAGCGAGCCAGCCAATGACAGCAAGGCTCCATCATCACACAGCCTCGCTGCGAACCATCGCCAAACTATCGGCCAGAAGAACAGATCCCACCTTCTCCATCAACGGTTCGCCTGATGAGTCCGCCCTTAGCCAGCAAGACTTACTGTCCTCTATTCGCGACTCGGTACCAGATCTGGCTTAAGTCCATTGTTACCGCGCCCACCTTGAGACAAGCCTCCTTCTGCAGAACACCTAACGACACCGAAACCGGAGATCGAGAAATAACAGACATGTCGATTCTGTTTCACACGTAGCCAAATATAGGGCCATCAAGTTCTCGACGAGCCTCAAGCGTGGCTTGTGGAGACGATGAACCACCGGTCAAAGAGTCAAGGCCCACGATGATGAGAAGAAGGATCTTGGGGGCCACGAACCTTGAAAGAGATGGCTATCGCGGGAACGAATGTGCAATGCTGTGCAGTGCTGCCTGAATCGGCGTATGGAGTGGACGGATACTGTTGTCTCATCAATGGCATATAAGATTCCCAGTCCAACCTTAAAGGAGAGGCATCATAAGCCTGGAGCCTCAAGCATCGTACATTCGACTACCATAAGACGATAGCCTTTATCGCGGTCTACAACAACTGGAACTACCCTCCCAACCTCGTGTACATCAATAGAAGGTGCTCCGATGCTGTCTCTTTATCACCTTGTCGAGACCATCTTCCAGGTCTTCGGAAACGCACCATACCTCTTCTTGTCAACCATCAGCCACTACCAGATTCCTGGCTCAGTTGAGAGGATGCCATCTCGCAGCGTTACCGCACGGGCTGGAAGTGGTCGCAGCGCAAGTAAGAAAGTAGACGGGGAGCCTGACCCAGAGCCACCAGCAGCACCTCCGTAAGTATTTCCTTTATCTCGCGAGTCAAATAGTGGCTCGTGTACAGCACTATTCTAACACGATGTTATTTCCAGCATCGTTCATAGCCCCACTCGGAGTAGCCTCCGCTAACGATTAGCCAATAGGATCATCATCTTATCCGAAAATAGCAGCCAGGGTGGATCTCAGCCTCAGGAACAGGACCCTAATATTCCGCCACACGATACGTCATTTTCACGGTACGCGTAGCCTTGCTTCGACAATTGTCTTATCCTAACAAAACCACAGATCTCCCTCTTTGACACGGAAGAACCAGTTTTTTGAGAGCCACACGTCTACATCGTCACAGACGAAGCCAAAGCCTGAGCCTGAACCACATCCAGCACCACCGTGAGTCATCTTTTAGATGTTCGTCCATTTATAGAGCACGCGACACCCCTGGACTCGAGCACGACACTTTTTCACCAGTCCTACACCATACTGACCGCTCCATAGTGTAATCATTCTCTCGCGCAACAAAGAACCAGCATCTTCGTCTCCACCAGCTCGGTCTCCTCCTCTCTCACCGCGTCCACGGATGCCCAACGGTCCCGTAGAAAGCACCCGTGACACCACCACCGTCGAATCCACACATAAGTACCGCACAATGGGCTCTAAAGCTAGTAAGCTTGCACCCAAGGGCGGCAAGCTACAATCATCGCAGGAGAAGAAGGACAAGGAGGAGATGAAGGAGCCGACAAACTACTACACACACAGGAGCAAGAGCATGAGGAGAAAGGCTGGCAAGGAAGCCAACAGTGACGGTGCGGGTGGATCTGGTGGTGGATCTGGTGGCGGTGCTGGTGGTGCGGTCTGAAAAGGCGATAGACGACATGGTAGACAAGATATCATTTGGTATGAGATTAGGTCCGGCGTCGTTTCTGGCGTTTAGTTGGTTTATTTTCGCTGCAGGAAGCCCTCAATACGACTTCTGAGGGCTCTATTTTGGACGTTCCCACAGCTTCTCCACAAGCGCATACTTTGGCTTACCAAAAGCGATTACTATGCGCAACGCCTTGCGCCTACTCAGCCCTTTTTCACACAACCATACGGTACTTTAGCAAATCACCCTCCACGATTTTTCCCTTCATCCCACGCATCTCCAGCATGACCCTTCATCTGCGGCGTCACAACTGCACCAGGGTGCAGCGCAAACCTATTCCTATCAACAATACGTTCACTAGGCTTTGTGCAGGAGTGGAGAGTACTTTCGGGAAGTTCAAAATATAAAGGTCGAAAATAGTAAATACTGCAGACCGCAAGTTCAAACAGCGTGTTGTTATACAGTTAGTAATATCGATCTTAGTCTCGCCACCCAGTTTTCTTGAAGGTCGGAGTCGACGTCGAAAAGCCGGGTTCTCGATCTTACGCTCTTCAGCATGCGCACCGCTCGACGTGCGAAGCCGTACGGTAAGATACTGCATATAACCTGAAAACGATCGATGGATTGAGAAGCAACTGTTTCATCCTTCGCTTCGAGTCCAGCGACGAATGTCGGCCAGGATGTAGCTTTGAAGAGATACTGTCCATACGAAATTTGATCAAGGTTCTTCACGAGACGGTCGTGATAAACCTCGACCGACGTCGCGGGCATGAAAGCAGCCGCACGCGGAAGGGAAATGATGCTTGCTGCTTTGTGAGCCTCGCAAAGATGTATGCGTGTCTCGATGTCGCCTGGACAGGTCCTACACATATGTATGCGATGGAATGACTCCGCCCAACTACGAGCATCGATCGCCGAAATGCGGTCAATGGCTAACGCAATCTTGTTTGTGTGGCCTGAGTTCGGGTCCTCCACCGTAGGACATTCTCCGAGAGACTCGCACGCACTGGTCAATGAATGCAGCATCTCCAGAGGAAACGTTATGTGGTTGCTTGTGCCAATACTCTTGAAGAGTGGAAGCAACGAGTGCCTGATGGACGACCACGGTCTTGTGGAATTCAACGCAAGTTCCATTGTGTCAAATTGTATGCAATCGGATATGACGGTATTTCTGACCGCTTGCATGGCTCGCTTTGAAGCGCACAAGTTCCTAAATAGCGCTTGTGCTCCTTTCAGATGGATGTGGCTTTTGTCCGACCCTGATCGCATGAGCTCGAAATGAACGAACAGTAGAATGCAGATCGAGATGATAGTATCATTATCGTTTCCGGTTCGGATCGCCTGTGCTAGAAGGCGGAGTGCTTTCTGTTTCGCTGCTACTGAATTGCGGTGGGTGTGTTGCAAAGGATGCCACAGCGCACGGTCTGAGTAATGCTGCTTCCCGGGCTCCAGGCAGGACTCTGAACACTTTGGCCAATGACCAGACTCAATTCCAGTTGGACGATACATGCGACACGCATATCGTGCTGCGATAGCGATAATAATCTGCCAAAGAAGCTCGTGGTGCTCAGCACATGGAACGAGACTTTGGAAGGGATTCTCTCCTGGCATGTCGTACACGACAAGGCTTTGATTGATGTCGGTGCCGAAGCAGTATAAGTAATACCGACTGGTATTATTCTAGCCCTGAAAATGCGGATCAGTCAGCCCCGCATGGAGCGAGTCGTACATCAGACGCTTCTCCACAGCCTGTATTTGGTTCCTCAGAAAGAAGTCGTTGGACGCTGTGTCATTGGAGGTATTCGCAACTTTGAACGGAGCCTGCGGTAGTGCACCTGGATAAGAGGCGTGCAGGTCTGGCTCAGGTTCAGCTAAAGACGGCCTCGATACTGGTGCGGCGAGGAACGTTTTCCCCATCATCTTTCCACGACTGGCAACTCCAAGGTTCCACAAGAAAAGTTTCTGGTAGCCAAGACACTCATGGTGGCTTACTTCGCACTTTTTGCAGAAAGGTAGTGATTGGTCGCATTTCACCCGCCGTCGACGGCAAGTGTGACATGGCTGAGCAGCTTTCTCCATTAGAAGAGTTTCGCTACTAAAGTAGTCAGTTTTGGGCCATCCAGCGTGCTGAGGGGATTCTGCTCAGAGCACCAAACCTCAAAATCAGTCAGCTATGGTAGGCCTTATTACCGAGAGTTTATTTCAAAGGCTTGTGAAGGCAGCCTATTAGAGGGGAAACCTTGTCTCTGTTCAGGTATGCTGACGCAGCTTTCCTGCATGTACCCGAGGCTAAAATTTTACTATTTAACAAGACTATAGCGCCGGTAGGCCTTGCGAAGCTGCATGAGCCTCAGCTGTATTTTTCAGAGTCTGAGAGGCTTGAGCTACTGCGTGCCCAGAGGGCGGCATACCTCAGCCGGTAAGCGTGGAATATCGCGAAATCCGTCTATTGGAACGAGGATGCAGAGGCCGAGCAGCGTGATGGCGCAGAGAGCATGACGGATGCCGTTCGTTGGAAGTGGTGTGGAGGAGCGATGCTTCAAGCGTGAACTATAGCTCCCATTACGGTACCGACCTTGGCCACTGGATGGGCCACCCAACCACATTAGATGATTACAAAGATGAGGCTGCGCAACCACATACAATAGTTATTATCACAAGAAAAGTTGGTGGTTTAGTAAATAGATGCTTGTGCACAATTTGTACTATCTAAATTTTGCTGGAAGGTTGATGCTGCGTCCCGTGTTGTTGTGTGTGTCAGAGGAGGCGAGGGCGGCAATGCAGCTGCACCTCCACTTGCACCACCCACTGCACCACCAGCACAATGAGATTTTTTGCTGACGCTTTGTGAGGTTGTTGGGAGAGCTCTCTTCAGTGGTCCTACTAATTTTCTTGTGGTTGCAGCGTCTTTTTCCTGCTGCTTTTGCACCTGGGCTGCCTTGCGTTCCCACGCCTTTGCTTCCGCGTCCTTTTTGCGCGCCTCTGCAGCACTTTCTTGCAGCTCCTTTGCTGCTTGCTGTTGTTTCTTTTTATACAATGCAGCAGCCTTCTTTAAGTCCTTCTCATCCAATTTTCTAAGCTTTTCTTGCTCTTTTTCACGTTGGAATACCTCATCCCAAACCCGAGCTTTGCGCAAGCTCCTAGGCAACCACCACACAGCACCACTGTCATACTCCTGGCGCTGAACAAGAGGCAGAAGATGGTTCTCCTTAGCGTGCTTTTGTTTGATAGAAAGAGCCTCCTTCATAGCATTATTTTGGTGGTGAAGAAGTTCATTTTGTACCTGGAGCGAGTGCAGTGCTTCATACAACCGCACTGCTGAAACTTTTGATGTATCCTTCATAGCAAGATGGTATAACTTACAGAGCTGAGTCTAACTACCTCTGTCTCCAACGTCCGTGAGTTTTGGGACCCCATCTTGAGGGGAAGGTGGTGAAATGAACCAGTTCAGGACTGGTGACGCATCAGGAGGGGAGATTGTAATGCCTACAACCGAAAGCACCCCGATAGTGGTGTGATTCCTACAGGTTGCCGCACACCGCTCCTTTTCGGTTGCAAACTGCATCCTTGTCACCTGGACAAGGGTAGTTCCGATTCCCCTCTGAACTGTGTACTTAATCAGTTTGGCACAGTCGTTAGATAGAGTAGTTTTTCTGTATCCTTTTGTACAAGACCTATAGGTGTAGGGAATTCAATCCTAGTGTTCTCAACGTCCCAGCACTCCCATATGCCTCGCAGTGGACTCACACTTACTTCGGACATCTTCCCTACTGGCCTGCGTCGTTACAGAGATGCCTACAACTTCAAAACTTTTCAGGATGTTCTCAGGAATGAAGGAGGCATTGTAGGCATCCCAAAAGAGTGGGAAAAAGTCGCCTTTAGTAACAGGTACAAGGCCTTGAGTTTGGTGAAGGTAGGCTTCCAAATTTTGAGAATACTTCCCCAAGAATGGCAAGAACATCACCACATCAAGGGGTTACAAACTATGTGTTGAATGTGGTGGAAAGACAAGCAGAAAGATACAATTCAGCTCACAATAGTCCTTGAATTTCTGTGTGAGGTGGCTGCCATGGCCGTCAAGGATAAGAAGTCTCCAACCTTGACCAGCTTTCTCTTTTGTGACGCAATCAAATACTTGTTCAAGCCAGGAGAATGCGATGTTGTCGTTTGAACACCCAGTAGGTGTATTGCTGAAAAAAAACCTTGTGTTCTCCTGCCTTTATGTCCTCTACCCAGGCACTGCGAAGTCCCTGTTTTCCTGCAAAGATGACCGACGGCTCTAGTGAAGTACCATCCGCACAAATACATGCCAGGGCCGTTATAAACTCACAAGAGTCATCTTGAAGTGCTTCTCAAACTTCTCAGCGCTCCCATTTTGCCTTAGAAAAGACATGTTTTGATTTTGAGAGCACTCCAATGAGGAATCCCTTCTCATCCATATTGTAAATTTGGTTGGGAGACAAGTTGTATTTCAAGATTTTGGAATGTAGAAGTTAGAAATATAGTCGATATTTATCATATGAGTCAGCCTTGTGACAATTGCGGTCTATCCCTTTGACGTATTTGTTGGTAATGAGTCTGGAATTTTTCTTCAAGAACCTCCCAACCCACCTCTCAGAGACATCTTTCTTTGCAAGAAAAGAAGCAAAATTCTTGATTATTGCCCTTGTAGGTGAAAGCCCTTCTCCTGACAACTGCTCAATGTATTTGACAAGCTCCAACTCTTGTTCTGATGCGAGGTTGGCCCTTGCGGAGGCAGTCCCTGTATATGAGTCCGTTAAACCTTGGTGCTTGTGGTGTCCGGTGGCCAACCTCGGTAGCTGCCCTTAACTAGAAGCTTGGCTCCCCGTTGCGATAAGAACGACGGTCTACCCATCAACATCAAGCACGTTGAATACGAATTAACCTATTTGGTTGAATTGAAAATATTGCGTTACGAAGCACTTGCTGTTATTTCATGACCTAACTCTTCAGAATGAACCGCTCTTTGTAATGAAGTCCTTCCAGGTCGTGAGCTTGTCCTCAAGAATTTCATGGCTCTCCTTGAGATCTGCGCCATTGAAGTAACCCGGCTCCTCAATGAACAAGTGGTTCTCCAGAAACTCCTCTGCTACAGAAGGTGGCAGAAAGCCTTTGTACTGCTCAGCTGACAACTGCGTATAGATTGTCTTCTTGCCAGTAGCTGCCTCCAAGCCAGATCGGATTTGCTCGGGCGTGTAGTAATTCTCAGCACCGAGTATCTGTTTGCCGAGCGTCGCGTCACGGTTTTTGATGATGGCCTTGACAAATTTGCCTATCAAATAAAATGGTTGGTAAAAGTGCTCACATGGCTGATAGACCATTGACCTGACTTACCAGTGTCTTCGACAGTATCGGCAAGCGGGAACTTAGCGTCCTTGCTAACAGGGAATGCGAAAGACAAGGTACCGTCTTCGCCCTTCTGCACCGACTGAACAAAATTGCTCATGAAGTAACCGGGTAAGTAGAATGAAGCAGGAACGCCGCTCTCCCGGATATACTCCTCGATGTCCGCCTTTGCCTCGAAGTGAGGAACGTGCGAAAGGCGGCCATTCGTAAGCTTGCCGACGTGCAGCAGCGAAGAGAAGATCAAGTGCTGGACACCAAGCTCTTTCGCGGCATCTGCAACGTTCTTGCCCTGACCGAACTCGACGTCGTACTTGGCGCTTTCCCAGTAGTTAGTGACGAGGAAGACGGTGTCAGATCCCTGGAGGGCCTCAGTGACGGAGGACTTGTCGCTCAAATCGGCCTGCAGCTCGTTAACGTGCGTTTTCAGATTGTTGTGATGACACCCACGGTCCTCATCTCAACACCTTGCTTGGCCAAAGCTTGAGCTGCAGGCTTGGAAACGTCGCGAGTGATACCACGAATCTTGAAAGTCTTGGAGAGGGTCGAATCGGCGAGGAGGTGCTTGATGACTGAACCACCCTGGTTGCCAGTGGCACCAAAGACAGTGATAAGCTTAGACATGACCAAAGCGTTGTTTGAATGTTCTGGAGATGAGAGCTGCGAAGGATCGTTGTAATGAAATAGACGATTGAAAGTTGATGCACTGTTTGATGCTCTCAAAGCGAAGACATCTCATGTGGCTTTATACGCCATCGCAGAGCCATCTCTTTCAATGATGCTGACAGCGTCGGATCAATATTTCGCGCGTCGCCGATATGATATGTATGGTGTTGGTGCGAGAACCTTGCAGATTACAGCTATGGAAATTGTCACGTGCAAGCGTTGCTGCATGAACTAGCTCCTTGGTTTACCTTAGTATACTGCTGACAGACTTTCCGAAAATGGACCACCGAGTTCCCGCCCCTGCTGCGACTTGGTCATCGCACTCGCGCTCGGCCTAATGTTAGTAAAGACACTTCCAGTATATCCCTAGATTCGTCCGGAACACATAACGAAACTGTCGCCAGCGAGCAGCGCGATGGAGATGTGCAAACCGCGATGCAGTGTTTGACGTCCCACAATCTCGCGTCAGAATGGTGCACTCCCGCGACCCCGCTCTAGTCTGCAGGACCTGGCAAGGCTTATTGCGCATGTTTGTCAGACGCAGTTGATTGATTGGTTTAACGTCCTATCTGAGTCTAAGACTATGGAAGACGATGTCAGACGCATTACATTTGCTATGAGAACGCATTGGTTCAATTGAGCAAGTCGACCAACAGAACCTCGAGCCGCCTTGCCAGAACTATCAAGCACCACAAATGGAAGGTCCTAGCTGGTAGGATCATCTACCGGCTTCTCTCATGCGCTTACGCTGTAGGAGGGCCATTTTACATAGATCAAACGAAGTGTGCTTTCCGATATCTGGCCACGATTGTGATCCTGAGTTTTGTGTACACAATTTCCACACCGCAGCAATATGCTCAAAACACTGCATGACAGCCTCAGGCGTAGCTACGCAGCTCGACCAATGTCTTGAAAGAAGCACGGTGGATAACGATCCGGAATACATTGACAGATAACAGCCGTATGTTAATCAAGATCTTTGTGGGAGAAATGCAAGGTCGCAACTGTCAATGTGATGATTGCGCACCAAAGCGTGTTCTTATACTGCTCTCTCGGCCAGAAAGAACTTCGATGTGCTTCGCAGTCATCTCCCATCGACTCCTTGTCATCTTGCAAATATTGCCTCGGGCAGAATTGCTAGTGATGGCTCACAGTTTGTCATTTTATACCTTCTGCAAACATCAAGAGGACTTGCCTCGCAAGACCAGGTTTTTTATAATTGCTGCGTTCCTGAGAACCCAGCTCCTGGGTCTGCGAGCGGAGCATCCATCTCAAATTGCAGTGGAATCATAGGAGGCAGCATTGGAATCCTAGGTGCTGCTACCGATTGAGGGACCTAAGACTTTTTGCGTCGGCGTGCCAATAGACTCTCATGACAGCTCATGCAGAAATGCCCTGCGATGTGCGAGTGTAGCGAAGATTTTCTATCTTACGTTCAGAGTTTCGGCATGTAAAACAGTGTGCACAATAGGCCTGATTGCCAGTCAAAATAGCCAGATCTTCAATCTTATTGACGCAATGACTGCAGCTGTATGTACAGTTGTTACAGACCAAGGAACTGTCCCCCAGGAGCAACAGATTCGCGTCTGACTCAAGTAGGGTAGCGCAAGTGTTGCAGCGGAAACAGTCAATATGCCACCGATGGCCAGCTATCGGGCGCATTAGTCACTACGAAGCACATGCTCGACTTTGACTGACCCAGTTCAAAGGCTTGACGTGGCTGCTTGAGAAGACCGTTTTAGTTAACTAGTCTGTGGCAGTCACCCAATGCCAAGAACCGACTCCCTCGCGTTGAGTGTTGGCGTGACCTCTGAGTGTGTAGTACCAGTGGGCGCTGACGAGGAAATTGTATGTGGCGGCCAATTAGCAGACAGAGAAGACAATGATGTTGCGGCAGTTGCACCTTCAATTTTTTAATCTGTGTCAAGGTTCTTGGGGAACGGAAGCTGAGGATCATTTCTCATCAGGGTTAGAGAGCTGTCTAAGGCCTGTGAATTGCTCGCTGAGTCCCAAGCAGAGAGAACTGGTAATGCCGGGACAGAGACGCCTTTGTGCTGTCCAAGCCTTTCCTTGTGTGGAATGGGAGCTACTGGCATAAGGCTCTTGTGTTTGTTTGTTGTACTGGTGCTTCCTTCTGGTGGCTGACCGTCTGATGGCTGAGAGATTGCGACTCAGATGGCTCGAACAAAACCTGAATTGCTGGCAGAGAGTTCTGGAGATTCAGTAGCTGCGACTTTCCTTGCTGACCGAAGGCACAGTCGTTGGAATTAGTAATGTCGCTAGGGTACAGCGGCAAAGAGAACACAGATATCACTGAAAAGGTCAGACTGTCAAGGGTAAGACCAGAGAAGATTGACCAGGAGGTCGTTTGGACAGCAGAGCTGATGATCGAGTGGCCACAGCCCTCTTTCTGTGTCATATGGTAGATGCGGGACATCTTGAGGTCTTCATGGAAGGTGAACCGGATGGCTTCTTCCACAGATGTAGGATGGTAGTCTGAGGGCCGGTTCGTCCGTATGATCTGGTTATCGTCCTCTAGGTTCGACACCGTGTCTTTGAGTCTGCCAGAAAGTAGGCTTTCCACTTCAAGGCGCGTTTCTGACTTCATAAATCTCTGGAATAGGAATTGGTTGATCTGTAAGATTTGGTCTACCTTGACCGCAAGAGCAAGCTGCAAACGGTCGATGATCTTAAAGCATTCATCCTCTGCTTGCGTCCATCCAAGCCGGGCTTTCAGAGTGACACCTTGCTCTTTCTTAGCGATGAATGGAGTGATGGTTGCTTCCAATTCAGAGTAAGTAAGCACAGTGTCCGCGACGGTATCAGCAAGGTCCTCGAATTGAATCAAAGCGGTTCGTTGGTTTGACAAAAATGCGACGGTTGTTAGAAGGACTTGGAGTGATGCAAGAGCCAATTGAGTATCCCTGATCTCGGTACTGATGGTGATGAGGACATCAGGGGCGTCTTTCGCCGTGGTGAAGTATGCATGGAGGTATTCGTAAAGCCTGCTGGAGACACCAAGAAGGCCGCCGATCGCTGCAGTAATACTCAAAGGCTCCATATTTGCCGAAAGCACGGAGAAGACAGGTTTGTGAGGATCATCAAGATGAAAAAATTGTGCATCTGCGCGGCTGCCATCTGCAACTCATACATCTAGTTCCAGCCCTAGAGCGCCCAGCCTCCAAACCAGAAAGGGGTTGGAAATATTAGCACCAGGCAAGCTAAAGCCATTTTGCCTGTTTGTGAGTTTCGCAACCAATAATCATCTTGAAAGCTGCAAGTCAGCATGCTGTGGCCAACGCCACGTTTGCGGGCGCTTCAGGCCAGAGCTTCGGAGAGTGTCAGTCCCACAGCCGCCCTCGCAGCCGGGCCAACTCCCATGCACCTTAGGTCCAGGGAAATAACATCGTGGTCAAAGAAGCAGCAAAGTGATACGTCGTATGATATTTCGTCATTTGCAGCACTTCTTGTTGCAGTCAAGGGTGAGTGTATTGTGACGAGGTTGTGTGGCGCGGCAGAAACTCGCGTCGCGTCCGTGACGGAAGGCGCAGAAACGTGCGCTCCGCACACCCTTCTGTCATCGCGGTGTGCTTTCGTTAATCAGCCAATCAATAATTGAGCCATCACGCTTGCTATTCGTAAGAGATTGATTGATTGGTTTAACGTCTTATGTGAGTCTGAGACTATGGAAGACGAGAGGAGCAGTAGCTCCTTTGGTAATGCAAAATTTAGTTACAGGAGGTTGAGTTCAATGAGAGTACAAGGGATGGTGAGGGCTTGTGCCCTGACGGACCACTAATCGCAAGAGACTTACAGACGTGCATGGCAGTGCCTAATAAATTACACCCCTGTGATAGAGCCCTACGGAGACAGTCAGCAAAACAGCAGAGGCCTCACTAGAACAACCATGAAGAAAACCGGATTGGCACGTCCGAGTGATATAGCATTTGACCATTCTAGGAAGACAAGCACGTTGAGTCAACTCAAACTCCCACTAACACTCTTCACCTCCTCCAACGCGTTCAACCTCCCCTCAAAAGCCCCCTTGATCAGTCCAAAAGCATTCATACTCAACGGCAAATGCAGCGGCACGTTCTCCCCCTTATTTGCGACGTCATACAAAACCCTCGCAACATCTTCCGGCTCCATACCAACACCCTGTTTCAAACCGGCATCGACATACCTCTGCAGAATCCTAGCAGGCATCTTCGGATTCGCATACGCCGGATGCGGACTCGTGTTCTTCTTACTATGCCCCTCAAAATTCGTCTTCACAGCTGCAGGCTCAACAATGCAAAACGAAATACCCCAATCCTGACTCACTTCTTTGGCGAGAGACTCCGTCCAGCCTTCGACTGCGTGTTTGGACGCATGGTAAAATGCGTGACCCGGGAAGGCGCAGACGCCAGCAACGGAGGAGATGTTCATAACCAACCCACCTCTGCCTGCTTCGCGCATGTGCGGGAGAACGGCGAGTGTGGTTCTTACTGTGCCGAAGAAGTTGGTTTCCATGATCTCGTGCGATTCGGCTTCGGTTGCGGACTCGGTGTCGCCAGAGAGCGCGTAGCCTGCGCAGTTAATGAGCACATCGATGGTGCCGAATCGCTCGATGGAGGTTTTGAAGACGCAGCTGATGGCGTTGGGAGATGTGACGTCGAGTGCGAGCTTCAGGATGTTGGTGTTGTTGTCGGGGAGGTAGGACAGGTCATTGGGGTTCCTGGCCGTTGCGATGAGACGGTGAGAGGGTTTGCTCGCAATGTGTTGGGCAAAGGCTTTGCCTATGCCGCTTGAGCAACTGGTGATGAACCATGTTGTATCGGCGGGGAGGTTGTAGGGCTTGGTGTTGGCCGCGAACATCTCGCCTGTTGGACTAGTGGCTATGATTCTGAGTGAGTCTGAGATCGCTTGTTCGTGGAATTCCATGTGTATAGGAGGAGGCACTTTAAATGCGCTGCTGACATGCAGCAGCTACATTCAGATTTTCCAGATGGGGAAGGCCATCGTTGTTGACAACGGAAGTGCGTAGCTGGGAGACACTGCAACTGGCAGTAATGAGCAACAGCCCTACAATCGTGCAGAAAAAGGGCTAAAGGGCTGTTAGCTGAAGCTTATCAAAGCTTGTGATTGGAGCATCACCGTTGTTAGTGGCCTTAAAAGTGCCAATGCTGACTCATTGCTGCATGGAGAGTTGCGGGGTCAATCGCCGTTTTGCGAACACCTGCATGTCAGTTGGAACGTTAAATGTGACTTGGCTTTACTGGTTGCTTGTAGTAGATGCGGTGAATATCAAGTTGCATGCTATGATACTGTCAAAGGTACAAACAGTATTCGCTTGTCTCGCCACCTAATGTATGGCCATCAAAAGTCGTGAAGGTGGTCGTGAAATCTGTCGTAAACGTCGTGTCTCGTCCATCGTACAGCGGTCGTTTCTCATAGTACGTTACGGCTCCTGGATATCAATGATTGTGTCCTTCGTCGTTCTCCCACTGTTCCTTGTGTCGCTGTCGACCTCAGTCAAGGTACCCATCCTTGTCAAACCGCTCTGTCGCCCTTCGCCCATCCTCGCTACCATGGCTTGGATATGAGGATGGCTCGGTGGCGGTCTATGCATACTTCGTCTGGGAAGAGGCTCCCTGTCCCTTATTCTCATGCGCATGCCTTCTTCCGTGGACATGCTCCGGTTCTTTCTCGTTTGCCCTGTATACTCTGTCTCTGCCTCTTCCTCAACTTTTGGCTTTGGGCGTAACCAGCGCCAGAACTGCCGGGTCTTGGTTGCCCAGACGTGGTAGCCGTACTTGGTCGAGAGGAAGCCAATGATACTGAAGAAGGGGATACAGATCGCGACAAGTGTGATAGCGAACGGCCAGTACGGTGCGGGCTCAGTGGGCATGTTCGTCATGCCGAAGATGGACGTGACGAACGTGAGAGGCTGTTGTGCTGTTAGCTTGGTTTTATGGACATAGGCATGGGTATATTGAGGGACTTGCCATGAAGAACAGGTTGACGATCGTAAGTACTTTGATGTTGTATCCTTGATGTACTGTCACATCAGCCAGCTCGACCGACTTCCTAGACTCCTGGATGCTGGTGCCGGAGAAAAGCTGCTCTTGCAAAGTCTCGATCTCGTGGCGTCTCTCATTGTTTTCGCGTTGCAAGATGCGGAGCTCCTTCATCTCGCGCTCGAATTGCAGTCTCAACAGTCGGAGTCTGCGTTTCCAGTGGTCGTTGCGTGGTGACTCTTCGTACAGTGGCCAGAGTGTGTTGCTTTCTCCTTCCCATACATCCTCTGTGAAAGTGTCTTCGAATGCATCAATCATGGCTTTGATACTGTCATTCACGTTTCCCAGCGCCTGATGCGCGTAGAAGTAGCGGCGTGTCCACGTGAAGTTCTTGTCTTCGAACAGTCGCTTCCTGCGGGCATCTTCGTCAAACAAGAAGCCAAGGGGTGGAGTGACTAGTTCTGTAATCTGTTTGTAGATCTCGTCGTAGCGCTTCCTCGCATCTCGGTACTCTGTGAGTAGTGCATGCAGAAAGGCTTCTGGACCATTGAGATATCGATGACCAGTCTCGAACGTGTACGGGTTTCCGTTGATGGGTGTCGACTTCCAATCTGGGAAGCATTCCAGCTGAAGCACCTGCCATGGCGACCACATGTCGTGCACCCAGCCGTAATTGGTCTTCGATCGTCTTGCTCTGTTTCTGACCCTCCGGGGGTTCTCATCAAACAGCGCTAGGGCAACAACGGCACCGCAACGACTCAAGGGTATGTGACTGTCAGAGGAGCTGGTGACTCTGTCGGCCCTCTGCCATTGCATTGGCTTGCAGTCATCTCCAATAATAGTGTAGTATTCAAAAGTGAAGAAGAAGGTCCGCTGATGGCGTGGGTCTTCCGTAAAGGCACGGAACATATGTGATGAAGATGCTTCGGTGCGGACAAGATGCCTGAACAGCTCATCCATGTCGAAGGCATTATCCAACGTCAAGTGCAACGCACCGAACAAGATCGGCGAGGGCTCTCTTGCAACACTGGTGATTGTCAGTAGTGACCTTGACGCACACCGAAATACATACGTGATGCGACCTGAAGTCGTCTTGTCATTGTTCTTTCCTATGTCCTGTAATCGTAAGCTGACGTACTCGGTCTCACGACGAACAAGCATACCCTGATAGAGTGCCAGATCTCTGTAGCTTTGGACATCGTATTGTCCGCCGAGCTGACTTCCACAAGTTCAGGGAGTCCATCTGGCCCAACATTGTAGACTCTGGAGAAAGTCAATCGAAGCTCGCAGTATGTCTAATATCACATACTGGAAATGGGAGTAATGGCTGCGGTCCTCGGCAGGTCCTGGTCCTAGATGGAACAGATGTGGTTGTTTGGACAGTTTTGCAGGGTCAGAAATCAGGGATGCTAGAATCTCTCTGCCGTGATCATCCCAGTTGTGGGTCTTCAGATGCTCGCGTAGATGTTCATGGCCAAAGGACTGGGATGGCAGCTCAGATTGCACAAAGAAATCGTCCTCATCGTCGCTGCTATCGTCAGATAGCGTGGATGTGTCGGCGAAGACGGCATCTCCTCGCTGGGTTGCGTTCCGACGTAGCCGTGGTACATCTGAGGGTCCAAAGCTTCCGTTCGAAGCGGACAAGCTTTTTAGTAAGGTGTCGTGTGAGCGCTGAAGCGTCTCTAGTTGCTTGCGAAGCTCATCAAGCTCCCGCGTAGCCATATGCTAGTGCGACACCCTCTTCCGCCGAGCGCGATTCGAGTTGGAAGGCCGACCAACAGCAGAAATGAGGTTGATTCTTTGAAATTTGACCCCCGGCCCGCACACTTTAGCTCCGTAGGTTGCCCAGCCTCGCTATGAATGAGATTCTGACTTCCCGTCCAATGCCCATCGAAGCCAAGACGTGATTGTGGGGCATTCAGTGAAGGATCGGGGAGCAGGCAACGCTCCGCGCGCCGGTGAGTGACGTCTATTCATCAGGCTCACCGCTATTTCCGATTGGACATGGCGTGCTCTTCAGCGGCTGTGAGGAGCTGTAAATGCGTGTGGCCGCGGGCAAACATTTCGCATGTTTAAGGAAGCTCTCGAACAAACTCAAGGCGCTCCTAACATGTTGTGCGCACAGATATGTGCATGCATGAGGCACGCTGTGATTACGAGGCTGCAGGGTGATCAATGCGGCAACACATCCGGACCGAGCTGACGAGCTTACATAATGGCGCTAGCTCCGCGTCTCGTGAACGATCCGGAAAGAGCACAGCCCTAAAGCGCTATCACAACGAACGTGCGTTCACTCATCTCTGTTCAGGAATTCAGTAATGATGCAGCGGGAAGAGATGGAGGGTCGTGGGGCGGCGCGACAATGGCTGCGAGGGACACTAGTACTCGTCAGCACATGATTGGTTCAGGGCGGATGTCCCACCGATAGGCGATATCGAAATTCCACGAAGTCTATCACACCCATATCTCTATTGTGCCTCTACAGTGCTGAAACCATCATGCCGGCACATACGATCCTGTTCTGGGTGACATTGCCCGTCCTTCTGGGCGTCATACTTTACCAGATCGGTCTTCAGACCCTCCTCCCAGCCTCGATACACGAATACGCTGGGTTTAAGGTATTCCGCAGTCTCTTCGAGGACACGCACTGCTACACTTCTGTCACAACGCTTTCATCTGGCCTGCCCAACGCTGAGTGCTTCAGCGTCTCGAACGGAAGGTTCTCGAGGGTATTCGAGTATGACCTCATTAAGCAAGATTCGTCCTTCGATGCCGTCAAAGACGCACGTGCTGGACATGTGTACCCTGGTCTGTGGGATGGTCACGGCCATCTGGTCCAATATGGAGAACTACTCAATTCCGTGAACCTCTTCGGTTCTGAGTCCATGGCCGAGGTCCAAGATCGGCTTGTACAGTACAAGGCAGATCATCCGGAGGAAGGTACAAACCAGCATTGGATGAGGGGTGTTGGTTGGGACCAGGCCAAATTCAATAGCAACTGGCCGACTACCGTGAGTATTAGTCAAATTTCATGAGAATGTCAAACGTCTGACATGTTTAAAGTCTGATCTCGAGATCAACGAAGCTTTCAAGGGCCAGTATGTCATGCTCGACAGGGTTGATGGTGAGTTGCAAAAAAGGTACGCTGTGAGAGATGACCTGACAGCTTTAGTGCACTGTATCTGGGTCTCTGACAAGGTCCTTGATCTTCTTCCTTCGCCCCTACCTGAGGTGCCAGCTGGAGGTGAGATTGTAGCCAAGGGTGTCTTCTGCGACAATGCGATGGAGATGGTTCTGGAACACTACCCTAAACCTGGTAAAGATCGTAAAACGAAGTTCGTCAAGGATGCCATGGACGAGCTTAACAAGTTGGGCATCGTTGGAATGCACGACGCCGGTGTGGTTCCTAGCGAGCTGATGCTCTACGAGGAGCTCTCGGATGACAAAGACTGGACTGTCAGGGTCAATGCAATGATTGAGTGCGACGCTCGCAACACTTTCTGCCCGCACGATGTCAAGAAATTCAGCACGCCAAACGGCAAGTTCCACGTTCGCAGCGTCAAGTTATTTGGCGGTATGTATATTTCAAGCTCCTTTGCCCTTAATGACAAGCTGACACGACTCAGATGGGGCTCTAGGTAGCTGGGGCAGCGCTATGATCGATCCTTATAGCGACAAAGAGACTTCAACTGGTTCTCTGCTGGTGAACGCAACCGTTCTTTCGTCGCTGACTCACAACTGGGCGGCTGAAGGATATCAAGTGAATATCCATGCCATCGGTGATCACGCAAACCGACTCGCCGTCGACGCGTTTGAGATTACACTGAAGCTCCAGTGCCCTGAAATCACAAAGCTCAAGCGGTGTCAGCAGGAAAAATTCCGCTTCCGTATTGAGCATGCACAGATCATCCATCCAGATGATCAGCGTCGTATGTTCGAACTTGGGATCATCCCTTCTATTCAGCCTACGCACGCTACCTCGGACATGGGATATGCGGAGTCAAGGCTCGGCAAGCAGCGAACGGCAGACGAAGCTTACAGGATGCGCTCGCTCCTGCCTCTCGGCCCAGTCCTTGGTAGCGACTTTCCGGTCGAGCCGGCCAACATCTTTGAAGGCATGTACGCGGCAACCACTCGGCGTAGCCCGCGGACAGGTCTCGACCTCAGCGGTGGCAAGATTGGCTGGTATCCCGAGGAGACACTTACCGTCGAGGACGCATTGAAGGGTTTTACTACCAATCCCGCATACGGCGCGTTCCTAGATGGCAAAGCTGGTGTCATACAGGAGGGGGCGTGGGCAGACTGGATCGTGCTTGACGAGCCATTGGAAGGCTTGGACCTGGAGGATCTTCGTAAGGTCACTGTACGGGAGACGTGGGTGGGCGGCGAACTGGTTTACCAACGCCCTGGTCACTGAACGTGCCGACTTCGTCTTTCATGCACGACTTCCAGAACGCGTGTTACATCTCGACGCGCTGCAGGTGCCTGTCATACCTGTGACGATCAAAAGCAAGACTACTACGGTCACATATGGTAAGCTAGGGTGTACTCGGCCGTAGGACCCTGGACGCCGTGTCAGATTCTTCACCTTACTGCATACAAGTTGACCTCACTACCTTCCTGATTGCTTGTTTCTTTGTGTAACTCCCGCTCGTCAAAGATTTGTGTGATAGACGTGGGGGGCCATCACGGTGCTCACTAGAATTCCAACCAGGTCTCTTCAATCACCTCTCGGTTCCTTTTTGCTTCCTGTCATTGTACACTACAAGGGTTTACCCGCAGTAGCAAGCTTCACTGCCCCCGTGAGGGGCATTACTCCACACTTGCGCGTGCGTATAAAACTCTTCAGGATGGTGGTGACGGGTGGCTCTTCTTGTGCGTTGTCTTACCTTCAAATGCCCAGGTTGCGCCCGACTCTTACTCCTTTTTCTGGCATCAGCAAACATAAGTACAATGGAATATACGATGCGTAATGTTCTGGAGAGCGAGAAGACGAAGTCCGACAAGCACATGACCCCAGCTTCGACATTACAAACCCCTCCCAAAACCGCGACTCCCAACGCAATATCGGCGCAAACACTTGCAACAGAGATTCGAGACATCTATCGCGTCTTATCTGAGCTTCCGGACCTCGCTCCAGAAGACAAAGTGAACGCACTGCTCACTCGGCTCGTCAGTTTGTGTATTGTACCATACAGCCATGAGTGCGTTAGCTACTTCTTCGGCATCCAAGGCATACGCACATTATGTGAACAGCTACGTCCACTCTGTACTACAGCGGAAGGGGAACTTGAACGATTCTGGGCAAAGAAGATCATCGATGAATCGTTAAGGTCCCAAGGTACGTCTCAAGCCACGAATCTCTACCCTACAGACAAAACACCGCAGATCCCGAAACACAGACCTGACACACTTCCAGCCTCACCAACCCAAGCCCGCACCCTCCTAACCACCTTCCCCTACCACCAAAACTACATCGACCTCTCCCGCATCGAATGCAGCACCCTCTCTGCCTTCCTCTTCACCCCAACGACCCCTCAAAACATCGCATTCATCGGCTCCGGACCGCTCCCCCTCACATCGCTATGCATACTCGACATCTACCCCTCCACGCATGTGCACAACATCGATCGCGACACCTCAGCTCTTTCGATCAGCCGGCAATTGTGCGAGAAGTTGGGATATGCGGAGAGAATGAGCTTTGCGTGTGCGGATGTTAGTGTTGAGGAGAGCGACGTGGGGGAAGGGGTGAAGTGGGAGGACTTTGATGTTGTTTTCCTAGCTGCGCTGGTGGGTATAGATACGCCGTCCAAGCTATCGATCCTTGAGAGTTTGGTAAAGAAGTTGAGACCGGGTGCGTTGGTGGTGGCGAGGAGTGCGAAGGGATTGCGAGGTGTTTTGTATCCGGTAGGTTGATTTGGCAGGGTCTGTGTATATTGCATAGGCGATGCTAACGATTGCTAGATTCTTGAGCTGGGTGATGATATGGAGAGGGTGGGGTTGGAGATGCTGATTGAGGTGCATCCATGGACTAAGGTGGTGAACTCGGTTATTCTGTTGAGGGTTAAGGAGCGATAGGCAGTCTAGGAATGGGTAGCGAGAGAAGCTTTGTGAGTGATGAGTGGTGGACGAAATATTCCGAAGAGTTCGTTGATCTATAATGACACTGTCACAGCGGGAAGATAGAAGGATGCCAGACCATAGCTGACAACAGGTCTTCATTCGAACCAGCCACTCGTATTTAAAGGCATGAAGTCCAGATTTGTGATTACACCTCTTGGTGGGCTTGGGGCATTGTATTGATGTCCGGTATGTAAAACTTCTCCGTATTGTACTGTCAGTGTGTGATTGTTGTAACCATGCAAGTCGAATGCACCATGGCCCCAAGCACTGTATGCCCTACATTCGATGTTCGTGTCTTGGGGTCCTGGTTGTATTGTTGCCTGGTCGCTGCTATAGTCGAATTTCGTTGACCAAAGGGAGGCCTGGTCTGACAATGGTATTTTCGCAAGTTGATCGAGCTTGCATGGACGTTTACGATTTGTGACCGAACCAGTGGAATATTGCCTAGCCGATTCCGCTCTTAAATATACCGGTGCGATAAAACTATTTTGTCCCATCCTCTTGCTCATGTGTCCGCTCTCGTAGTCGACATCAAATAGCACCGACGATCTCTTGTTGATATTTGGGGTCTGATGTTCATCCTTGATCTGGTCATCTGAGCTATATGGTAATGATGCTGTGTGATCGTCTGAAATGGAGCTTTCCTGAGGTGTGGATGAGTACAAAGACGTGTTATCAACAGTGGATGTATCCTTGCTTCGGCGAGAACGATGGCGCGTCTCTGGTGGGTGGTTGGCAGGCGGAACTGTCAAACCTTGGTCTTCAAGCAGGCGCTCAAGCAACGCTACTCTTTCCACTAACGAGTATACATATGCACGTGAGATGGGCCTGAAAGGTCGTGAGTAACGATCGGGGACGGTTGTCACTGGCTTCGACTGACCTCCGTCTTTCATCGTCATCTTTGATGATGCAGGAAGTACTCGAGCGCTCGCATTGTATACATGCTTTCTTGCCTGAAGGCACAACACACTTCGCATGAGTCAGCGAGCGGAATTAGACGCACGAGGAACGGGCATACACGTATACGTCGGTCCCGACACGATGTACATGCGACTGATGCTCTCCGACGCCGCGTCTTTGCGCTTGACTTTATTTGCGACTCATCTGAGGAAGTTTGCTCTTCCTTGATCTGCGTTGCAGGCCTCGTGTCAAGACTGTCTTGCTTCTTGTATGCATCCATGGCTGAAGAGTTTCTTCGTAGGCTTTCGTTGGGCATATTGATGAGTCGAGAGCTGAGTCTAGTCTGAGCAAAATAGCAGCACCTGTCTGCAACGAAGAGTTCAAGAAACGTAGAAGAAGCCGCGGCCGCAGGTAGCAGACGTATGGGTTTATAAGAACCTCCGAACTGCGTGAAGCCAAGCTTTGATCTGGTCAGACACTTGCATACGCTACATGTGGGCACAAGAGTGGGTGGAAATTGTGGAGGTGGGGCCTTTGTCCCCAGACTATCGACGCACGTGCAGATTCAGGATTCGATATCTCGTTTGAGGTAGAGAAGGTCACACACTCTTGAAGCCGTTGGAACTTATCAGCACGGAGAAAGCAGCTGTGAGTCTATACTGTGGACAGGAGTACACACGCCCCACAGTCGAAATAAACCTTCACCCAGTTCTCAAGCTTTTAAGCTTTGAAGTGAGCACAGTGTTCGGCAGAGAATCCGCGCTTGACGTAACGAAGGATTGGAAAAGTTCCGGTTGGAACCCTAGTTCAACATCTCGTCGCATCGAGAGCCGAAGATGTCGTCGTCAGAGCCGACGGTAGCTGTGCTTCAGCGGCTCGGAAAGCAGCTGAGCACCCCGAGTCCAATCGTGAAGCCTTTGAACCATGTGGCGTGCATGCTCGTGGTCATGTTTCTGTGGCTTAACAGCTGCTGACGGTCTCGCACGATTCATGTCGGAAGCAATGCGGATGTTGCAGGTCGACGAAGCGATGAGGCCATCCGCCAAACAGCGCTACCCGACGCTAGAGCGAAACGGATAGCCGAGAATAGGAGCCGTTCATTCACCAGCCACTCAATACCAATAAGCGATGTAACGGCAGTTTGACAGTAGGGCGTACGTTACAAAGGTCGACGGTTCGGTTTTAAACTTCTGTAAAGTTCTCAGCACAGAGGCAGGTAGTCTGTCGACGGCGTTCATCGGCAAACTATGGAGGCGAGGACAGCATTTCAGAGCATAAGAATGTGAGCGTTGAATGTGATCATTGTCACTGACAGACGGTTAGCTAACGGTGATCAAGTGAACCTAGCGCTTTACATGCCCTCCTTCTCCTTGACAGCTTCGCCCATGGCCTGTGTATCGGTCTGGTATGTTTTGAACTTCCTCGCAGGTACGTTCTTCATGAACATCTCGTCGAGTTCCTCATATGTACGGCCAGCAGTAGATCAGGATCATGCTGATCGCACCCTTCAGCGCAGAGACTGTTCCGGCAACAGCACAGACAGCCATAACGAACAAGGTGACGGTGAGTACAACGAGTCCCCAGATTGTAGGGTTGCGACGTCCGACACGGTCAACGAGGTACCAGGACATGACGTTGCCGATGAGGGACAGGACCTGCTGGACGATCTGAAGCTTGAAAGACATCTCAGTAGAGAAGCCAACGAGCCGCATATAGTAGGTGAAGTAAAGGCAACACCGCTAAGCGCTTGTATAGAGAGTGGCATGATGGAGATGATGGTTCGTCGCAAGTTCGACTTGCGGAAGCTCTCCAGATAAGTGACATCTTCAGTCTCCTTTCTAACCCGCTCGAGGGTGTTGTTGGTGTTCGCAAGTCTCCTCTCGCCGGCCTGACCCTTGTAGCCAAGTCCGGCAAGTGCCTTCAGCGCTGCTTCCTGACGATCCTTGGACACCAGCCAAGTTGGTGATTCAGGCATTAAAGGCACGAGGATTGCAGCGACAGCAGCGAAGCTGAACTGTGCGCAAAAGACTGCGTGGTATGACCATCGGTTGGTGTACAAACCAGTTGTGTTGACGATCAGAGCAACTGTAAGTGGGCCCAAGGTATAGGCAAGCGCAGTCAAGCAGGTAAGCATGCCTCGCAACGCGAATGGAGCAACCTCGCGGATACAGTGACCGTGCACGGGCTGCACGCGTCCACTCGGTGCACGCGAACACCATACCATCCCAAAATCCTCAACACCATAACTTTTGCAAATCATGTCCGTTTTTGATGCCCTTGAAACTGCACGTGCAGAGAGGCCCGGCGAAGATATCTGCTACCAGAAATTAGCTGACAAGCTTGGTGTGTCGCGCTCAACAGTGTCGCGCAATGACAGAGGTGTGACCTTGCCGCGTGCAATTGCCAACAAAGAACGCCGCAAACTCAGTCCACAACAAGAGCGTGAGCTTTGTGAGTATATAGAAGAGCTTACAGCGCGTCATCTACCTCCTACAAGGCAGATGGTACAAAATTTCGCCAGCGAAATGGCTCACAAGTCCGTCTCTGATAGCTGGGTTACCCGCTTCATCAACCAACACTCTGACACGCTCCTATACAAATGGGCCTCTGCCATGGACAAACAACGTCATCTCGCTGATTCCGCCCAGAAGTACGACCTCTATTTTGACCTCTTGTACCGCACAATTCACAAATACTCAATCAAGCCGCGTCATACGTACAATATGGACGAGAAGGGCTTTGCGATCGGTGTACTGTCTAAGAGCAAGAGGATCTTCACAAAGTTTGCGTATGAGCTGCAAAAGAACAGGCAAACACTTCAAGATGGAAACAGAGAGTGGGTGACGTTATTGGCAGGCGTGTGTGCTGACGGCAGCGTCCTGCCGCCAGGCCTCATATTTTCTGGCAAGAACAACACCATACAAAGCGACTGGGTGGAGGATATTGAGCCAGGAAAACACTCAGTGTTTGTTACTGCAACACCCTCAGGCTGGACAAACAATCAAGTAGGATTGGCGTGGCTAGAACAGATTTTTGAGCGCTTTACTAAGGCAAAGGCTCGCAGGTCATGGCGATTGCTAGTAGTTGACGGCCATGGCAGCCATATAACAATGGCTTTCATCAAGTACTGCGACCGCCATCGAATTCTGCTGCTGGTTTTTCCCCCACACAGCACCCACACGCTCCAGCCGCTCGATGTAGTACTCTTCTCGCCACTGGCTTCTAAGTACAGCAACGCTGTCACTAAACACCTTCACAATAGCCAAGCTCTAGCAGGTGTAAAGAAGAGCGACTTTTTCCGCCTATTCTATGAGTCCTGGACTGAAGTATTCACAGCGGACCTGGTGCAACGGGCGTTTGAAGTAGCAGCTATCCACCCACAAAACAGAGACTCTGTCGTCAATCGATTCCGCAAACCAGTTGCAGAGGCACCCCGTACTCCTTCACCATTTGCAGGAAGTGAGTGGCGAGAAGCTGACCGAGTCTTCAATGATTTGGTGAAGGACCCAGCCGCAGAAGGTGCAAAGAAGCTGAAGCGCTCGCTCCACCACATGGCAGCTCAGGTTGCAGTACTTTCAGCTGAAAACAAAGGACTCCGCAGTACAGTTGCAGCACAAAATCCCTCTAAGAAGCAGCGCTATACTCTTGATTTGCAGCAACGGAAGGAGATGCGCAGTAAAGCGGTTCTATACTCCCCACGCAAAGTACGTGAAGCCCGCGCTCGCGAGAAGGTCAACAGACGCACAAAACTTGAAGAAGCTGTGCAAAAAGCACAGGATAAGCAAGACCGAATTGCCAAGAAGCTACAAGAGGAGAAGGAGAAGGATAAGAGGCGTGTTGTGCGAGAAGAGCGCATCGCAAGGAACAAGCGCATTCGTGAGGAGAAAGCTGAGGCAACTAAACATCAGAAGGAGGAGCGCGCCGCTGCAAAAGCTATACAATTACCCCAATTAGGCAAGCGCAAAGCTTCACAGAAGCCTCCTCTAGAGCCTCATAAGCCTACAAAGCGTGCACGTTGTTCTACAGGTGGTGTTGTTGCCGCAGTGCGTTCTCCAACACCTCCACCAAAGCTCAACTCACGCGGCCGTGCAATTAGGAAACCACGCAAGTTTCAGTGACAGAATTATTCAGCTATATCAATAAAGTACTCCACCAACAAATCTTGCAATAGCAACTTTTATATGTGGCTGTACAGCCTCATTTGTATGTGGTGTTGTGAAGAAGATCGCGTGCATTGACCGATCGCGTGCAGCCTGTGCACGGTCACTGTATACGTAACGGGGACAGATGCCAGGGCACCGACAACGAAGCCGTTGAGGAATTTGCCTCCAAAGAAGAGTTCAGGAGTCGTGGAAACGAATTCCATGGCAATGGCTGCAAAGGTCACAACAAGACAGAGGGAGATGACCATACGGCGGCCGAGCCAATCTGCAAGCTGACCGCACCCAAGGGCACCGACGATAGCACTGCGACAAGTTAGTGTTATCACTTCACTTCTCTGTGGGAGATGCGTACGATGCCACAGGCGCACCTTAAAATGCTGACTGCCATTGCGCGTCGATGACATAGCCATCCCAGACATCGTTGCAAGTCACGCAAGCATCGCGCGCCGTCATTTCGCACGCTTCGATGGCGTTTGAACAGTTCATGTGCAGGATCTTCCCCACACCCGATGCTTTGGCGCCGCTTCCCCATGGGTGAAACTTCCCCTTTTCAGGGCGCCATCCATCACCGAAATGCAATAGTGCATTTACGACCTGCACTACTGTGTCCGCCGGGTCAATGCACACACCGGAGCAATGCACGTGATCTTCTTCACAACACCACATACAAGTGAGGCTGTAGAGCCACACACAATAGCTATTATCGCGAGTTTTCTTGGTGGAGTGTTCTATAGGCCTAGCTGAACAATTCTATCACTCATACTTGCGTAGTTTATTGATAGCGCAGCCGCGTCTGTTGTATGTTGGTGGAGGTGTGGGAGAACGAAATGCTGCAGCAACACTGGCTGCAGCACCACGCGCACGCTTTGCAGGCTTACGGGCCTCTGTAGGAGGCTCCTGTGAAACTCTGTGCTTGCCTAAGTGGGGCAATTGTACAGCTTTTGCAGCGTTGCGCTCTCTCTTTTTGCGCTCTTGTTCGGCTGCCTGATCAGCCTTCTTGACCTTGGATGCCTCCAGCTTCTCTCTATAAGCCTTTGACCTCTGCTCTTTCTGCAACTTGTTCTGTAGTGCTGTAGTAGCTCGCTGCTCCTTGCGCTCATGTTTGGTAGCTTCTCTTGCAAGCCTCTCACTCTCATTGACCTTGTTGCGATAGCGAGCCTCCCTTACTTTGCATGGGGAGTAGAGAGTAGCTGGCAAACGGTACTCCTTCCGCTGTTGTAGGTCAAGCGTAGTGCAATCCTTCTTTGAGGGCTTCTGCTGTGCAACTACAGCATGGAGGCCTCTATTTTCGCTGTCAGCAGCTCATTGCGAGCTGCAAGATGGTGGAGCGAGCGTGTAAGGGTATCTGTGACAGCGAGCTCAGTAGCAATGGGGGGAGGTCTTGTAAGATTAATTGCTACCGTTCCCTGGTCATTGTGTGCCCAATTATCTATGCGCTCTCGCCTGTACCACGCTAGCGTCCCAATGGGTTAGTGCCATTGCCCTGACACATGACAGCCTACTTCACTACAGCACTGTAACCCCATTACAGAGCGCCTCAGCTTATTTGCTTCCTCTGTGCTCTGGTCTGGCACTACAGCCTTGAAAGTACGGTCAATCAATTGCCAGTCGACTCCCTCAAATGGTAGAGGAGTGCTAGGCTCCTTGCTTTCAGGCTTCTCAAATTGCTGCAGGAATACCTGCTGGTTGAGTGGTGATATGCCTGTGTTTGTGAAGGCACTAAGCACCAATCCTTTCGTGAAAGTCTGCTCCCAGGCCTTGTAGAACATGTTGGAAGAAGTTGCTCTTAGGCACCCCTAGCAAGGCTTGGCTATGGTGGAGGTGTTTTATAACAATTGAGCTGTAGTTTGAAGCCAAGGGTGAGAAGCATACTACATCAAGCGGCTGCAGTGTGTGGGTACTGATATGAGCAGCAGAATTTGGTGGCAATTGCAGTACTTGATAAAGGCCATAGTTATATGAGAGCCATGGCCGTTGACAATGAGCAATTGCCAGTTTCTGTGAGCTTTCTTCTTGGTGTAGCAATTGAACATCTGCTCTACCCAGGCAAGCCCTACCTGGTCATTTGTCCAGCCTGAGGGTGTTGCAGTGACAAACACTGAGTGTTTTCCTGGCTCAATATCCTCAACCCAGCTGCTTTGTATGGTGTTGTTCTTGCCTGCAAATATGAGGCCCGGTGGCAGTGCTGAACCATCTGCGCACACGCTTGCTAGCAGTGTTACTGTCACGGTATCCTCTCCAGATCCCCTGACAATATCCGGATCCGCTCCGTACTGTCCCTGACCATACGCACCAAATCCCCAGCGTCCTTACACGCCTCCAAAGCGGACGTACAACCTCCGGTCACCTCCGGAGCGGGCCTGCAACCTCCGAAGCGGGAGTATTAGAATTCTGCAAGCCCTGCTCTGGGACTTGCAACCCCAATACCTATCCAACTCAGTTCCAATTATTAACTGGTAACCAAACGAACCCACACGTAAGTATATAGACTATTGCTGGTAGAGTTCTGTTTGGTACACAACGTCTTGTACCTACTTAGATATCGTACGTAGTAATCCGCTTTGGAGGCGTGTAAGGACGCTGGGGATTTGGTGTGTATGGTCAGGGACAGTACGGAGCGGATCCGGATATTGTCAGGGGATCTGGAGAGGATACCGTGACACTCTTAGCGAGTCCTAAAGGGCCTACTCGTAGCATCTTCGTGACAGTTACCCACTCTCTATTGCCATCCTGTAGAGACTGCTTGTTTTTCCCAACCTCGTATGATTGTTTGGAGAAGATGCGCTTGCTCCTGCCAACAAGGCCAATTACAAAGCCCTTCTCATCCATGTTGTATGTATCACAAGGTTCTACCTCATATTTGGTGAGCGTGTAGTGTAAGAGCTTGAAATATTGCTCATACTTTGCAGGGGAATTGGTATAGTGGCGCTGCTTGTCCATGGCAGTGCACCATTTATGGAGGAGAGTGTCGCTGTGACAGTAGAGGAAGTTGGACACCCAGGTGTCAGAGACACTCTCATGAGCCATCTCTGCAGCAAAGTTTTGTACCATTTGCCTTGTAGGAGGAAGATGATGCTCAGTAAGTACTTCTATGTACTCACAGAGCTCACGCTCTTGTTGTAGGGTGAGCTTGTGTTGTTGCAAGTCTGCTTCTGCACGTGGGGCTGTCACGCCTTGGTCATTGCGCAACAGCATTGAGCACAACAACCCTGTCTGATTAGCAACTTCTTGGTGGCAAATTGATCCATCTGAGCTCGCTGTGTGTGCCTTTTTAAGGGCTTCTAAAACAGACATAATTTGGTAGAATTATGGTATTGAGGATTTGGAGATGTTTTGGTGATTGCATGCATTGACCTGATGCGTGCATTGACCTGACACGTGCATTGACCCGGCAGACACAGTACCGTGTCTGTGCTCGCAATGCGCATGCACCGCAACATGCATCTCAGCATAATAACAGTATACTTTTTACCTCTCCTATCTCAACACCACAAGGTCTGTGAAGGAAGCCGTTGCAGAGGGACGTGCAACTTGTCATCGTGATGATTTCTCATATACCAAACTTGCCAATAAACATGGTGTAACATGCTCAACTCTGACGTGACAATTGAACAGGGAATGCACGTCAAAAGAGGACCAGGCACTCAGCCAATGATTGATGCACCCACGCAATGAGGCAGAGCTAGTGCAGTACATCAGAGGACTCACAGAGCAACACCTTATGCCTACAAGGCAAATGCTGAAGAATTTTGCAGCTCCAGTTATTGGAAGGGAGCCTAGCAAATTCTGGGTTACTGATTTCCTCAACCACAACAAAGATACCCTTATTACTGCGTGGACCACCCCTATGGAGAAGGATCATCACAAGACCATGTTACAATTCGTGCCTTAAGCAAAGCTTGTAGACACTAGTCAATTGGTTCTTGGGGATGAGCAGAGGTACAGAAAGCCATAGGGGTTGACAGTCACCTAAGCAAAGCTTGGGTGGTCACAGGTAGATGTAACGACTCTGCACACAGCAAGGCTGTGGGGCAGACTAGCTTACAGCAGCTAGAGGCAAAGCTGGCTGGCACTATATATATTATACTACACAAAGAATACTTGCTTAAGTATTCTTGTGCTTACCTTTTGGTATACCTTGGAGATGTCACGTAGTATTGATATCAAGGGCAGGGCGCTCATCCATTACAGTAGACTATCCAGGCAAGGCGGTAGTAGCCTTTGTAATAGTCAGGTAGTTGTCTAGTCAAAGACCGTGGCAACTGGTTGCAATGAGTAGTACAGAGTATACTGTCTGGCTCAAGAGCAGGTGAGATTCCAATAACAAAGTTGATTGACAAGGTTGAACACAATGCCATAAGGGCAGCATGTCTACTTGCTTATATACTTGACAGGAGGATTGATTGTGCTGCTCATCAAGTATTGTCAGTGACTTGATACTCGGTC